GCGGGTTAAAACCGACTGAAAGAAGGAACGATGGTCAGTCGACACAACTAAACCCGCCAAAAATCTTGATTTGGCGCAAGTAGCTCATTTTACGATTCTTTTCAACTATACGAGACAGCATTTCTTTTGAAAAGAGTGACGAAAGCAATTGTACTAGTCGATTTTCATGTCCAAATATACTTATGTTAGCACGATTAATAATTTTGCTGTTTAAAATTATCGTTTCGCGAAATATTGCAGATCTTGGGGGCAACTCGGGACACGTTATCACCCCTTCCGTTCCGACCCCATTGAGGTAAATTATCACGCGAGGAAGGGGTGTGTGAGCTCGGATTTAGGAGTTAATTACTGTTTTTGTGGAAAAATGGGGGATTTACTTAACCAAGTTCTGAGCCAGATAACCGATATAACCCAAGATAAGGCAAACGCTGTTCAAAAAAAGTAAAAAATATTCAAATGATAAAGTTAAAGTAGAATTGAGTATGTTTGCATATTACGTAATTTGAACTGAAGCAATTCTTGCATATTTTTCTACTTAAGCATCTATGGTGAATAAACTGTTCTCCGTAAATTTGAAGTATTTTGTGGTCAATATTGCTAAACTTGAAAGAGAAAGATCAAGGAACAGATTTCTAGCTGTAAATTATGCATAGAACGTGAAAATGCAATTTGTTCTGCATTTTTGAGGTGATCGAAATATATATTCCTGCAATATTTACTCAAGCGGTAAATTCCCTATACCTTCAAGACTAAATTGCAAAATTTGAGGAATTGGGTATTTTTCTTAAAATTTACAGATTATAATAAGAGTTGGTTAGATAAAAATGAATAAATCAAATGTTACATTATTTTTACAAATTTTGAAAATACTGAATATTTAATTTCTAACGTCACGAAACAAAGTAACCGCCGCACGATTTGGTTGCTAAAACGGAATATAAAAAGCAAACAAATAACCACTTCAAAGAGAAAATGTCATAAGTAATATGGCATAACTTTCTCTCTGAAGACAACGATAATCAAAGCTGATTCGTTTGTCAAAAGTAGGTCAATTTGTACTCAAGGGTCTCGTTCCACTTAGAGAGAGAGTTTCTGTCGTATTATGAAACAAACGGTTTTTATTGAATCTGAAGTAGAAAACCTAACCTAAAGGCTCTAAATGTATTTAGAAATGTATTCTGGAAACTGAAAAAGTTATTTTTTTTAACAAAAAATACCTACGCGAAAATAAACTTGCAAGCATCTACCGATTTATCAAAATATACATAGATGCTATAAAACTGATATCTGACCAAATATTTCTATTAAATTTACTTATTTGGAATTGGTTCATATGATAATACAGGAAGTATTAGAAACGTGATCATTTATGTTAATATAACGCTAATGGCGTTGACTCTTATCTACTGATAATACGTATTTGGCACGCGATGAAATATTATCCACCACAATTTTTCAATTTCTGAACTTTATGACCTTATATGGACAATACATAATAATTACTTGAAACTCGGCCCATGCCAGGTGAGTTATGAAAAGTCTGTAATTGGATTTAAAATATTTTAGAGTAAGTCAGCGAAATTAAATTTTTTACAAATTTACTGGCTTGAAAAAACACAAGCAAGTATCTGGATTAGGGGTCTATTTAGCCCCAGGACGCACGTACATGGTTGTTTACCCTCTAAAAATAACACTGGGGTTTGGGGATTAGCGAAACCCGTCTTTTGAAGACTGGGGCTATTACTTGTCGCACGCATAGGCTTCTGAGACCCCTAAAATTCGGAAAATGTCCAAATTTTTAAATTTCTATAGAGTGATTTTTAGATCGTGAATAAAATTTACATATTCTTTTCTATAATTTTCTTATTCTCAACCTGTACTTTTTTGACACAAATCGGAATAATATTTGTTATTTGTATAAAAAATTAAGTTACGTGTTAAACAGCATAAGATTAGCTGAACAAAATCAGCGACCAAAGTAATATTCCACCGTAATTGTCAGTACTTATGCCTGGGCTATGAAATCAATCTAATCTTTTTCATGGATTCAGATGACAGAAGTTCACACAAATGACTGTGAATTTTTCACAAATTTTAATAACATTGCAAAGAAGATTGAATGATGCAACCTGTTAATCGTTATTCTGCGGAATACACAGTTAATCTTCTTTATCAAAAACATTGGCAGTTTAATCTTCAAAATACTGGATTTTCAGTATCGAAACTAGAAAAATAAAACCAGCATTCGGTTAATATAACAATATTCATTATTTTCAAAAGGGAACATATTCATATGAAATCCGTATTAATTATACGAAACTCGGACAAAAATAGACAATAGTGACACATCGTTCTTCCTAATTGCACTCGAAATTCCAATACCTTGCATAAGATAAGGGTCAAATGTTTTGTAAATTGTGCACAAATTTCAAAATTTCTAATTCTTTCGGACCATGTTTAAGACCAATTTAAACGTGTATTAGAAGTGGGGTACATTACTGCCCCAACGGTGGAAAAGGTGTACAATTTTTGTGTGTTGAAGCTTATTTACCATCGGTGCTCGAGTGCTCACTTCGTGCAGTTATTGGTCACGACCTTTCTTCGAAATTACTATTTTGAGGTACCTAGTGGTTTTTGAGACTTTTTGAACTTTTAGGCCCATTATTTTGCATGAAACAATAGTCGTTGAAAAGTACAAGAGGTATTGTGACGTACATAATGTTATTTTGAGATCTCTCCAAGTGATCTGAAAAGCGTTGGTTCTTGTTGTCTGGTTGTTTGTCTATGGGGTATTGTTATTTTTCTGTGACAAACTAGGATTAAAAAATATGGTGATTTATATTCGTTTTGAGAGATTTGAAAGCATGCTACAGCTCGAAAAATTTACCTGTACAGTCAATGAAAGTTTACAAGTGTTTAACTTTTTCAAAAATCCTCATTTCGAATATATCCTTTTTTTTGAAGCATTTATACGTATTACAAAGTATATAACAAGATTAAGTTAAGTATAACATTATAAAATTCAGAATGCGATTCGCAGAAAAACGTTGAAATAAAAAAGTCACACGACATAAAGAAACGACGATGGCTCACAATCTTACATCAAACTAAGATCTAACGAAGTTTTTACTAATCGTGGTTTGGTGTGTTTATGAAAGTGGTTATGACGTCATCACATACTTGATACTCATACTAAATCAGCTTGTGACGTCATCTACTTGATTAAACACTTATACACCGGGTCAGAAGTCCCCGCAAAGTGATTCAGCATGAAATAGAGAAATTTATTGTTCCAACAAATATGGACTCGGAATTTGAAGTATTTGATAAGGGAATTAGTGGTAAATGTGGAGGCTAGGCCTTTTTCCTTCATTGTATTATTTTTAATCTCTTCACCGTATATATCGATGCATGCACATTCAGGGTACAGTTACGTGCGACAAATCTAGTTGTCAGATATCAGCTTCACTCCTGTTTTTGTTTGAAATCTGAGTTAGTAGATTTTTAATTTCTGTGGCTAAAAAAATTAAACAGTCTGACAAATCTCAAAAATTTGAATTCCGGAGTCAATCGCTCGTTCAAAGCTTTTACAAATATAAGAATCTTTATTTCATATTGGAAGATAATAAATTTCCCACAATGCAAATGTTTACCCAGAATTTATTTCAAAGGTCTTTGTTTGCTTATGTTACCGACAGGTGAGTTTATGGGAAGACTATCAGACCAAGTATGAAATTCCATAAAACTTTACCGTACATCCGTTCGATATTTATGGCGTATGCACAGTCGAGTACAAATTTGTCAAATCTTGCTAAGGTTCTTTTTTGAGACTCGACGACGCGACAAAAGTCGCTGTTAGGAGTTTCATCGGCAATATTTCACTAGAATTAAATTTGATCAGAGTTGGGAGGCAGGTGCAGCAAAACATATTATTGCTTTGAGATAGTAAAATCGTCAAAGTCAGAGACACCGAGGCGGACAACGTAAATTCTCAATTCTTGGGAGAATCTGCTAGATTTGTCGTATAACACGAAACAGGAGCTAAATCATAGCATAAAAAAATGGATGTAATTAAATAGAATGATGAACCAAAAACCTATTCAAGAATAATTCCTGATAAAAGTTAAACACTCATTACGTAAACCTAGCCTTGTGCATAGTAGATTCAATATTTGCCCTCGTAATGGCTGAAAATACAGTTTTACGATTGCGGCTCTTGTTTGAACTTGATGAACTTTGGAACAGAACTACGTTTTATGGTCATGGGCTGAACGATAGGTTTTAATCATTACATAACGTACGTACCCAGAAGACCTATATACCAAGCAGTTAAACACTTTACAAATTGATCACTACTATCATAGTGCTGGAATGTCGTATAAAATGCCAAGGTAGCAGGTAAATATCGTGTACGATGCATGTCGTGTATAACGTGACACGAAAATCAAATCAACATAGCTTCCCAAACATAGAGTATCATCCACCCTACTTTCTCATGCCTATTTGATACAATCATAACGTCGTGGTGAATAACACCAAACCCCTCAATCTTGTCTTGCAACCATCAGTGTTATTGCGTATATTCCTGTTGCCAAGTCTTAAAAATATCTTTACGGCTTACAGTTTTCTCTCAGTTGAATCATCCTCTTCGTTTACGATACTTTCCTTAGTTCAAATTTAAGTATTATATAACCTATAAAGCACAGGTGTTCTCAATATAATTCATTTTATAGCATTGCTAACAAACGTGCTTCTGGTTCATCTGGGTGCCTTCACTATAGCGTTAGTAATGTTTAGGCAGACTGGATAGAATCGATCAAGGGATGCTAACAATTGATCGATTAGTTTTGTTTCACGGTTAGGATGATTACAGTATCTTGAATGGTTGTGATTGCAAAAAATGAAAATTGTCGAACATTTAATTTACGTTATGGAAATTTAGTTGGGAATAAATTTTTGAGTAGAGTGTTAAATCTTTAACATATATATATATTTATTCAGATATTATATAATACTATATAACTAAGACTTGCTTTAAACTTTGATTGAAGTTACCGCGTAACGTCATCAATATCAGAATGAAGATGAATGAAATGATTCTGATAACTACACTTGCTATCTGCTTTACTTGGAGTGAGGTAAGCGAATTAAGTTTTATGTTTTTGTCAGTAATGTACTATAAGTTACAACGTCATGTATATGCTATGTTTACATTGTGTTTAACCTTACGATACATGCTGATTGAATTCCATATAGGAAAAACTTAGTATTTGAAAACAGAATTGATTTACCTGACACTCAATATACTTTCGAAGTGTCATATCAAGTAAGTTTTATTCAGCTCTAAAATAATCGTTATGGCGATACACGCACCACCAATGAAATAATGAATAAGTTGATCATGGACGCCAGGCAAACAAACAAAAAATAATCAATTTCAAAATGTACATACAATATTATGACTGGAATTTTTGAATGGAGAAAACTCCCACACGCTCACCAGTAAAATAAAGCACTAACACATACTTCCTCTCATATTCGACTTCAAAACAATTGCTTAAACACAAATCAAAAAAACATTGATTCCAATTGTAAGAAGCCTAAGGTGTGTTGTGGTGTGGTCAATAATGTAACATTTATCTTCCAAAACAAATCAAAAATGACAAAGTAAAATAGAAAACAACCCATGTTTGATGCTTTTAAATGTTAATAGAACCTTTTTAAATACATATCTATACCTGTGATCTTAGTTGAGTGTTATATTTCATTTGATTTATCACTTTGGCACGTGTTACGTCGGATACCCCGTAACACAAGTTTCGTGCGGCGATATAGTGTCAAAAAGCAGGACAAAATTACAAAAATATTATTGTAAGATATCTAATATGGTCTAAATATATAATGCAAGTAGGAATAGTTTGAACAAATCATCAAATAAGTATAGACCTGACATGGGCAAACTACGGAACGCGGGTCAAATCCGGCCCGCTGGGTCATTCAATCTGGCCCGCCGGTGCTCCCGAAGTATGCGAACCAAGATGGCGGACATCGGAACGTAACATGGGTAACAGGTTAGGGTTAGGCGATAATTTTTTTCCAATTTTCCTTATTTTAGTCCTATTATCAGTTCGAAGACTAGCCAAGAGCCTCCCGTAGTATTTATACCTAAAATTATGGCCTAACCCTGACCTAGTACACATATTACATTCCGATGTCCGCCATCTTGGCTCGCATACTTCGGGAGCCCCGGCCCGCCAGATGCTGCAACAGTCAAACTAAAATCATATTTTGATGTTTCAGTTAAAAAATAAGTTAAGGGATTTGTTGAGATTGCAAATAAATTTGGTTTTGGCACAAGGCTTATTGTTTTCCACTTTTGCTTTTGTAACATACTGCAAATATTGTTTATTAAATGAAACTTATTACGTCACACTTACATGACCCAGCAGTCTAGGTGGGCACAATTTTTGGCCCTTGGCCCAAAAACCTCGCCCACCCCTGGTCACTATTGACCCATGGACATGAATGTCAACTTTCAATTTCTTTTGTTAGCAAACTGCACGCATGTATAGGGAGATACTATAAATTATGCACATCGAAAAGTAGGCGTGCCAAAATTCTGTTGCGATAGAACACTTTTTTTTCAAATGTGTACGATCATGCTTCATTTACCGGATGGGGTAGGAAAGTTCGTAACGGAAATTAAAGAACGGAAGTGAAACACTAAAGTAAATTAGCCGAATTTTTTATGCGACCCAATTTTTTTTGAAATGTTCCGCCCATTAAAAGCCCAACTTTACGCCGACGCAGAATTTTTTATGCAGACAATGAATTTTCAAAATTCTCTAAAGCTGTTTAAACACGATTACATGAATAAAATATTTACTTAAATAAAAACACACTCCGTACCTCACCAGGTATGATAAATAGATAATTGCACAAGTACCATTTACGACAAATTGTAAAAAAATTTGTTACTTACTAAATATTCCCGCCATTAGTTCCTATTCATTCCCTCACATTGTTGCTAATGACAACTGATAAGTTGAAAATTTTCTCGCACGCGATCTATTCAGTTTGTTTTGATTTATGGATGCGAATCTCCTGAGATCTTGAAAGCATCCTGTCTAATTTTTTAGAGAACATAAAAGCGCTGAAAATTTGATAACGGTTCTAATGGTTCGTTATTACCAACAGACGTGTCTGGTAGCCCGCAGACTTTTACACCGCAACAACAAAACAATTACAATAGATCTTTTCGGCGGATCAGTTCTGATAAATTGGAAAATCGGGATCTTTACTTCGATGGACCGTGAAATATCAAATACAGGACACGCCTCGCTCTTTCATGCATTCATAACACATTCTTCCCTATTTTTGCAACGTGCACCTCGCGCTTTTTCAGTTACGGTTGCCATAAATTCGTGGTAAATTTTTTACAAAATATGTAGCTATTTTCTGAAGCTACGGTTTGTTATCATATTTTATCTGATATATGTTTTTTAAAACCCCGTTCTGTCGCTTTCAATAAAAATGGGGTGCCTTTTCAATTCCGAAGTATTAGTATTATTGTTTTTCTGACAAGCATGAGCATGGCGCAGGACAATTAAATTCAAATTTGAAAAGGTTTTGATATCCATGGCTCGAATGTAATGTTTTGTTGGCTGAGTACTTTACTAATTCACACTCGACAAAAGATATTTACGTAGAAATCTAGATCAATTTTACAAACAGTTCTAAAAGTATCCGGTCGAAAATGATAGATGAACAAATAAACACAAGGTCTTTTACTTGAGTTCTCCTGGACTGGCATGTTTAGAAATTCTTGTCAAAATTTATCTTTTTCAAGAGGGTCCTACTTGAATATGTCATGTAGTTATCAGCATATTTATACGCCCTTAGCACGCAACGCACGATTTTGACGCAACATTGAGTTCATCTGAGAAGATAGGGCACAATAGTTGCGTGCTTTGGGACACTTCTATTTTTTATAAATTTTCATGGATCAGGGGCAAAAAGTGAGGAGGTGGTGCTTGAAATTTTATCAAATTTGAGAAAACAATTCAAAGCACATTATTCAATATCAATATTGAATTCAGTCTCCTCCATGAAACGAGAGAAGTATGAAAAAAGAGAGATGGAGTTCAGCATCCGGGATGAAGGATAATAAATGACTCAAATCCTTCTTACGTAATCTCCCGCATTTTAATAAATGTTTATTTATCAAAATACCTTAGCACGCGACATTCTGATCTATCCCCCTACCACACATTTGTCAATTCCAACCATAGAATATAGATAAGATATAACTACTAAGTATGGTTTAACTATGCCGCACGCTTGGTTACTAACATAAAGTCAATACGAATTATAAACTATATTACAATAAATGTTATTTCAATTTGTCATATTCCTCGTCTTTTCCACTTGAGATTGAACCTACGTCTGTGGGTTCGGGCTCTTCATTAAACAAACAAAAACATGTAAGCTTTTTCACAAATTGTAGAGTCACAGTTTAGCACGCAATATCAAAATTGATATTGTCATATTCGTGGTAATGAAAACATTTTGCTAAGCGAAATTTTGCTGTTTTTGCAGGCTATCGATCCTAGTCAAGATGCAACGCTTCCGCTTGTGCCAGCTTTCAACGGCAAACGAGGCGTGGACACCGTTGCAAGGCAGGACTTTTTGCGACAACAAATGCGAATTGGACCCGAAATGCCAGGTCTGGTTGAACCGGGTGACGTAGACGTAAATCTTTTGGACATTGGATCACCTGAAGACGAAAGTGATGACCTTGCCACCGCCCATTTCTGGACTCGTTGGTCTGATTGGTCCGTTTGTTCGCGAACGTGTGGGACCGGCGTGTCGTCTCGTACAAGACAATGCATCTCAAGGTAGGAATTCCATTCCATACGAAGAAATTCAGTGCTTTGTGAAACGAATCTTAAAATAACCACCTTACACCAGGAAGATTACTTTCTGAAAATCGGAATTTAAGCCTATTCATTATATTTGACCTCTAAATGGAGCCAAATAACCTTGGAAGTGAATCTAATCCCTATAATTCTGCCCAGATGTGTTTTTCACAATACGCGTACCAGTTGTACAATGCATAAGTTATTTCTAGCATTTAAGTAAATATTGCTTTGTTTGAAAACAATACGTTAGCTTATTGTGAAAGAAATCTGTTATGGGATATAATTTAAAGAAAAATTTTAAGAATCTTGACATTTTTTCGATGAAAATGATCTTGGCAATTCAAAACTGCCCCAAAAAATACAGGCAATGGGTTGCAAAATGAGTATAACAAAATACATGTATTTGAGTGACAACCTTGAAACTAATTTTGGATGTTGAACTATCCATCAATATATATAGGGTATTAATTGTATCAATAATTAAGTGAAAATGAAGTGGATTTTTCTATCTCGTATTATTATAGACATTTTTACAGATACCCAACGAGTGCTAAAGTCAACTGCGAAGGTATTTCTGTTGAACATGAGTTATGCAATACACAAGTGAGAAATTTGAAACTTTTAATTTTCAAATACCTCAATTTTTAACTTTTATAACTTTAATGAAATGTTTATTTTTCGGAAACGTCTAGCTAAAATCCATTACCCAATCTGTAAAAAAAATTTTGATCAGTATGAATTGAGTTTTCTAAGGCTGCATGCATATCTGTATTATATTTGGTCATTATATTGTTCTAGTCTTACACTTTCATTATGTTGAAATCTAATACCAATATTTTGTCTGAAGTGAACACTATATATTTCTGCGTAGGATGAAATAAATTTGAGTAAAATGCCAAGTCGATATGCCATTATTATATGCACGATATTTGCACCTCGAAATCCTAAGTTGACTTTTTAACGATATATTTCGGATCGTATAACCCGACTATTAGGTTATTAGTAACCGATATTCCCCCTCTTAGCGCACTAGCAATGCTTCGTATGTCCTAATTACTGACTCGAATTTCAGATTCTGATTCTTCCCTTTGAAAATTTAAATTTTATTTGGTAAAAACGTTAAATGTAGATTCCATAAATAGTTCTGACATACTTGTATGAAGTTTCCTATCTCGATTCCTATCTCCGATGAACGCAAAATATTTCAGTGATAACGCTTTCGTATAGTTGATAAAGTTACAAAATTGTTAAATTTTGTTGCGCTACGCGGTACTGTTATCAATTACTGAATGTTTAACCCAAAAATTTTGAACATGTTAAAAATTGGCAAATATTTTTGTTTTTCCTCAGGATTGCCCAGAAAGTTCCCCAAGCTTCCGTGAACTTCAATGTTCTCGACAGAACGAGCATGTTCACCATTCAAAGACATTTAAATGGATTCCATATACAGGTGCAGTGAATAAAATTTTGCAGTTATAAACTTCATTTTACACGAGGTGTACCTATTGATCATTTTTGGGATAGCACAATCGATATTACAGTTTTTATAAAATGTTGCAAGCCACCTAATGGATAGGATTTTTATATTTATTACGGGATGACCAAACAATATGACAAGCCACGGCCTTTGGTCCTGTTAAATTTCCATGTCGGGTATGGGGATAGCTAGCCATTTATTTGTATCAAATACATTAACTCACTCGTGGAAAATATGTTAATACAGCAATATAATAAACTATATAATAAAAAATGTTTATTTGTAAACTACTAAAGTAAAGTGTGGCAACTACAACTTACAGGAACTAATACGTGTGAGCTGGCTTGCCTCATTTCCACGTTTCATTACTTTCGTTCTTTCGGAACAGCAGAAGATGGTACAAGATGCGGAAATGGAGCAAAAGATATTTGCATAAAAGGAGAATGCACGGTAAGAGAGTTCACATAATTAAAAAGCAATAGCAAAGTAACAATCTGCTTAGTACAGAAAATTTCACATTGCAGTATAATGTTATAATACAAATAATATTTCATCGTGTGGATGTGGAAATTTGGCTGACCTCGTTTTCTGTTCGCTTAATCCGTGCGTAAGATAAACCATAAATGTGGCTAAATATCCTGCATAAATTTTGGAATATGTTTATTTAAACGCCCGAAGCGACAGATCTTTAAATTTATTACTACTTCTTATTCTCGTGCTGGTAAACACATTTTGTTGTATTGACAAAACGCGCACATTACGCAAAACACGTTAGAAAGATTATGAAGATCCAGTTTCAGTGTAATTACATATTTTTGTCATTTCATGGAAATTTTAATCTCTAAGAGTCATTACTAAACACTGTTTACGGCAATGCACCCAAAACACGACGCTCTACCCCGCTAATTGACGCTCCCAACGTTTCACCCACGTACATGGTGTATCCAACCCACTGCAAAAACATGCGGCAGATTAACCTGAAGAAACATGCCTAAAATCATGACAAATAGAATACCTGAACCCTATTATCTTTGGGTCATTTGACATCGGTAATTACAATATTGGGGATCCTTGGGCCTTTTCTCAAATAGAAGTTCCGTGGAATTTCATGGGTGTAAACACATTTTACTCAATTTGCTCAAAATGTTATGGAGAGCTGAAAATTTTAATAGACTTCTGCAAATTTCCCTTTCGCATAAGAGCTGGTTACGAGTCAACATTATGTAACCGGTTACAACATATATCCGGATAATTATTTGACCAGAAAAGTAGTAACATTACTTTCAACATTCAATAATTTTAAAGATACCTTAGTGCAGTAACTTTATTTGCATTAAAACTTAAATGACCGATTTGCGATCAATTGAACAAACCCCACGGATTCGAGAAATTGCTTCCGGAATATGCGGTTACTTTATAATCCTTTACTTCCCATTTCAGGGGTTATTACTGAATCAAGAGATCATTGTGAAATCTCCTTTCCGTTTCAAACCTATTTTTTGGTTGCAAAACGCATATTTTGACTAAAATTAGTGACATACAACAAAAATTATATTTTTTAAAAGAGTGGTATACTTTCAGAACCAGTATTTTGGATTAATTTTCGGTTGTAGTTGTCACGAAAATTTAGGATTTGGTCCAATGACATTTTTATGAATGCACCTAGATAAGTCAACTTTCATCAAAAACATATTTATTTGAATAAATTTCGTGGAGAAACTCACCATACCTGAATGGACCCAAATATGAGGGCTTTAGAAAGTGTCCAAACGATAAATTTCTGTCACGATATCGTGCATGTTAAATTTTAAATTGTCTTCCGGAGTGACACAATTTACCGCTTAACACATTCCCTCATTAAAATGATGGAATAATTAAATAGTTAGTAGTTGTAGTTGCGTAAAAATTTACAACTAAAGTACGCAAACACATAACGTTTTTGTACGTCACCCTATTTCACAAAACTTCAACATGCGGCCTGGACGATTCATAGATCATCAAAACAGATACGATTATTCGCAATTCTTAGAAAGTTCCAATCAGGACAAGTTTAACGGTACCGGTAAAATTCTTGAATCACTCGTGCTGAAACTTTCGATTCGCAAGTACAACGTGGCAGGGGTGTGGCTAGTATCACGTTTCAAAACAAAAATGACATCATAATTATTAGTTATAGCTTCCGCATTCTGCTCCATATCGTTGTAGTATTCACATTTCACAAACTATATGTGGTTTTGTACATAATTGGATGGTAATTTTGCTTATTTACGTCACAATTAATTGGCTTCACACACATTGTGGCGTGACATGAGTCACAGATAAAAATCAGCATTGTGACAAATTTCTCTACAAATCGTATAATTTACATAAAAAGCGTCACAAATGGTGATTTAAAGGACATTTTCGTAACAATAGACAATTTCTCAACATTCTCGAGACGACAATTTGCGAGTTGGGGTGAAAATTACCGTCTATCCTAGTGTTTGAATGGCAGCTCCAAATATTGTGGGTTGTGGCTTTCTTACTGTGGTATTATAAGATACAACCCACTATCACGATAGCAAGTCTGATTTTCTTTGAAATCAACTTCCGTTTGCTTTAAAAACCCGTTTGCGGCTTTTATTAAATGCAACTAATATATACAAAGTTTGAAACCATATATATTTACTGCAATAGCTGAGAAGACAATATTTAATGGGATTTTAAAAGGCGTTTTGTATAACATACAACGAGACAACCCGAAAACCCACCGTCCAATTATGGTGGAATAATTCTGATAATTTCATCCTTCAGGCAGGCGTGTCACTAACTTTCTAATGCACAAATCGATCTTAATCGACACAATTTCTATTTTGATAAAAACATCTTTTGAGTTAACGGCATTTTAAGAAAACGGCTTAATTTTTGCTCAAAATTCCATCGAAATTATTTATTTAAACTTTGAATTTATTATATGAATCACATACCACAAATAACTTGTGAAATACCACCCATCAACTGGTACTGATGTGATGGCGTGTGCCACGAATTATATATTTATTTGAGTTTGGTTCGTATATTTTTGTAAATGGTTAATGTACTGTCGCTAGTTGCCCAGCGGGTTTTTGTTAATTTTCAGAATTGTTGATAGGATGATGTATGTGCGACTATTTTATTTTATATCAAAACAGAAAAACAATATTTACCAATATCTTACTCAGCAGAAGTAAAAAGACCACTCAAGATTAAATCCGCCATTGCCCAGCACTAGTATTTGTAAATGCCGCTAATAGGAGTTTATTACAAAACCTCATGTCTAAAAATTTGCAGCAAAAAAAACTGTCAGCCACGTTTAATTTTTCCATACAAACTATAATTTATCAGATATCGGTAACAACTGTTGGTGATGCAATTCCTTAGAAATATGTAAAAATTATCTTTTTTTTTTTTATTTCTTAGAAAATTGGGTGCGACAATGAAATCGGATCGAACATGACAGAAGATGTTTGTGGAGTCTGCGGAGGAAACAATTCAACTTGCTTCCATATTCAGAATGTATTTGATACTCTACCAGACATCGGAGGTAAACGGCTTACATTTGAATACCAAATTGGTCACATACGTCTTCCCACCAGCGTTGTACGACTTCAAAACCAAAAATTAGCCACCATGATACAAAACTTATTCGCTATTATAGTTACTAGATAGTTAATCTACTTAAATTTGGTAAACAAGTCAAACTTGCACAAATTGCAAATTGCAGCATTTTAAAATCTGTTACTTTCACTGTGGCATTGCAAAACAAAAACATGTTCTTAGTTTATTTTGATTTGGCAAGATTCACGGTTGATATACAAGTATGAAATTTGTGGTTAGCTACTGAACTGATGGAGTAAGATGAGTTTGTGGCTGATGAAAAATAAAAACTTGAAAAGTTTTTTTGAAAAGAAATTTTGCAAAATTTAATACTTTAATTTTGTATTTTTGGTATAATTAATTTTATTTAAAATATTCGCTTACGTTGAAAAAGGTTGTTGCGTTGAACTGAAAATGTTGGTTAAGGCGGTAACGGTAACGTCACAGCTGAAGGATAAAATTTTCGTCAACGTATTTACCAAACGTTTTACTGATATCGTGAAAAGTTTTGAGCATTGTAAATAACAAAAATTTACTGATTCCATGTATCAAAATATTGTTTGGTCAGATTTTAAAGACTATAATATCTTAAAATCACAACCACCTCTGATAGATGCAAGAATTTTGTCATGTTTTACATGAAACCGACCCCGATTTAACCTCAACCTTCTACTTTACAAACTGAACGTAAACACCCACTGGCGGTCTCGCGTCAAGCTCAATACTTAATCAGATGATCTTTACATAAAACGACAAACCCAAAACATTAATATATAAGATAAAAGTTTCATATTTTTTATTCAATATTTTTTAATCATTCAGTAAAGACCATTAGCAAATATTTATTTCCCTTCTGAACATGGTCCAGATATGGGCCGTGCTCAACTCGTGGATAAAAATGAAATTATTTTCCAATGTGCATAGAGTTATTTATAGTTGCAATATGTAATGCAAACTTGATTACGAAATATTACGTTTATAGCTGCGGAATTTACACCCGTAGGGCGGCATAGAATATTTTGCATTTTTTGGTTAAAAAAGTTTCAAATTTAAAATAACCAAATTTTAATTTTTTTTGTCTTCTTGAATATTTATTGACATGAAACTCATTTTGTTAAGATATTTATTAAAAATCACATGAAGATGGCAACCATCTTCAATTTGCAAAATTTATTACTTTGGTACAAATTTGCAATTTCGTTCAATTTGTGTGGAGTAAAACACCAAATGGTATCGAATGTGTATCCTCCGGCGTATGGTACCGAAAAATGTCGAGAACTAATATACAATGCTGATTGTCGTTGACAATTGTTATCTTCATTTCTTTGAAAAATACTCTATAAAAATTTTAACAATACAATTCATCCATCCTTTATGCTTTGCCATTTTCAATTTTTTTTTCATATTATTACAGCATCAAGCTACGGCTATCATGAAGTTGTGAAAATTCCCTCTGGATCTACACGTATCAATGTAAAAGATCATAACAAGAACTATTTGGGTAAGTTGTAAACATTTATTATAGTTTTTGTTTAAATTTTGGTCAGAATCAATGATTTGGAAACTTCCTAAATCATTTTGATTTAACTACCAGTACACTGACAAAAATTCCCGTGTTTCAGATTATCTTTGTAGTGATTTTTTACAAATCTTTTAAATTATCCCGGTTTAATTCAACAAATCTCTCGGATTCCGAGCAAATATTTACCGCCAACACAAAACAAACACCGATATCTCAGCTTACTCGATGTTTAGTCAGTTTATCTCTCTGGAATGTCATGCATTGCAAAAATGACGAGTATCACGCAACACAGCCATAAATAGGCCAAATCTTCCGGGTCGAAGGTCATTTTTGATTTATGGAAGATAGATAATCGCATATTGGAACTTTTGAATATATAAGAATGATACAAATAGGCGATAGGTAGCAAAAAAACTTGAGCTATCGACATTCTCATGTGATGGTCGCTGCCAAGAGCAAAAAAATAGTATATTCAAGACATATTAAATATTCAAAACGTCGAATGAATCTTCCGAATAATGTTGGCGTTGTGTTAGAATTTGCCTGTTTTACTATAAAACAGGTTTATCCTATGCTACATTTAGATTGAGATAATATTCAGATTGTTCAGCCCTGCCATTGTGATAAAAAAAAATTGTAAATTTCTTGCCAGCAGCTATTGAAAGAGTTACATGCGGCGACTTTTCGGATAAAACTGTGTTCGCTAACGTGATAATGATTCTTGGTCCAACTTTCCTTTCCTTCGAGAAAATTCCAATGATCTCATTTACTTTTTGATAAACATTTGTGCGTGTGTACCATTATCCAAATACTAGGCGGCGTCTAACAATATCAGAAAATATTTGAATAACCAGTAGGTGTGTGCGATGATCGATTGAAAAATATCAGTGGAAAGTGTTTTGTCACGCTATATCGTGTTGTTTATTCATCGCCACCTGTTAAAAACTATTTGTAAAAATCATTCATTTTGATCGTTTAATACAATTTTTTGGTTTTTGAACAAATCAAATTTCGATATAAGTGGGTAGTTTTGTGGCAAATTTTCTATGTTACCGTGGTTCTGTAAGGCGTAGCATACCTTTTTCATAATTGCATCTATGTCAGATAATGGGCAGCGGTATTTAAAAAATTCACGATTTAACAACAGGTACACTAGCCCAAACGGAAAGATTCTTGTGATTTTAGTAAACTTAGTAACTCGCACCAATCAGAGCCGAAGACTGTGTTAATATTCGTATTTTTTTAAATCCGATAATTTACTCTGCCTGGAGATACTGATATGGTTTACATATAGACTTACTTTATTTTACGTATTTATCTATAGTGTCATCAAGCGTGACACTTTGCCAAAATAGGGTGAAATGTCGTGCCTGTACATCTACTATTTCAATGTTTTCCATCCAGGAATGTTTACCTGCGGGCGTGGTGGTATGTGCGTAAGTGACTGTGTATGTTTATCGTTGTCACGCGCAGGCGTAAGGTTTACGCAATAAAAATAATTTACGTTGCTACCTTAAGTGTGACGCACAGTAGTAAAAATAATCATGACGACTTTATGAACTGCAACATTGGGAATTTCATCAGTGTAGCGCAGTATTCACAAATTTGTTATGAGTTTGGCCGGAGAAGTTGTGAAGCCAAAGCGTTTAACAAACGTAAATGAGACTACTTGTCAAACAGGTTTTGTAACTTCAGCGCTGCCATTATGGCTTGAATATTTCTCTTTTATTTTAATGTAGTCATTTTTCAATCAGAGGAATAACTCTCAAAATTCAACAATAATCTACCTTGACGCGCCATGAGATAGATATATTTGAGCGCGCAAAACGTGAGAATATCTGACGATAGTCAGGTTTATCAAAACCTCAAAAGTACGTAAAATCAAGCAATGATTTATTAGTACAACGCCACAAGTGTTGTACATAAGTATCTATGTACACACGCCCTAGTGGTACTTTCCTTAAAGACCAATTCTAGAGGTTTACAACGGTATATTGACATTCCGGCGCGTGTACTGTACTTGCTCTTGAATTTGAAGAGCATGGTAAATCATCTCAAGATTTATTAAACCGTTTCTGTTTGATCTCAATACTAAAACACGTTAGGGGACATTTGTAGTATATGATTTAAACAAGTTATCTTCAAAAACGATTCAAATATTTCTATGGTAGAGTGTAAATGGAGTGGTTCGACACCTCCACTGAGCAAAGATGAGGATATAAGTGGGAATACAGTACACTGGGGGGCAATGTGACTTCCGTCGTTAAAAACAATGTACATAATAACATAAGGAGAAATAATTGTGACGTGACAATTTAAGTACGATCCGAATATCGAAGTAATCTTTTTCCTGTGTAGTAGTAGGGGTCAACGTAACAAAAAGCTGACTTCATTGGAATAACCAGATTCCGAAATCAACTCTTTCTACCTTGGAAAATAAACGTCAATATTATAATCAACTAACTAAAACAAGGTTCTCTGTTCAGTAATACTTTAAGATTATAATCTCAAACTTATTTTTCAGCTTTAAAAGAAGGAGAAGGAACAAGTGAGAAATACATTATAAATGGCAACTGGGTGATAGGTTGGCCTGGAGAATTCCCGACGCTGGAACATCTCTTCACTATGAAAGAGTAAAAGATAAAGAAACGTTTACTATTGCCGGACCAACCACAGAAGATTTATATATCATGGTAAAGATTTTTGTATTTGATTTTTATCAAGAGGTTGGATATATTGCTTGCAATTAAATAAAGCCTTACATAAAATTCAGTGCATTAATATGCTTTAAGACTGTTTAAAGTATGAAAAATAGTAAAAGTTTGTGAAACCCCGCTAAACTTATAAAATGATTTTGCTATTATACGACTACAATCCTGCAGCGATCAGCAACTTTCCTAAAATTTGCAATTTAACTCGTTACTGAAAGATATTCAATTGCTCTTTCTATGACATATATATACCCTGGTTTAGTTTGCGTTGCGTTAACATCTCTCAGTATTCCGTGATCTGTTACAATTTAATGATATAATCCATCGATGTCAGTATATCAAATTTAAATCTTTACTTTTTTATATGGTAAATTTGGTTCAAAATGAGGGTCTTGGCGTGACGTTAAATGCAATTTTGACGTTTCTTGTCTCTAATCAGACTTCAATTGAGGCAAAAATACCTAATATATTCAAACAAAAATACATTTCTGCAAGGCGCTTGTGAATGTGAACTAAAACGTTACTCTTTTTGTATGAACTCATGTTCCTTATTACACGGTTATATAACTCCATAAATGGAACTTTGTCTGAGATAAAAGTCAGTGTTTCTGGTCCACAAAAGCTCAGCGCTTCTATTTTACTTGTCCGTCTAATATTTCGTTTGTCGTACGCGTATCTGTAAGCCAAGACAATTTTCCGGTAGCGGATATCCTTCAACAGAACGGATGTTTCTGGTTTCAGGAGGTCGTATTTAAATAACTGCTAATGAAGCCGGACGCTAAATATAGTTGGCGATCTTGTACTACGTACGGCACTTTCAGAACGAAACTAAATGCGCTACCTGTTAAACGATACTTAGTCTACGACAATGTGACAATGTACCTGTTTTGGTGACACAAATTGTCGCTAGACATTTTTGAGATTTACACCAATACGGGTGGGCTTTTTTATTTCAAATACTTTACATTTAAAGGTTTTTATGAGTCTAGCTAGCCGCTAGCGCTATGATAATCAACCCACATCCCATTGATATACGGGGTAAATGTATGTACGAAATTAAATAGCAGTAACAAGCTTAACGTTTTACAGAACTAAGTTTCGAATGCTGGTCTTTAGCGTCATGATGCTGTAGTTTTGACGATATTTTTTTACTAAAAACGCAAAGAAGTATTCTTGTACGTAACTGAATCACATGTTTTATATGAACATGTAGGTTTGTGACAGAATATTTCAATCGGCCACAAGCAACAATCTGTCAAAGATGTTGTGAAAAAATCAAATTTCAAAGTCGCCGCAGTTGTGTATTTCATAAATCATTTTATATTTATCAGTCTTGATGTCAGATTGACGCGCGAATTACGTAACGAAAATTTTATGTTCTATTTCATGGTGGAAACCGAATGTTGATAACAGCATACAGCTTGTACAACTTTTATTGTACACGATTTTTGAGTTTGTTATATAGTAAGATAATAATAAAAACAAAATTGTTTACTCCAAATACCGCGACTTCACAGCTAAAATTTAAAGTGATAACGTCGCTGTGATCATATTTTAGCGATAAATTGTGATTTTCATATTTTTCTTAGAACAATTCCATTCTCCTCTCCTATATTATATCAACAATGCATTGACGACATTTGTTATCTATGTTTTTGTATAGTAAACGGATTTATTTCCATGGGAATATTTAGCCATAAGCATACCCTTTCAAGGTTAATATGATTATTTTGACGTAATCTATTCCCTTTCATTATGTTTTCGCTTGAGCGAGATAACCTTTGGCACATTAGGTATTCGCAATTTCATTTACTCTCTTTGTAGCGGTAAAACTGGCTATTTTTAGCTAAACTAAATACGTCATTAAATTATATTTTTGAAATATGACGCGGTTAATATTAAACCAAATACACGAGAGCGAATACCTTCAATTTAATGTAGATTGGGGCTTCGTTACAGTGCCGGTAATCTAGTCCTAGACTAAGGGCATACTACAGCCTATTCTAGTGTATACTAGTAACAGATTATGGTGATCTTTTGTAACAATTGTTACTTCAATTTCAGGTTCTGACCTAGAAGAAGCTCCACTTATCGAATACGAATACTGGATGCCGAACTCCGCAAAGGAATCCGGTGACTTCGCAGAATTCAAAATGCAGAAAGCAACTTGGTGGTTCCAGATGAAGGTGGTTAGCTTTCATTAACGAACAGTATCCCAACTCAATTTTCCCTTCAAAATGATTTTTTAGGACTTTGAATATATAAAAATATTTTTTTCTTCATAACCGCCTCTATTATTCATTCAGAAGAAGACTATAGAGCAAAAATTTCTGCAGCTGGACTTGATTTCAACGCCGTAAAGCCACCAACACTCGCTCCAACAACTACCACTACAGAACCTACTACAACAACAGTACCCATGACAACTACTACTCAGTCTGCTATTGACGAGTTAAGGTAGATAGAATAGTTTACTTGTATTTTTTCAATCAAATTTATAAATATATAAATCTTTCAAAAATAATGCCTGAAACCTGGTCTCACTCAAAAAAGAGTTATAACTCAGCACTAGTATTTATTTATTGGTAAAAAAAATTCTCTTTGTAAAATTAATCATTATGTAGTAATTCCGTTGTGCTAGTGATTTTATTTAAACTTCGCTAACAGCTACTTCTGGCATCTATTTTAGCCACCATCGCGAAGCCAAGCACTCGTCCTTCCTATTGTGGGGCAACCTGTAAGAAAACACTCAACAAGAAACGACATTCTGCGAGAGTGATTTTGGTAAGTGAATTACTAAGCTATTTAGGTATATATTGCCACTATTTTACACAGTAACATTATAAATTCAAGTCAAAATATATTTCCTTGAAAACATATGACGTCATCCTTTGTAATAATAACATAATATAATTTGCCAAAAAACAATAAACTAATCGAACTAAAACATCCGATATTATCTACGGTTATAAACAATCGGTAGTAGCCGTGATAAAATATTTAATAAGACGCTTTTTCCGTTCATTTCATTGAAGATCGTATTGTCGATACATATCAGATAAAATTATTTTGCTAGTGCTAAAAGGCCACAAAAATGAACAATTAATCAGATTCATACTTAGATAAAACTTGATGAGTGCAACTTTCAAAATGAAGAATAGTAAACTGTATGTAATAATGTTTGCGAGTATCACACATTTCAACATTTTTTACAAAATCTAATGGTATGTTCCCAACAACGATTACTTAAAATTATTGGATAACATTTGGTTTATCCACAACCATGTGAATATTGTCGACAAAAGTATGCAAAACCACTTCGAAAATGTCAGCACGTTTTCATTGGTATAAGCAAAATCACGCCGCAATATGAACCTAATTGAAATAAAAGATAGCCTAAAGCCGAGATAAGATTTCATTTGCAAAAAAAAACATTTATTCCTATTCAAAAGATGACAAGTTATGGTTTTGACATAAGTATGATTCACCATCATGTTGTGTCAGAAGATAGTTTCAATCATAATTTGTAACGGGGATTAAAGATATTATATAGCTTGTACGTATAAATGTAGAAAATATTACTCACATTCAAGTGTAAAACGATTAAAAACTACAAATAGATGGGTTTCAAGTCTTCTACCTATAAGTAAAATGATAATTTTTAATTAAAAGTAAATTATATGAGTTCATAATATGGATGATGTCATCAACAGTTATCGACAAGGACATTATATTTACGAAGGTGTTTACTTGCTTATATTACAAGCGGTAAACAGCAATATAAAAACAAAATAAATCACTTCCGCGCTTCACATAAAAGGTCACATATTTGAGTGCAAAGTAAATAGCTAATTACAGAATAGCATTCTTTCAAATGTTTGATTAATACCCGATTTTCAAGTGCAGGTCATACTGTATACTATAATAATACATCTTTGTTTCAAATGATACGCCATGACACAGACATACCCTAATAGTAGAAAACAGTAAATGCCCCCCGCAGAGAGATATGCATAGAGTCAATATTAATTTATCACAGAAAAATATTTACGAAGGAAATGACATTGTTTTGACTTCTAAGTAATTCAGAGAGTCAATGTCTGAGAATGTATCCATGTGTTGTGAAAACTGGTTTCAAAAATATTTATGTACAAAATTAGCCTTTGTGTGAACACAATTTCCATTTGAACTTCAAATTTAATTTCATTCTGAGCATGAAGCCTAAATTTATTTTACTGTGTGTATTTTGTTGCGCAAATATTGGGGCAAAAACTTAGTTTACTAGCGGTTTCAGATCCACCACTTTTGAAACTGAATTCAATGTGAAGCGAGTGCATTAAACTTTACTCAGAGTAAATATTTGTAATGAATATGCTATTCTTGCTATGAAAATCGTTCCGGAACTGCAAAACGGTCAACGTTGTAGCTCAATTTAATTTTAATTTGTCGTGTCAAATTAAAAACCCTGTATTTACATAAATTCAGAACATTACAAAACCGGCACGTTTCTTGGTTAAAACACTATTTACATCATTTCATACTTTCAAATACGCTTCCGATTACTGGATTATTTTGACCCAAACATCAATATTGAAAACGGTCCTTTCATCATTTAGAAACGTTTTCGCAGTAAACAAATTTGTAATCGTTTAATCCGACAAACTCATTTTTGTTTCGTGGTGGACGCAAAGTCGTTGTATCATAAATCGTGATCGGGAACTGTACCATCAAGACTACGAATTTTATATTTTTACGTTACTTCAATGTCGCGTTACTACTACCAAGAATTAAAAATTGATTTGTAATACTTTGACAATACAAGCGCTGGCATTGAAAACGAAATGGTTTGAAATGAGCAAAAGTATAGAAAGGTGATAAATCTATTGCAACCCAAAGTACCAGCAATTCCAATATTGTCAATATTATTGTTACATGAGTAAAATTGAAAAACAAGAATTATGAAAAAAATATAAAATAAATAGGTGTAATCAAATCTGGCTAAGCTCCAAATATGCGAATAATTTACAATAACAGGTCTGTTTGTTTCAATGTGAGTAAATCCCACCGATCCGGTAAACACTTACTCAATCAGTTGATGACGCGATTGTATTTGACTGAAATTATGTTCATTATATAAATATGGATGTAATGCACAAGCATATCAAATACGTCATAATGAAACTATATAGCGTCGTTTATTGGGATCAGATTTACATTTTATGCGTTTACTTACTACCTTTGTTAAATCGTGACTTTTTCCATGCGATCCTACTAAAATGTTTAAACATTTACCTCATTTTGTTACATTATGGTCGGATAATTGCTTTTGAGGTCACGACCTAAGTTAAGTTTTATGGAAATGGCGTTTTGTTAAACATAGCCTTAGGGTTGTGTTTGAAGACAATTAAAATAACCCCAAGAAGTGTGCACAGGGCATTAAAGTTTGATTGATCTGGGTCCTCTTTATATATATTTTTTAAAAAAGCCTTTGTTGCGGATTAAATTTTACGACACAAATATACTAACGCCCTGTTCATGGTTGTGTATATTGAAATAAATCTAAATCCAATCACTGCGCTTCAAGTGGTTTAGTCTTTCACCTTGTGGTTGTCAATCTAGTAAAAATTGGTTCATCGTACTCGGCGTTTATAAACAGAAGACATGTAACTAAGAGACTGGTGTCGGAAAAATATTTGCTTATCGGTCATTTCCAAGGCTAATTCACCGGCAATAATTTTATTCATTGAGATTTTACAGTTACCAGAATACATTTATTGTTTGATAAGATGATGTAAGATAATAGCCAAAGCAAAAGAATCACAATGAAATTGAAAACACAAAAATTTGTTATTTGACCAAAATCTAGCTATAATTATGAAAACGGTATGCCCTCAAAAACTCTTGGGAAAGACGTGCTGAAAATATTTTTACGATCTTATCAAAAGTTTTATCTTCTGCGCGCTGTTGAAAACACACAATATCAAAACAATATTGGCACACCAAATATTGGAGTTTTTTACTAAAATATATACAAAAATAAAAAACAGTAAATTTCAAAAGGCCCCTATCGGGGCGTGACAAGATATTCATCCTAATTTTACATTCGACTTCTTAATTGGAAATACCCAACACCTTTTCGAAAGCTCAAACAATTTACCTTTGCAAACTCAGCCTATTTTTCAACACACAAACTGACGAGGTTACAAAAAACACTCATAAAATTTGACATATTCGAAGAATTTCCTGTGTGTGAATTGATCCATTGTTCTACGACGGCGTCATTCGCACGTGGTGACTTTAAATCGCAAATATCAGGCTAAATTGAATAAACATTCGCAATATTTTGGCAGACAATACGTCTGCTTGACAACGATGTGTTTTCGCTTCATGCATAGTACCGACCCTGGTAACCCAGGAAATTTTACATAACATTTTGGTTGAGTAGATATTGCTTGTCAGAGATGGGGTTAGGTAATTTACAATCTTTCACCTTTAGATGACAAATCACGCTCTGTCCTTGCTGTTGTCAGTTTTATTATTTATGCTACCTACAATACTTAATACCGGTACTTTCTGCCTGCTAGAACCTACCAAGTCTGCATATAAAATAGCATGCTAACTTGGGCATATTTTCATTTCAGTTGTTCATGCGAGAATAATCTCAAAACGCCAGCAGCGTGGGAGATTCGCGCGATATGAAGTCGAGGTCCTCACTGTATACAAGCGACGATTCAAACTTATGAGACGTGAATACATATGGGTTTCGAATTCCTGTTGCCACAAATTGCGCCCATACAGACATTATCTTCTTATGGGTAGAAAGGTCAAGGTTGACGTCACTGGGGCTGATAAATCTGAGGTAAGTTGAATTATGTTAATATCTATTTATAGTTTGTTCATACTATATAAATTTTTTTTTACAAAGAAAAAGCGATGATCTCCTTCGATTCATACTTATTGGTTTTAATCTGAAAATGAAATTTTCAAATGTATTAGCATATTACAATCATTCACGCCCTATTATAACTATTTCTTTCCATTTTAGGATATTGACATGAATCCGGATAAAGCCCGCCAGTATGAACCCCGATTGATCGTCGATCATTCCGATTTTGGTACGCATGGAGGAAATACCAAATCAAAATGGCTCGTGCCGCGAAGCATATAAACTGCAAAAGATACCGTTATCTGGCAACTAAGTTTCACAGAAGGCGGCAAAACGAGGCATAAACTAGTCGAATTTGTGACGTCATGATTTAGCAACCGTTGCCAAATCTTGCAACTGAAACAACGCCGTCCGAGTCATAAAGTGGACTAAAACAACACATTACCTCAAACCGATCGGAGTACGGAATACATTTCCTACAGTTCATTGCCAGAGCGGAGCAGATACAAATGAGAAAAACTTGATATGACTGCTCCTAGCAGATGACTGTGATACCGTGTGACAATACCGTGCTGCAAATACTAATTCATCATTTAGAATAAATTAGCCAAAGGCAAATACCTGCGATGTGCGCGTTTTATGACGATGACTCGAAAGCATACTATTAAAATGAAGATCGAATTTTTAGTATTCGAAATATCAGGGAGCATCCTTATCTGAATATGGCTCTGTGCAATTAGGCACTCAGATACACTAAACTTTCATATTCTTCCATGCATCTGGAAGAATCAACTAATTAACTATTTGCGTGTCTAACCAGAACTGAAAAGCCGTGATTCGTCATACAATTTTCGTTTTTTCTTCTTTTTATTGGATAAAGGGTCTATCTATCTGTCGCTGATACGTAAGGCGCTACTATTTTTGGAGAATCGCAGCTCTTCTGTTTCGACATTTCCACCAATTTAAAATTACTGAAAGATTGTGTCATAGGCTTGTCTTCGCCAAAATGTTGTAGTTGTAATGTTGTACTGGTGTTAAAATGTTTAGAACATTTTAGTTTGACAAAGAGTGCTCGCTCACCACATCCTGTGTGAGTATGATCCTGTTTGTTCTTTTGTGTAGTAAAACCAGATTTACCTGAACGAAATGAATAATTTCTGATATTTAGTGATTTAATTTTAGAAAACTTAGTTCTCAATATGACCGAGCATTATTGTACAATACAATAGTTACATGTAAAACAAAATCAATAGTGAAAACGACAAACCTCGATTTATAGAACTTCATATATGAATGTTTAGTAAATCGACATCCCGTCGTTTTGCTTTTGTCAAAATGCGACATCACTTTTCTACTTTTGCATTTTTTTTTCGCTTCAAAATTCATCCCCCTTGCCTATTTCTCACATAATGTCTGACTTAGACACAGACTGACTTCGATATTGGAATTCTTTTTTATTCAATTTAGTGATACGCTTTACATGGGCTGTATATGTTACAAAATTTGTCGACTATTGTGGATGACTATTAAGTGAAGCGTTTATAGATAAATGGTAATTTATACAAATTAGTACTTGCCACCAAAAATTTCATACTTTTTCGAGTTCGTCATTTCTTATATACTTTTTTATTTTTTGGTTCATGTTTTACCGTTTTGTACATTTTTGCTTCATTTTTATTTGTTTATCATTTTTTTTCGTTTATTTCCTTTTTAATGACGACTCCGCTTATACTAAATAATATGAGAGGACACAAGATTCATTTTGACTCGTTAACTTTTTGTCAACATTTTGTTTGTTTATTTATCTTTTGACTTACACCTCCAATTATGAAGGTTCCAACTACACAATTACATTTCAAATGTTTTGGCTGAATATGATCGAATCTGTGAGCCACAAAATTGATTGTTCATATTTACTTTAGCAATTTTCCATATCCATGTCTGAAGTTTGTCGTTTCTTAGTTCTATGAAAACCAAGTCAACACACAAATACTACTAGTTCAATATGACTAATGGCTTCATTATTCGCTTCGTTTTACATTTTCAATGATTTCATTCCTTACATTCGCCAACAAATGTTTCAATAAAATTTTCTATGCATTGCTACTATAAAACTGTTAACTCGTAGTTACTAGACAGGGATTACCAAGAGCGGGTATTCAGCTTCGGGTATTCACAAAAGTTATTTCCTAAAAGGTCCAAGTTTGGTCGAATGCGATGGGACATACCACAAGACGATATTTACAGTGTCAGAGATTACCTCGACGATGGTTCTCATTAGTTTTCATTGAGTGCGATATATATTATTTCTGCATATTAAGTTCAGTACTTAAACTTGACTTATCGCAGGCAAAATCTATTTAGATAAAGGCAAGCAGGCAAATAAAGGGTTTTTTGAATTAAAGCGCCACCCAAAAGCGTTTAGTGATCGATAAGACTTTGCCCTTTTTTGCAAACCAGTATTCGTGTTTGGTGAAAAATAATGCAAACAGCTACTCCGATACATTTTCTTTTGTCAATAATAGGACAGGATCGAGCTCAGATTACAAATTTACGTAGCTCAAAGGCTTATTCTTTATCTAAATTTAAGTCAGTCATTTGCATTGTGAAACCCTGGACTGAAAAACGTAACAAATTTGAAAAGAAGGCAAACATGTAATGAATTACCTTCCAGATCAAGGCGCCTCTGTGATTCGATGCTTCGTTTATCCTCAATTTTTTTTAGCGTCCATGTTTTTGCAATACATGAAACACTGCACCTGATTAAGAGTATACATCATGTGTACATGCTTTAAGGTCAACCCGCTGTCTATATTGCCAAACTTTAGTCTATACGGTGGAGGCTATTGAGACCATATCCCATTTCTAACTATTACTGTACTGCTTCTTAAATCAACGTGCATCAGCATCTCTGATCAAAACAAAACATTGGATAGCAACTAATCAAAACAATGCTCTCATTCTCAGTCTGGCGTGACTTGGCACCGAGGGTCAAGATGCTCATCAAATTGTTGCGGAGGACACGATTATTGTCTTTATTTTTCTCCTGACATTGCGATATTTTAGCTTTTCGCGTTAGCTGACACATGACAGCAATCTTTTAAATAAATTTATTTTATGGACTAACATGCATGCCATACGATAATTGCGCATAGTGTTTTTTGTTTTACAATGTCTGATACAGAGATGCACTCATTGGGCTCGACGGGCATTGTCGTAATACAGAACATCGCATGAATCTCACTTCATATGCTCACTTTAACCATATGCTCCACAATATATATGCAGCCTACCGCCACTCAGAAAAGTGGAATAAGCGGGAGAAGTGCGGAACAACCAAAAGAAGTGCGGAATAAACGGAAGAAGTGCGGAGCAAGTTGGGAGATGGGACAATTACAAGATACATTCACAAGCGACGTATAGCAGGTCTCTTCCTACACATCGTTGTGTGTCGGAAATAAGCAACTCCTAATCATTCCTATCATATAACACAAAACAAAAAGATTCCAGTGCAATATTTAATTGTCCGTTTTCTAATAACAAACTATATCTTGAAGTCACAATGCTTCGTTAAATATAATAATTTATATAAAAGCAAGTTAGTTCGCTTCATCATGCTCTGGCGTGCTTTACTATTTGCGTGCATAATCATAAGAGTACCGTGAATATGTTTTTTCTATGTATATGAAAAGCATAGCGATATTTTTTTCAGTTATTAATTTGAATCAGTAAACAAAACTAAATCTTCTCATAAGTTAGGGGTTTTCTAATTTGTATATATTATACAAATGTTGGTGAAATAGAAAATGCTAGTTGTAGATTATCATTTCGAAACAATCACAGGTTCCATAAAAAAATGAGTTGTCTATTAACTCAATTTACTGGTAAATCACTCTACTGATGTATTTGTGATGTAACAAAAGGCAAAATTAGGAGTTGATCATAGTCATATATAAAGATAAAAAGTGTGCTTTTCACCCAGTTACGTATATAACTACGATAAACGGAAACTTTGCACCATTTTATGTCCTAAATCACCTTTCTAATGCCTGGATAAGATAAAGTCTATAGAACATGATTGGGGAGGGGAAAATGTTTTTCTAAATTTTATCTAACGAAATTGAACCTGGATTGACAAAAAAATTTCATCAACGTCCATCAAGACTATCAGGGTAAGACAAAAATTGAACTCAATGCAAATTTTTGCATAATTAACATATTAAATATCGTTTATAGATTATGGAAAAATTAATATACTTTATATATATATTTCGCCAACTGATTAGCCACTCAGCATTGTTAAAACTTCCTACTTCAAAAGCGATATAAGATGTTAAGTGAAGAGAACTACCGGTAAGTGCAAATACATGAAATACAGTAATACTAATAAAAATAATCACAGTATATTAAATAAAAAATAACAAAAACGTCACAAATCAGTACTACTGTAATAATGAGAGCAAATACTATTGCTATCATAGCTTCCTTTATATTACAATTGGATTGAGTTGGTTTAAAGTGTTTACAAATAACTACACATATTAAGTTAGGCGCTATAATACTCTATCCTTGTTATAATAAGAAATATAAATTTGAGATACCTTACGGATTAGAGCACAAAAGCCTGTCGAATTTCACAATTGTTAGTTAGTTAGTTTTTTGTTTTGTTTGCGAAAACTTGAAATCAGCGTCTTTTTTAAAACTTGTCACTTAGGTTAATTCAGTTTCCTCGTGTTATTTATTCTTTCAATATTAAATATCTTGAATCTTCATAAAAAAATATGGCACGGTCAATGCAAGACGATTAAGTAAAACATTTCAAAGTAACATAGCTGGAACAGTATAATGATTCACAATGTAAAAATATAAAAAAAATTGTGTCATTATTTTTTCAAAATAAAATAAAATACTGTGTTGAAAAGCAAAAAATAGCAAATTTGGTCAAAATTCTAGCAATGTGATAAAAAGAAGCAGAAAAGTATAAAATTGAGTTATCATTAATTGTAAAAATTTGCAATGAAATTAGCAATTCGTGTGTGAAAAGCAAGGTGTTCGTAATAATTTTACAAGTTGGTGTAAAAGTTTCAAATGATATAAAGCAATACTAGCAGCAAAGTAAAAATAATTATAAAGCAAATATTTGCTCAATCTTTGTAGTGCAAAATCTAAAAAATGAATAAATAATGACTGAATTCGAAGCAATTTCAATTAAAACTTGGTGAATTTGTATTGAGACTTTTTCAAACATGGTTCAATGTAAATTTCAAAATACGCCTGCACTGAAAGCTCCTAAATATTTGAACGAAAGACATCATATATTTTCGAGTTTCAATTTAAAGAAATGAAAAATGCTGAATTCAATTTTAATGTAGAAACATTATTAGTGCCAAGTGCAGCTTTCGGATTTGGCTTAAAAATCACAATTCCAAACCCATTAAAATGGAATTAGTTATATTATGATAATATTTCCATACATATTCTAGCTTGACAGACTGCATGAATATCCAGTGAAATGCATGTCTGTTTATATATTCAATTTAATATATAGTCAATCGAGTTTAATTTTTCCAGCTTGTAACATAAAAACTATACCAAACAAAATTACAAGAAATATTTGAACACACAATTTTACTGGGAAGTGAAACCAAGAGGATCAAGGTTAATAGATTTCATCCTTGCTTTAAATATTGATTAACTATCTCCTGGTTTGTATGCCATCATGCCTCTGATTCTTTGCCATAATCTCTTGTAGCAATATCATTTGGTTCAGTTTCCGTTATGTTTTGCACAGGAGTGGATGATCTTCCTGAAATTTTAGCCAGTTCATCTTTTATAGATTGCAGTATTGCTGCTGATGGATGAGGTTCTTGTTGTTGTGAGGTCCCAGGTTCGAAACCCGATGTAGTAGCATCGGAAGGTAATGTTGTTTGAAATGTCTGAGGTGGGGGGAAGTAACTTTCATTCAAGTCAATAGATGTAGGCATTGTGCCAGGTAGGGGTGAATTAGTTCCTAAGTGGGGTTGCTGGTAGCTTCCACTTGACCCAGGATGTAAAAATTGACCATCTCCTTGCACAGGTTGGTTATTGTTGTTGTAGTTTGTATTTCCGTACGTCGAATTCGGTTGACTTTGCATTCTCGCGAGAGAATCGTATGTTCTGTAAGGTGTCCAAACTGGAGATTGTGAATCATCTGAAATAGGAATAGGATTTTCATATTTATCTAAAGATACGGGAAACGTGATAAAACAGTCAAGATACATGGCCAGTCCTATAGGATTTAGGATCATATTTATCACGGAGAGAGGAAAACCAATAAGATGACTTAATCATATGACATACAACAGCTTCTCATCCGGTACCAGTCCATGTGGATAACAAATCAGTTATCGAGTTATATTTTCTAAATTCATGTACTCTTGTCTGGTTACCAATCCAGGTGAAGTATAATATAATCTTTGAATATGGTTTTAATTGTTTGAGTTGAATTAGTGATTCACTGACAAGTAAAATAATCTGACTTCAATTTTGAAACCTTCAAATATAAATTGGCGTATTTGGAAAAAATGCTTACAGTAAGTTTTAGTATCATGTCACAATTGTAACTTTCAAGAGATAAAACAGAAAGTAAATTCGATGTTGATAAATTCATCTCTTGACCAACACTAAGGCACTGACAAAAATACCATGGGATTAAAATGAGGTTCTGTTATATGATTGCTTTACTTCAGTATTAAAAATTAAAAAATTAACAAACCTCCTGGTGGCATCTGTTGTCTTATAGGTGTTATATACAGCGGTTTACCACTCTGTGTTGGACCAGAATATACAGCAGGTATCTGACCTATGTCACCTAAAATATAGTCAGAAAGAAGCATTATGTGAATGCATATAATAATTCAGGTGAAGAGAGTTTTATTACCAACGCCAAACTTAAATGATAAAGTTTGATGAAGAAAAGATAAATGATGGAGAAAAAACTTGTTTAACCAGGGTATAGCTATAATAACAGTTATCAATCCAGAATGAAGACTTACTAGGCCAGATATCACCGAGTGAGCTTGATAAACCAGCACCAACCATATTATTAAAGTATTTTCATTATTTAATTAGGTACTGATTATGTTTTTGTTTAAAACTTTCCGAAATAAAAATAAAAGCATTTTTTCATTATCTTTCAAGGTAATTTTTTAATTCTACCATTAGGTGGCATCATAACGATGGGTGGTTGCCTTCTGGTAAAGAGAACTTCACTGTTTCCTGGTGAAGGAGGGGAAAGTGAAGAATGTCCTGTAGGTGTCTGTGCAAGATCTGTCGAATACCCAGCAGGTGTCATTACTCGATGGTGGGGAGTTGATGTTCTACCGTCTGGATGATGCATCAGTGGACGATCATGTGCCTAGAAAAAAAAAAAAATATTATGTCATGTTGGTGCCGTTTGAAGCATCATGTCTCTACCATCGTACTTCTGATTACCACGCATGGGTTTGCAGATTTGAATCCTGTGGCGAATAATTAAGTCACAGAGGGTTGGCGCGGCGGTGTGGCTCAACGGGCTAAGCGTTAGGAATACGCTCGCCGCCGCACCTCTAATTACTCTGCGTGGGTTCGCAGGTTCGAATCCCATGCAGGGATGGTTATGTGCGAGAGGATTGCTGGACTCCTCGCCGTCGTTGGGTGGTTCACGTAACCGCTGGTCGGTTACGGCTTCCTCCACCACCAAGTCCATGCTCCCGAAAACGAACCATATAACTAATCCCATACCCGACTTGGAATGGTAACCGGACGAGAGGCCGTGGTTCGCCATATGGATAAGCCGTCTTATCGGCTTTCTTCTCCCCCGGGATAAATATGTAAATCCCATCCTATCCTTACTGGCCTTCTAGCCATCTTATGGTTGTTCATGCGATCACTAGTTTAATACATTTGTATTTCATATTTCCTCTCCCGTGTTATGAATATTGAAATCTTATACTAAAATACCAAGTAGTTGGTTCTTACATCTATGGCAAAAAACAATTTTTCCGTGTTGAAAATAATATCATAACCACTTTAAAAAAAAAATTTCACAAGATACGATTTTTGCACATTTATCTCAGGAGAGAAACAAATCAATGGGATGGCCTAATCATATAACCAACCAGTTATTCATTTCGGATGCATGGACTTTGTGGTGGAGGAAGCAAAACCAACCAGTGGTATGGAACAAGAAAACCACCCTACAATTGTGAGGAATCCAGAAATTTCAACAAGAATCAAACTTGTGAACCAGCACAGGGTTAAAAACATGTTCCTGATGATTCCTAATAGAATGCACCAATCATTCAGATTCTTCAGTCGAGCCAGAGTCAGAAAGGGTACCAGTAATTCAATTGAACTTTAACCTTTCCTACATTTGACCAATCATGTAAAACCTTGATTTCATACAAGTGCCCAAAAAGCCATACAACAAAATAACAAAAATATGACTCACAGGTGCAGGTTGCACAACCATAGGTGGTGTGGGTCCAACCATGTTTTTCTGAGCACTTGGTGAAATTAGATTGAAAGCGTCTGCTAGTAAACTTGCCATCTTTTTACGAGTTGTCTCTGGTGATGTAACACCTGGAGTGTTCAAAAATAAATATATACATATACTCATTAATATAGATTGCAAAGTTCTGCAGCATACAATAGGAAGATTCTCCAGCGGAAAAATTTTACAATGAATGGTATTGGCCAATACTCATCAGTTTATACAGTGGGAAATAAGAGCAAACATATTCTCTTTATAATGCTAATGCTGAATAACACGAGAAGAGTTGGTTTATAGCAGCGAATGTGAGATGACCATTTGCATTTAATTTCTGAACTGCTCACTTTTGTTAAATTGTTCATATAATCACCAGTTGCAGAGGCCTCCATACATGTGTTCTTAGATCATATGCTGAAGCATTTCAGGATGATTTGAATAAACCAATTGTTAGTTACAGATTTTTCAGCTCAAATTGAATGGCAGAGTTAGCAACTAGACTATTTGCATCAATATACACAGTTCAGCATATCTGAACTTTGTTTGCCTTGTCAACCGGGAACACCCAAGAGTTGTCTGGTCGGTTTGATCAAAGACAATGCATAACAATATTGCTATGTAACATTTATGGTTTGATGGTTGTCTCATTAACACCTCCGTGTTTAGTGGATGCTGTTGGTGGTACAGCTGCCAAAGTCACGGAGTACTCACTTATTATAACAGTGTCTAAAAACTTAATTTCTGACTTTTTAAATTTGATTAGATATTGTACCCTGGGTGTCATTGCTGGTAACCAGTTTTGGCTCCTCGCGACTTCTCTTATTAGTAAAAACTTTAATTTTTTAGTAACACTTTAACTATGACTTCCCCCACTCTACTAATCCCATGCATCTAGATTATTCCTATATTTGAGCTGGACAGAACCTGAACAAGAGATCATTGTCATTTGCATGTTTGAACCATCTTATTGACATTCAATCCTTTTAAATGACTATCAAAGTACTATCCTAACCACCACAAGATCTAAAAAAGGATTACGGTAAATTAAAAAATCCGAAAAAAAAAATTACCAGAATCTGTGCTAGAAGATTCAAAATCTTGGTGATATCTTTCAGTAGGTTCTATCGGTATAATAGTAGGATCTCCCAGATTCAGTTTTCCTTTTGTCCGATGATACCTCTTCCTACTTTAAATGGAATAGCAAGTTTTTATGTCTAATTTTCAGCAAAGTTGAAAATATATGAATTCTCAAACTCAAACAAGTCATTGATATAAGATTGCAACCTTGACAAATTAGTGATAAGTTTTTCAGCTCATGGCATATCAGTAAATTTGAGAATATACTGCTGAGTGAGATTCTCTTTTCTCAATGTGAGTATTTACTATTTAGGCCTTTTTTAGACATGCTATCAAAATAATGGTCATTGCGATACTTTCATGTCTCCGAGGGCTAACTTATGATTTCTGGTTCAAATATAATTAAAACGGTTATGTATGATTAAGTAAAAAAAGACTGTTAATTGGACAGGAAGCCGTCGATTCTTCTCTTTATGATAAATATGGAAATTCTGCTCCAAATAGTTTCAGGTTCAACATTCCTAATATGTGATAACTTACTGTGGTTTCTTAAAGACATCTGGTGTTCCAGGATCAATAACTCTGTTAATATCATCTCTTCCATCACTATAGGGTTCTGTAATAAAAAGTTATTCAATCAAAAATATCAGCACACACTAAATTACTCAAGTCGGATAAAATCTTCCATATAACATTACATTTCAACTTAGGTGAGTGAACATGTACCGCTCCTTCCTGGCAAAACCTTCCATCTTATATACACTCTGTACGTTTTAAACCTTGTCTAAGGTTTTATTTGTTCTCCTGATTTCATAATCAGTTTTTAGTTATTTGTTTTTACCAATCATTTTACTGTTATGATGATTATAGAGTCGAAATAAACTTATTATTATTAAACTTGTGGTAGTTTATTAATTTAGCAATTAAAATTCGTTTACCATTGATTATATTATATATATATATATTAGAGTTTAAAAAATCAACATTCACACATTTACGAGCACAAAATTAAATAAAAACTGTGCTTTTTGTAATTATTCTTATTACGGATTCTATCAAATCCGTCATAGCAATGCACAGGAATACATACCGGTACTTTATATTATAAATAATAAATATTCAAATTCAATGAAATAGAATATAAAGTGCATAAAAAATTCATAGTGTTTAAAATAGTCAACAGTTGGAAGTGCATTAATATTGATTATTTACAGCAGCTATAATAAAATAGGTTATGAAATATTTATAGATTACTGTACATAATGAAAATGTATTATGTGTAATATATTTTTCCTTCAATAAATTTACAAGAACTGGAAATGCTCAGTGAATATCAAATTGATACCAAATATATTACACCCTGGGTGCAGTGGTGGGAATGGGGTTTGGCACGGAGATTTGAATGTGCAATGCCATCATTAGGACTAAGGCTTTAACTACACCTATGAAGTACCGGGTAACATAAAATCATACTAGGTTAAAAAAGCTGAATACTACATACTAACAAACGTTGGTGTGTAAATATGTTTAATTGACCTAATAATTTCAGTATCACTCGTTTTCCTGATGGGCACTATCAGGTGGGATAACTGTGAGGACAGCTGAACTGGGTAGGCTAGGTATTTTGTACACAGCATCATGTTAAAGTTGAGAGGTGATGAGACAGGACTAAAAAAATTATGAAGATCCACATTGTATGGAGCAAGAAGTAACTTAAAAACCATTATATTTCTACAACAAAAGCTCATGAATACTTTGTCAACTTCGGCAGCGTCCTTAGTGATTAAATCACAAAATAAAATCAACAATTTTGATTTCTTCCGAGACGTAAACAATAAGTTGTTTTTCTTAAATCAACAATAAGTAGAAAATATAATCCTATTTAATATCCAATTGTTAGAAAACACAACATTTCACAATTGAAGCGAGCATGAATCATAGTTATGTTCACAAAATACACAAGGTTTATGGTCAGCCATAGAAGAAAAGAAATAATTTGAGCATTGTGATGTAAACAATGAAGAAAATATTACACTGTGATGATTGAATTGATCTGTGTGTAAATCCCCTTATCCTATAATAATAAAAGCGGGATGAACAAAGAATCTGTAACAAATGAAGCAATCCTAAATATTTATAGTTTCACAATGAAAGTTTCACAAAGTTTTACAATTTGGAAGTTTCAAGAGTTAATGACTCCATTGATTGGACTTTGGAAAATTTAGTTGTCTGGTTTGATTCTTTTAATTAACCCACACTTATGATAGGAATTTATAAAAGGTTTATATGACTGAAGTAACAAAAATAATAATTTTTACCATTTCTTGATGCTCGCCTTCTTAATCTGACTTTATTTTTATGTCTTTCAATTTCTCGGCGTTGGTGCATCTGAAATTTACAAAGAAGGGAAATTGTTACAAGAATAAAACTTTAGTGAGAAACTAGAATCCAAAGAATACTATTCGAATATACTGTATTTTACAAATAAAACCGTCATAAAAACATACCATTGCATCCTCAGTCAATGAGTCCCTCATATCTCTAGATATCACAGAATTAATAGGAGGTAAAATAATAGGATGAATGGTAGATCGAAACTTAGGTACAAGTGGATCAGAAGACATAGAAGCTGACGGAGATGGTTTGTGAACTACTGGGACTCTTTTTGTTGTGATAGGTGGCAAACGCTCTGTAAAAAATAGGAGATAAAAAAAAAATTGTTAATATGGATTATTGGGTTAAAAAATAGCCTAATTTTAACTTCGCCTTAAAAAACAGAAAAATCATTTATAAGAAAATAATGTGTCCAGATGAAAGAAAGACTGCATTTGGTAGAAAATGTAAATCAAATGAGACACTGAAATAAATTTTAGTCATGTATGTCATTGAAGAAACGTTAGACCTCAAGTCTATGCATATGCATATTCACAGTATTCACATATAGCTATTTAACTTTTTATGTGTTCTCCAGACACATAAAGTACTGAAAACATAAAATTCATAACTCAGACAGTTCGCTGAGCATTCACACACAATGAGAAACATGTTTCATAAATAACTCACTAGTAGAAAATAGTCATATGTCAGAATTGCATTTCAAAAATATGGCTCCAATAAACAAAAATTGAGGGATGCACTTCCACAACCTTTGGTTACAAAACAATAACAAGATGGCGATTCAGTATTTTTGTCCTAGCTGATTCCAATAATTTTGATTCGATTTTAAAACAATGAAATCCCCAAAAATGTAAAAGCTCCAATAATTGATGCACAAATTTCAAGAAATTTTGCTCAAAATGCTCGAAAAAATTTTCATTTCTACTAGAAATTGACAGTACATGAACATACCTGCTTTAGGTTTTCTCTTTGGCCTTGGCGTTTCTTCTGATTCAATACTGGACTGATCTTCTGGCCTGAAACAGATAAAGAATATGGTAAGAACTAAAAATTTTGGTATAATTGACATATTTTGTGATGATTCGCGACACAAAGTGTTTGATTGTGTGGTACATTTATTTCATACGAAATAGACACAATGGACGTAAGTTGATAAAGTTCAAATGTTTGCAGTGCTGTAGTACATGTCTTCACCAATTTAACGATTCATTACCAGAATTTTAAGAGATGATAGAGGCCGCTGTTTCGAAGAGGAAAAATGTCCTGTAGTGTCACGTCCTGTAGTGTCATTTACGATATGCACATTATTGTTACATTAAGTAACTTAAGCAACACATAGAGAGATCTTTCAGCTACGGCACCAGAAAATAGTATGGGCTCCCACTGTACCGTCGCAAAGATTTACAGCACAACACAATGTAACGTTAATGCATGGTGGATTTGCCGTCCAATAGAGTCACGCTATATTTTGCTATATATTTTATATCCACTAAGTAAGTTTTGTGTTAAACTTTTGTGAAATCTTTTTCATATTCAATAAAGCAACTAATTGGACAATAAAACAAAACACGTAGCTGATAATGTAAAAATATATTGCATCTAACAACATGCAAAATTCCTGGAATTGTCTTGTAGAGTCACTTGGAATAGCCCATATGATTAGGTTGTTCATAATGCAATTTCTCTCCCTAATGATGAATATAAAAATCCATCTTAATTATAACACACCGATGAGATTCTCTCAGTAAAGGTCTCGCAACTTCTACATGTACTTCCGGGCTGGGTACTGGAATTAGTGGCGGAACAGGTTGTGCGTCATTTTTAATATCCCGAGTTACAACGGGCTCCCGAGGCAGAGGCTGTGAAAAAGAAAATATCAACAAGTGTTAGTTAATTCATCAGAACTGTTGTTCTTATTAGTTGATTAACCACCAACCCTTTTCATTCGAAACATGGTCAGATTCTCTTGATGAAAGTGAAAAATCATCAACTTAAATAATGCAGAAAGACCCACATATTGAACAAGTTTGATAACCATATGTTACAATACTATAAAATTATTACCAATTACAATAATTTTCATGTGGTGGCCAAGCGATTAATGGGTTAGACTTAACTGTGATAGCATCACGGGCAACGTTTCCTCTAAAAGCTTGCTTAGTTGCGCGGAATAGAAGGCCATGTGAGCTTCAAAAAAATGGTCTGCGCGGAAAATTAGAAAAAATAGAAAAGTACACAACATTTTAAATCAACACAGAATTTATTCATTCATTTTTAGTTAATATGCTCGATTGATTACTGGCACACTAGAATTTCACGGTATCTATCACTGTACAATTAGTTGTCAATACTACGAAAGTACTGCGCTGGGATTCTCGGCCAGCTTAGAGAGATTGTTGATCACAGGTTACCATGCCTGAAACTCTCCCAGAGTGGGGTAAATTGAATATAGGTATTGCAGAACAGGGAAGATTACATTTTTTTCCTAACTATAGTTATGGTACTCCTCACTCAGCCTGCATGCTTGTAACGAGGCTTTTTCAGAGCGAATGTGATAAAAATTCAACCTTGATATTTGACATTGACATTTTCATCGTATTTTGAAAATTGAAAAATATTGATACTTACTGGTTCAAAGCTTGTTGTACCTTGCCCAACAATAGCAACCTTATCAGCTTTTTTTCGACAGCATAACTTGTAGCAAAGAAAAACTGCTAATATGAACAATATAAGGCAGACAATCCCCAAAACAATAATAACGATAAGGTACCACGGAAATACATAGGGAACAGCAACTGTTGTACCTGGTGAAAAAATAGGTGGATTTCGAAGTTATTAATATAAGCACAGCCAAAATGCTTATTTATTAAAAGTAAATAGGTTGTAAGTGTTGGAAAATGAATATGTCGAATCGACTCATTACCGAGTTTTGTAGAAGTTTGTAATATGAAAAATTTGGTAGGAAAACACGAATATGAGTCAACAAGGATTAAAAAAAAAGAGTTACAATTTAATTTAATTATAAATAAATTATAAAGGCCTTAGCTAATATCAATTTCCTAAACCTGAACTTGGATTTTTTACAACTGATAACTGAAATTATGAAACTAAGCATACCTTCTGTTGCATTAGTAGTGAAGCTTGTGAATGCAGTTACATTGGTAACCAGTGAAGTCACATCTTAATATAAAATATAGAATAAAAATTGAGGGAAATCATCAAAACTACTTTACTTTGTAACTCTATACTTGGAAACAATTAAATTGAAGTTTTAGAATATTTCATTATGAAAGCTATCAAACGTGAAATTTGTTTATTGAGTTGAATGTTTTTTTTCCTTATGGCAGACTTACAAACACTCATTTGAAAATGACGGATTGCAAAATAATGTTAACCGCAGCAGTGTTTTGTGTAGCATTATTATGTCAGTCTAATTTAAAAATGGCAAACAGAATCAAATAATATTTGCAAACTCACTCTAAAATATCTCAATGTTAAACACAAAACCAAAATGCAAAAACGCTTTTTCATATTTCTCAACACCGAGTGTTCTTCATATGATAAATTAATTTATTTGTATAATCATAAAAGCAAAACAGAATAACTGTCAAGCTGTTTAAGAATTTTCAAATATTACTGAAAGAGATTATGACTGCGGAAACTAGGAAGTGTCTTACTTAATTTATAATGAACTGCACGTTAGTCAATACCTATTGAAACGAGACTGGAAGAAGTTCATGTCAATACAATCCGGATAACAGCTACAAGGTTGAGAATTTCCAAATAACTACAATTTTTGGAAAAAAACTTCGGGCATAAGAATTTTTTACTGGTAGTGAGAGCTCACAGCCAACTGAAGTTGACGACTAAAAGCTTTTTAGTAGTTAGAAATTAAACAAAATGTGACATAACACACAGGGGATAAAAAATCCCACAAAAAAATGCAACAAGAAAAAATACCTGGTGTTATATCTACAACTGCTGTAGTGACATTAGAAGCAGAGCTGGTAGATACAGTAACAGATGTGGTATCAGAACCTGGTATAGTACTGAAGCTTACTGATGTGGTGTCTATAATTAATGTGGCAGAGTTAGTAAGTGTTTCAGTATTTGTAGAAGAACTTGGTACAGTCGGTACACTATTTGTTGTAGTTAAACTGGTGTTAGTAGATGATATGGTAATTGATGATGTTGTATTTACAGACATGGTACTATCAATAGTAACGGCTGCATTAGTAGGTGTATCAGTATCTGTTGATACACTGGTAACTGGTTCAGGAGTGGTCTCAGTACTAATCACAGGGGGCATAGTAGTAGCAATGGTTGGACTTGTGGTGGTATCTGCCACAGGTAGTGCAGTACTTGCTGTCGTTGTGACCTCAGATGTTTCAGTCAAAGTTGAAATACTGGTTGTTGCTATAGTAACCATTTCTGACGTTGGACTTGTGGTTAAACCGTCTGTAATGGTCACTGACACTGTTTTGACGTCAGATACTGCGGCGGATGTTTCAGTCAAAGTTGAAATACTGGTTGTTGCTATAGTAACACTTCCTGACGATGGTGTTACCGCACTTGTAGTTGCTACAGAATGATGAACACGAATAGGATTAAAAAATGTGCTGAATTGGTTTGCTTTCATGTTATGAGAAGCAAAACAGAATGAACAATTTTGCCTGTTGGTAGGTAGGACATTAGGTAGTGCATGTATGAAAATCCATGATTTCTGGTATGGATACCATTCAAGTTTGGTGTATGGGTATTGAACATAAAAGATGAATGATGCGCCAACCGCTAAGATATTTTTCTGCCGCTTCCTTACTTATAGGTGCCAGTATAAAATTTTATCTAACGACTTTTCAACTTGTACTGTAACATAAAGAAAATTTGTGAAATTCTCTAACCCATAACATCAGAAACTGGTATGCCTGGAGTTTAGGGTGGAGGAGGGGGCTCAGTGCTGAGTGTTATGGATATGGTAGTAGAAGAAGTTGAAGTGAAGGAATCTACCAAAATGTTGAGTGTGTTAATGAATTTTTGGCAAGCTTTGCAAATTCATGATATAGTTATTGCTATGGTCAATGGATTGACTATGGATTTGCCAGTGTTGGGGAGGCCCGAGTGATTGAATTAACCTGATTTGGACTTGAGATACCATTCATAAAAGTGATTCATAGTGACTTGAATCACGTAAATGACTCGTCTTTGGACTCAGACTCAACTTGAGATTGGACTCGAGTTACCGTTTAGATAAGTGATTCAAAGTAACTCGATTAACCTGAATGAAATGAATTGTGATTGTACTAACTACTAGTAAGACTTGAGTCAGTGACTGTCTCGACTTTTGACTTAGACTCAAATTGAGATTGGACTTGAGTTACTGTTTATATAAGTGATTCAAAGTAAGTCGATTAACCTAAATGAAATAAATTGTGATTGTACCAACTACCAGTAAGACTTGAGTCAGTGACTGTCTTAACTTTCAACTTAGACTCAACTTGAGATTGGACTTGAGGTGAGACTAAGGGTTTAGGCACTTCTGCCCAACACTGACAGAGAAACCATGTAAACTACAATTAGACTTTGTATCATGCATGAATATTACGTGCACAAAAAGTAAAAATTGATCAAGATAGTGAAGATCAGTGGAAGATGTTGAATATGATTTTATTAATAAGTAATTAGGTACCGGTATGTATTTTAATGGAAAAAAGGGCTACAAGAGAAATTTATATTTGTCCTCAAAATAAAGAAAGACTACAATATTTTTTTAATCATATCATAAAAGAGTTTTATTTTTATTATGTGACATTTTCGTCAGACACAATCTAAAATCACCCCGTTTACTGATGGGAAGGCGATTTTGTTGTTTTGATAGCAATAGTAGCACGGCTGAAAGGTATTAGTGTGAATTATATGTGCTGAATTAGTTTGCTTTCATGTTATGAGAAGCAAAACAGAATGAACAATTTTGCCTGTGGGTAGGTAGGACACTAGGTAGTGCATGTATGAAAATCTATGATTTCTGGCATGGGTATCATTCAAGTTTGGTGTATGGATATTGAACATAAACGATGAAGGATGCGCCAACCGCTAAGGTATTTTTCTGCCGCTTCCTTACTTATAGGTGCCAGTATAAAACCTTATCTAAGGACTTTTCAACTTGTACTGTAACATAAAGAAAATTTGTGAAATTCTCTAACCCATAACATCAGAAACTGGCTTGCCTGGAGTTAAAGGTGGAGGAGTGGGCTCAGTGCTGAGTGTTGTAAATAGGGTAGTAAAAGAAGTTGAAGTGAAGAAATCTACCAAAATGTTGAGTGTGTTACTGAATTTTTAGCAAGCTTTGCATATTCATGATGTAGTTATTGCTATTGCTATGGTCAATGGATTGACTATGGATTTGCCAGGAGTGGGGAGGCTCGAGTGATTGACTCAACCTGATTTGAACTTGAGATACCATTTATAAAAGTGATTCATAGTGACTTGAAACCCGTAAATGAAATGAATTGCAATTGTACTCAACTAACTACCAGTAAGACTAAACTCAGGTTTGACTCGCCTTTGGACTCAGACTCAACTTGAGACTAAACTATAATTAGGGTGTGTATTATGCATGATTATTGCATGCACAAAAAATTAAAAATTGATCGAAATAGTATAGGTCTGTGTAAGATGTTGAATATGAATTTATTAATAAGTGATAACGTATTTTATTGAAAAAAAGTGTTACAGGAAATTTATATTTGTCCCCAAAATAAAGATAGACTAGAATATTACTATTATATCACAAACAAGTCCAGGTCACATATGGGATCATTAAGGCTGTTTGAATTTGGTCATGCATTGTTGTGATTCATGCAGGTATCTATATATAGGTGACAACCGGATCTCATTTCCCCTACATGACTGTTCCCTGGATGATTTATACCTGTGTCTCCAATGACTGATAACCACCAGTTAATGGTGTGCATGCAGAAATTATCATTGGTAATTTGATATATACATAGCTAAAATCAACCATAATGACACATATTCACACCTTTCATTCCTATCTAAAAGTCATTGATATCTAACGATGTGTAAGAAACTAGCTTTTATGAAAAGACAAGTCTTTACGATTAAGCATAACCAAATTGCCTATCTATTTTACCAACTGCAATCTGAGGTGGTGAGTATGGGACCCAATGCCAACACATTTTAATCTAATTTTTAAATCATCAGGCCATAGTGCCCAGAAGTAGAAGATTTTTGTAATGTAGCCACCAAATAATCAAGGTTCATAATTAGTTTCATTGATGTACACAAATACTGATATGACTTGTGATTAAACTTCTAAAAGCACAATGTAAGGTAATACCATTTTAGATAATGAAGTAAATAAAATCTGAACTCAGTTCAAGATAACAATTGCAATATTCAACACTAAACTATAAACAACACTGACCTGGAAGACTGACTGTTGAATTCGAACTTACAGCTCTGAAGGTGGCACTTTCAATTTTTGGAAGCCCAAAATAAGTTCCCCAAAATTGTAGCCTAACAAAACTGCCATCAAGTTGCACTTTCAGTTCAGTGATGGCATCATCACTATTGATGAGTGTGTCATTTATTTTGAGGGTATAATTGAGGAATGGGTCTTCTGTGTTTTTATCTCTTGTTTCTTCAATCTGTGGATAAAATAAGGTTATGGATAAACCAATTTTCCCAATTGATCGCAAAATAAAATAGGGTTTTATTATTTTTCCCATGAGGTGATGGAAGGCAGCTTAATCAAAAGGAGAAACGTGGCTTCTTGTACACATACCAGTCCATGTCAGCAACAGGGAATAGGTAATGAGTTATTCAGATGAGTAGGATCTAACGGTGGAGAAGCAGTAACCAACGAGCGATTATGTTAACCATCATATATAGACAAGAAAGCCAGTAATCTTTCCACAAACATAACTATCCCCCATGGAATCAAAGATCGAATCTGCATAAGGTAATCAGAGGTGTGATGGCTTGCATATTCCTAACGTTTTGCACGATGCGCCAACGCCGAGCCCAATAGCTCAGAAGTAGGTAGCATAGATTACCATCCAGATATAGATTAGTGGTTTTCAACTGGGGTTCCGTGGCACCTTATATTTTTGCCAGTACAGTTTAGGGGTTTTGCATGTTTCTATTCAAATGCAAAAGTCAATATTTGCCAGTATTAGGTTTGCCTATATATATATAGTTTATACAATTCACACAATAAAAGAGAGCACAGCTAAACAGGTTCCTTGAGCATCTGAAATGTTGCATTGGGGTTTTGCTCCACCAAAAAAATTAAAAAGATCTGGCATTTATTTGTGATGAAAGTTATTCAAAAGTTTTCAAGTCTCACGTAAAGTGGTAATTATAGACACAAAATCCTACTATTATTATTATTTTGTCCCCGTAGCTCTTGGCACAGTGGTCATTCTCAACTTCATGCGAAGATCACTCTCCCTTATTTCTGAGTGAGTGTGACCTTTTTTTGAAGTTGACCTTTGAGCAATTTTTCCTAACAAAAAACTTTGTTTTTATTTTTTGCCAAACTAATATCCATGAACTAATAATATTCATTCGATCGAATTGACTTACTGAAATATTGAAAGCTTCTACAACCCTGGATACAATAGCTCTTTTTTTTCTATTCGTTGACAAAGTTAAAAAAGATGTTTCATTGTAATATGAGGCAAGCACACTTGCAGTGTTTTTTTCCAGTAAAAATTCGTCTGTAATATCAACCTGTGCTTCACTAAGCTTCAAACCTGAAAATAGTGAATACATTATAGCACTCCATCCCTAGTAGAAAACATGAAAAATATTTTCACATTCATTCTGAGAAAATTCAATAAAACAGAATATTCATAGATGAACCACTGCCCTCTCATCTGGTTACCAGTAGGGATGTAAGTTTCAGAATTTCGAATCGAAGCGATTCGAATCAAACTTAATTCGAATCGATTCGAAGCAATTTAAGAAAAAACGGCTCGATTCTATTTTAAAAAAATAATATTTTAGATAACACGCAACGATTGCACCATACAGGGACGAGTCTCAACATCGACCAAAAGCGCTTGTTCTCCTTAGGTTTAAAGCTTTCCCAAGTCATAACACTCGGGGGTTGTTATATTTCATCTCATCATCGACCAAAAGCGTTTATTTTCCCTATGTTTACAGCGTTCCCGAGTCTGAACACTATGAGTATTTTACATGGGTCACAGCTTTAGAGGAAATAATGTTTTTCAGACTATTTAAAAAGTTTTACAAATTTAACATTATATAAACCAGGGGTCACCAACGCGTTGCCCGCGGGCACCAAGTCGCCCGTGAAGACCATATGAGTCGCCCGCAGGTCTGTTCCAAACTAAGTTTCATAACGGCACTTATGAGTAAGCTACATCAATTAAACTTTGTCCTGCTATCCTTGTGTAAATCACACCTATATGGGAATCGGGAATGGCACTATATTAATTAATGTAGCCATCAACCTGATTTTTATTTAACCTCAGTAATGTGACGGGTCAATTAACACTATTCCAATTATGACATCACACTGATACCACTTACCACGAACCCGCGCATTTTCTTGTCTGATGGTTTGTGGAGCAGCAATAATATAGTTATTGAATCCAAAGAAAAATGGCAGAAAAACGATGAAAAACCCACCATTTTCACGATGAATGGGGTTGGATATATTTTTACCACCATGAAAACAGCCTGCGCGTGTCTCATTAGTGGGGCGATTGTAGTGACGGCAAAGCGAAAAGATATTTCACGGCTGGTCACGCAATTTACCGCGCTAACTATCCACTGGTCAGCGCAGTACGGACAGAAAAAGATCGCGATTCAAATCATACAGCAATTCTATTTTACGAGATCATTGTGTCGTTCATCATATCTTTGTGAATCAACATTTTTGATTTAAACTTAGGATAGGATGGGATTTACATATTTATCCCGGGGGAGAAGATAGCCGATAAGATGGCTTAACCATATGGCGAACCAAAGCCTCTCGTCCAGTCACCATTTCATGTCGGGTATGGGATTAGTTAGTTATTTGTTTTCGTAAGCATGGACTTAATGGTGAAGGATCCATCCCAACGGCGGCAAGGGGTCCAGCAATCCTCTTGCACATAGCTATCCTCTCATGGGATTCTAACCTGCGAACCAAACGCTTAGCACACTAATGATGGCCATACAGCCGTACCCAGAAAGTAGCCCTCGGCCTCAAAAAGGTTGGTGATCCCTGATATAAACGTTTCCATTAATTACCTATGTAATGTCATTATAATAACAACATTATTCCCTCATTTAAAACAAAGGTCTGCAATTTTTTCCCTCGGCATCGTTTGCTTTCCTCTAAAAATACGGCACAAACGGTACTAACGCATGTTTCACTGATGTTTATCATTTGGATGAATATTGAAAGTTAATTTTAGAAGAAACGATCACTATACAAACTACACAAAACTTCTCTAATATATTAGGACTAGGTAGTTGATGCAACCATTCAATGGGTTTTTCTACTAACTATACTCATTCTTCAAGTTCCTTATTGATATCTTATCACACTTTATGCTATAGTTCTTCTAAATTTAAGGAAAGTTAACGATAATATGATGTTATACTAAATAGAATCAGATTTGGAAATATTCGAATGGGAACATTAAGATTCGGAATTCAATTCGAAAATAAAATATTCGAAACTTACATCCCTAGTTACCAGGCCATATGGGGTATGGAAATAGTTTATTGGGTATTTGTTACAGATGTACGGACTTGATGGTGGATGTAGTCGTAACTGATCAGTTGCTACGTAAACAGCTCTATGACATTGAGCATTGAAAATTTTGCAAGGTTTTAATTGAAGCATAATTTTCCTTGAGTCAAGGGTTGGAAAAACGTCCATTCTAAGTCAACCTTATTATTTATTATAGCTTTACAATACAAAAATTTGACTCACCTAATTCCACTAAGTATGGAGTTAAATCATTCGTTGAATCCGTAGTTGCTTCAACAATAGGTATCGCAGTGCTTTCAGTCCCCACAGGGTTGGTAGTGTCTATGAGAGTAGGTGCAGTAGTTGTGTCAGATGTTGCTAAAATACAAAAAATTATATAATAAAATTCTAGATGGAAATAAAATAACAACTTTATTAATGAATGACAAACTACTATTTACAAATTATTAGGAGCACCAATTTGTAGTAAGATCAGGTGTATTTTTTTTACGGCGCTTATTGATGCTTTTCGCTCCAAACAAGGCCCTATACAAGCAGACACAAAATCTAATGTTTTAACTGCTAGGCCATCGCATCGCTCAAAAGATTTTAAAGAATCCATTTGACAAGTTGCTATGTCAGTGGTAAAAAAGGTAAAAACAATTAATATGTCAAGGTACAAATAGATCACATGCATATTTCAAAAACTTCTTCCGAAAATAGTCAGATTTAATATATACTGGTTTACCTTTAACTACAGCCGTTGGATTCTGAGAAATTGACGAAACATTTAAATTTCTGCTATTCATATTTGTCTCAATAACTGTTGTCGAATTTTCCAGTCTCTGAGCAGCATCTTGACCAGTTAGGGAAACATTTTTTTCAGTCACTGTAAAATTGGTTTCAACTTCACTGGAATCAATTAATTCCGAGTTGAGTACCTGCAAATCGAATTATTGAATACAATAGATTCTAGTTCTTCCAAAAGTAACAGCTTTTTACCAATTGTTAAACATCAGTAGATGCCTATACAGGCCCTTGTTTGGAGTAAACAGCAAAAATGGGTCACATGGACAAAATTCGAAAGACATAATTTCAGTTATGAAAAGTTATATTCACACGAATCTTTTTGTAAAAAATATTTAAGTCGGCAAACAAAACTTTTAAAAAATGTCTTATAGAAGCAATATAATAATGAGAAGAACTGTATATCACCCACTGCGGTCTCGTGGATGAATAATTTTACGATAAACATATAGACTTCATAATATTAGCCGTGAGTGAGGCATGTCAGTCAAAGTATTTTTTTAAATTATCTGACACGTACAACCAAGAGTAGTAGATATAAAATAAATCTGAAAAAATTTAATATGAGAAAAGTTCATGAATCTGGGCAAACAACTATTTTTGTACCAACATGGATTGAGATGAGAGGCCATTGTCCACCATATGACTCGGCCTTATTATTGGATTTCCTCTCCAAAGAATAAATATAAAAGTCCTATCCTATTTTAATCTCCATACAAAAAGTAGTCAGTCTTAAGCATAATTGTTTAATTCTCTTGTTTTTATACTTTAAACATTATTAAGAAACATCCACAGTAAAGTACTCACAGTGACTGTAAAAGTTCCATTGGTGGCTGAAACAGATCTTTTTCTCCTGGACGAAGTTGACAAATCATTAAATGTAGCGGCCAAGGATTCTGCTATTGCTTGATTGAAAGAGTCATCAATTACTGATGAAGTGGTCTGTATAAATCCTGTAAAAATAAGTAATGAATTAAAAATTTCAAATGTGTATTAAGAGACGAAAAATTGTTTCATTTCCTAGTATATACAAGTAATCAGCCATTCATTGATTTCGTGTTTCTTAAAATGGCTGAATTTAATTATTTCGGATCCGAAACGGATTGCGCAGTGCCCCTCTGTATAGAGATATGGATAATGACTGAAAATTAATATTTTATAATAAAAAATGAATTCGTCTGAATATTGTATTCTTTTCAACTAAATACAAAATTGAGATTGAAATAACTTCATTATACAAGTCTAGTGTATACAGAATAAGAACAGTGACCTATTCATGATTGTAGTTTATAATGATTGAATTTAATAATTTACACCAAGAATTAGTGCGAGGGCCTGCCAAGTTAGCCTAGCCTACAGCCGTCTTGTATATTTGCCTATAAGTTGGGCTAGATCTAGATTGTCTGAGGTGGTTATATACAGTAAGGCCATGTGTATGGCATTATTACTCTGGAAAAAAGGCACAATCATGTGCAAGAGTAATGTTTCAGATATGGCAATGCATATATACACAGTTCACACACAAAATAAATATAAAATTGTTTTAATTTTTTATGAGTCGTGCGTCAGCTGTCAACAGCCAAGCAATTAAACATGTGCTGACAAAAATACTCATTTTTGAAGGAAAATTTAACATTTTACATTTAAACTTCAAAACTCCATTTTGTTTGGGTCAAAAAAGCCAAAGCCAAAGTGACCAGAATAATTCAAACATGAAAAACCATAATGGACATTACAACATATAACTGTCATGTCATAGGTATATTAAATAGGGTAACACCCCACTCAATAAACATAGCATTCTTCTCCCATATTAAAAAAACGTTATTCCACGTTAATTTCAACTACAGATTTGTCTTTGTTGGCCATGTATGGCAATGTTGAATAGGGCATTTAGTATCTTCGGCCCATGATAAAATCATACTTTAGTTCATTAATGAGTTTTTTCTATGAAAAGGTAGATGACCAATTCAGTCCCAACCTTATGTAAATATCCTTGTATTATTCCAGACAAAAACTTTTGTTATTAAGCGTTGTTACGACAGGAGATATATCAAACAATAACCCCAATATTACAATAAAAAAATTGTAAATTGTTTTTTAAAATTTTTGCGATAACTTTCAAGTGTTTAAACTTTTTAATATAAAATAAAATGTGTTTTAACATTAGAATAGATCTGTGTTAGACAATGTAATTCTTCAAATTCCATCTTATTGTGTCATTACATTCTGATAAATTTAAATATTTTAATAATATTTCTAGGGAAATTGTTACAACTTGATCAATTGAACTTCTGAAATATGTCTTTTGCAAATGATTGTAAATTCAAATTTTATAAAAATTCCAGATACTAGCGTTATTTTTAGTGTCAATTTTGCCAATACTTTTTCTTTTCAAATTTTGGATTTATTGACATGAATAACAATAATAAGTTGGAAATAAATGACATTTGAAATAGTATAGCATTTTAAATGTCAATAAGAATCATATCACCATGGCAACATTTATTGGAAACTTTCTTTGTTATTTGGATACAATTCACAATAATGTCATCAATCCAATGTGAATAAACATAATAGTGGGTTATCAATATGAATCACGGTCTTCAAGCCTTTGTTATAATGTTAGAACGAAGGTATAACGCTTTCATGTTTATATTCTTAGATATAGTCCATGACGTATTATGTGAAAAAACTTGGTTGCCCTCATAACAGATCCTAAAGTGTGAAGAAATGGGCAAGCATAGGCTGATTGGATTCCTTACTTTTTATTCTTCCCTCACCATACATGAAACTATTTTTCCATTCAATCTTGGATTCTTAGCTAGTGTTATGCGCAAGTCACATTTCGACTTTTGTACATTTTAAATAGTGTATGATGTGTAAATAAAAATATTAGAGTAATGACAAAATTCTTTCTCGGCTGGGACGAATAAATTAAATAATATTCAAATCCAAAATATATTATAGATACCGTATAATTGATTAAATTGAATATAGTATATTAAACTTCATATAAATATGGCTCTAATAATGCTAAAATCTTTAGCATATTTCAATATTATTGAAGTACACAAAATAAAAACTTAATGCAATAAATGAATTAATAATATTGGAATTCAATCTCATCATACTTGAGGAAGATCCATAATCAAATATTAATGCGAATTTATAAAAACATGTTCTCAAATTTGAATGATCACCACATGAATAATCTATTGATCCTCTGGTGGATATCTTTTAACAGATTGTTGCTTTTGTTTATTCAAGAACAAAAAAAAAACACACAATGAACAATGAAGTTGGATACAAACACAACAGATACAATGAAGTAAAACTAAATGAGAACACAAATACGAAAAATTACTATCGGAGCTGAATAAAAGTGGACTGTCTCTGTTATTTGAGTTACTAATTTCACAAATTCATAGAAAATAAAAACTGACTTACTAAATTGACAAATATATATTATATCCACAATTGCTTGGGTGGTTGTTTCTACTGCTGGAGAACTGGTCGTTGTTTCAGCTGAAAAAAATGTACAGTTATATCTAAAAACAATTTGTATTAATCCGAAAAAATCTCATAACAAATGATAAAACATCTTTGAAAATACAATTATATTATGAATCAATTACTGAAATTTTATATATAAAGGTAAAAATATAAATTTGCTAGACCAAGGAAAACTAAAATCAAAGTATATGTAAATGTATATGTAAACTTGCGTTGTGAAAAATACCAACTAAATAAATTGGCATCTTAATCTGTACTTTTTATCAACCCATTTTCTTTGAACAAGGCACTTCAAAACCACCTACAGATATCTAATATTTCTCACGAACAAGATCAATGTACCTGTAACAACTGTATCCATTGTAGTATTTGATATTCCAGTTTGCATCGTGAATACTGTGGTGGGCACATTAGTGCTTATCCCAATAACAATAGAAGTGGTCTCTGTCACACCAGTACTGGTATTTAAACTTGTTCTAATTGAAGTGAAAAGGCTGTCAGTAGGATTGATTCCAGAGTCCTCAGTTGTAAATTGGTCTGATGCATTTGTTACCAATGCGGTGCTGGTCTCAAAAAAACTAGTTGATTGGTTGGTGAACGGTAACAAAGAAGTGCTTTCTGGTACTGTTTGGGATGTGACATTGGTTGCTGTCATAAAAGTACTGGTCTCAAACTTGCTCGCTGTTACATTAACAATTGAAGAGGTTATCGTGGATGTGGCATTGTTTACTGAAATGGTAGTAGTCTCCATTACAGCAGCTGTTTGGTTACTTATAGGAATAGAGGTAAATAAATCAAATGTGGTATTCAGTGGAGCAGTTACACTAACAAATGGTGTAAAAGTACTAGTTTCTGATGATACTGCAATTATGGTTTGGTTATCAATTATTGTGGTATTAGTAATTGATATTTCTGTGGTAGCAGCAATTGACTGGTCTGTAAAATTTGAAATTGATGGAATAGTATTGGTTTCACTGGTAGTTGTCATGTTGGACGTTACCAAGTCTAATATAGTTTGATTATTGGTTGCTGTAGTCTCGATAGTGGTCATATTCAGAGTAAAAACAGTTGATTGATCCAATAAACTGGCTGTAGAGGTGTTCACTGTGTCCGTAACTGTTTGGTTGTTTGTTGTGGTGCTACTAGCAGAAATAGTTGTTGAAATAGTAGATGATTGGTTAGTAAAATTTGTAACTGACTGAAAAGTGCTGATTTCAATAAGAGTGGTTAAATCTGGAGAGACTGTCCCTGGACCAGTTTGGTTGTTACTTGTTGTGATCTCCATAAAAGGTATGGTAGAATTGAACTCTGGGGAGATAGTGGAAAATTGGTTTGTGTTATTGGTTATTGGTATACTGAAACTGGTAGGTGTCATAGATGTCGTTCCATTTGCCATCATGTTCAAAGTGGTATTCAAAGTGGGTTCTAGAGTGGTTACAGAAACATTGTTGATATCCGATTGGGTGTTGGTAGTTATATTATCTATTGTGGTATTTGGTGAACTGGTGCCAGTTTCCAATATGATACTAGTATTAGTTTCCGAAACTGTTGCATTTCCAGATGCCGTTGTAACAGTATTTGTAATCTCAATTCCAGACGTAGTACTCAATTGATCTATTGGGTTGGTGGTTGGTTGTGTTGTTATCGTTTCGGCTGTATTTAAAGTCGTTGATGTTGACAAAGCTAGAATGAAAAATATATTTTAGTGCTCTTTTTATGTCAAAGCAGACAAACTAAAAACTTGAGGGGTGAAAATGATAGCGGTAACAGCAAGTCGGGAATGAAGTTCAAAAATGATTGTGCATCAAACATCACACCACACACAAGAAGGTCCTATCCTTCCCCTCCCTACGAAGGTATAATATAAATGCGATCAAAAAGAATATGAATTATGAGGATAGCTGATGGAATCACTGTCAACCAACACAATATTTTTAAGCATGATCACCTATGGGTACAACTGCTGGTTTTGAAGTAATATTCTGAACAGCGATACTTTCAGCTCGTAGATTTGCTACAATAACATCAGATGATCCTGCCAGAACAGCCGAAGCTTCTGTGCCAGATAAATCTATTCCATTTTGTTTTACAGTGTAGTCTGCGGTCACTTCATTGCTGGAGTCAATTGATGTGTCAAGAACCTGTTACAAAGAATTTTAGGGATTAGGATTTTTTATATTTATAATAGAAGAGTAGGAAGTTATTGAGACACCCAAATCATACCATGAACTTTAACTCAGTTAAAGTGGGATTTACATATTTATCCATAGTGAGAGGAAAGTTGATAAGATGGATTAATCCCATGGATTACCACTGCCTCTTGTTCGAGGACCAGTTCTTGTCGAGTATGGGATTAGTTAACCAGTTACATTGATTTCAGATACAGGGAATGATGGCCGTAAGCGACCAGTGGTCAAATGAACGACCCGAGGAGTCTAACAATTCTCTCGCACATAATTCGAAGATTCGAATCTGCAAACCCACACAGGGTAATCAGTGATGCTTTGGCAAGCATATTTCTAATGCTTAGCACAATAAGCACCATCACATTTGAAATAGAAAAGGGTAACCTGTTTACACAGATTATTAGCCTTGGTACAGGGAACATAAAACAATTAACACATTAACACCTTGCAACTAAAGGTATTCCAGAAATCCTCTTGCCCATAATTACACATAATTTACAAGGGGTGTAATGGAAAGCATGTTCCAAATGCAGGCTGCAGGTCAATCATAGGGGCAATATTCCTCATATACAAGAAATTGAAGTAAGTGATGAACTTTTAAGACAAAGATTAAAAACAGACAAAAATATAAATGCAATCACATTCTATTTTAAACATAAAATTATAACTTTTGTTTATTGTCTTATTCTGTGTCCTAAAAAAAGAAAAATTTATAAAAATTTGTGAAACAAAAAGTAAGACTGACCGTAACATTATATTGTCCGTCTGTGCTGACAGCCGAAGCAGCTCTTTTTCTTCTTGTTGTAGAAGTAACATTACTGTAGCTTTGGGCCAAACTCCTTGCCAGCCTCAGTTGAAAATCATTGGAGCCAACATTTTCAGTGTGGTTGTTTGAGAGCACAAACTCTGTGAAAAGAATAAAGTACAATCATAAATACACATTGAATATGCCCAATTATATCAGTGAAAAAGAAAACAGTTGAATTGACAAATATCCCAACTGGTCTCATACTATATCACTCAGTGTCGGGGGATCCCAGACGATTGTTGGCGTTGGGTTTTAGACTTTCCATTTACATGATTCAAGTCATTCCAAGGCATTGATAAAATGTGACTTGAGTTCAACTCAAGTTGAGTTAATGAGTCAAGCATCCCCCGCATTGAATTACATATGAATAGAAACATGAATGATGATACAGAATTGTTTTTCTATTATATAATCACTCAAATGATAAAACAGAACTTACTGAATCGTACAATACGATTTGTACTTGAATCATCGATAGTGGTTGACATATTGCCAGTTATCATGGTTGTTGAAACAGGAGTAGATTGATTAGTTATACTGGTAACTGGAAGAGTAGTTCCGATTTGAGATACAGTGGTGAAGTCTGTAGTCTCAGAAATAGTCCGGTTGTCAACTGTTGTGACCTCACTAGCAGGTATGGTAATATTGAACTCTGGGGCAATGGTGGAAAATTGGTTTGTGTTATTGGTAATTGGTACACTGAAGCTGATAGAAGTTACAAATGTTGTATCATTTGACATAATACCCAGCGTGGTGTTTAAGGTGATACTTGGTTCTAGAGTAGTTTCTGTAACATTGCTTTCATCCGTTTGGGTGTTGGTGGTTATATTATCCATTGTGGTGATTGGGGAACTAGTTACAGTTGTCATTGTGATACTAGTATTAGTTTCCAGACTTGTCGTATTTTGAGATACAATGGTAACAGTATCTGCAGTTACAGCTCCAGACATAGTACTTGATTGATCTATTGTATTGGTGAATGGTTGTGTTGTAGTTGTTTCTAAAATGAAAAACACATAAAACTATCTAAACTTGAAAATAAATAACAAACACTCAAGTATTCAAAATTAAGTTTCAGCAATATGGGATGCTAATGAAAATGCTGCACCAGATGCATAATGAAAATGCTGCACCAGATGCATATAATAGGAGTAATCATGCCTTGAAATCAAAAAATATTTCACTTTGTTATATGTGATAGATATCTATCTTGAAGATAGAGATGATGACAAGATGATATCATTTTTTGTTTCCCAATTTCACGTCGAGTATGGAAATAACCTGTCATTTGTTTCCGATTTTCCAAACACAAAATTACGTACCCCATTAACTGCGTCACAGGAATATTGTAAAGGTAAATATTTAGATTTCAGATCGTATAATAAAATCATTATAAAATATTGGTAATTACCAAAGGGTAAAGCTGCTGGTTGTGAAGTAACATTCTGAACAGCAATATTTTCATCGCGTGTATTTGCTACAATAACATCAAATGACCATGCCATTTTTAATTGTTGTTTTCCGATAATAACTATAAGTTAGGTCCAATGTTCCCTCTAATTTTTTGTAGTATGTGTGCGCAGAAATTTTGGTGTGTGCGCAATTTTTTGGAAATGACTAATATTTGTGCAAATTTTGGCGTTCTAACTGGGTAATGGGTGGGCCAACAACAAACTTTCTCAACCTGCCAACCGAGAACATTGTTACATTACATCGAAATAGGTCTGTGCGCAGTAAATCTATGAGTGTGCGCAGCCTCTGAAAGCTGTGTGCGCGCGCACACACACACACTTTAGTAGGATAGTAGGATAGTCCTTTATTGTTTTTTAATATACAGCCATTGAACATTCTACTCGCTGATATATTTTCATTTATCAGGTTGTTTCGCAATGATCAAATCAATAGATAGATTGGCAACAGGCTCAAAATCCTATTGTGCCTGCTCAAAATACTGGAAAAGATCCTTCCGACCCATGCTTTTTTGCCCGCCTCGTGACCACCCCAGGGTCACAACAAGTTCATATCTTACTGGAATATTATATTGTTCTTGACTGTTTTCTATATATGCATAACTTTTCATATGGATGGTCATAGTAACTAGGGAAACCATGCAAAACAGAAAATGAATGTGGGCCGATTTTCAGGTTTCTAAATCTTGCGAGATATGATGGAGCACATTCGTGATGAATCGGAGCCAAAAAAGCGAAAAATGTGATGACGCCAAGATGTCGTGAGAGAGACGTCGCGAAGATGTTGTAAAAAATGTCGCAATATGACGGTGGAAGAGAATTTGGGTAATAAATCAACGCAACCTTGTCTTTGGTAAAGCGATTAAGACGACACGAAAACAAAAAAAACAATGAAATTTCTTGTGAACCCGCAAAAAATTCCAATTCTATATCCAATTTGGCAATCCTTGCAAATTTATTAATATGGTGTGGTAAAATTTTATTTTTTCTTGGTTTGTATATTTTTCTTTTTACTAAGACATATATCTTATCTTGTTCTTCTTTTACTATCTTTCAATCCTATTTTTTCTGCGTAATTGTTTGCGTATTTTAATTAATTTATATATTTAGGGTGAGCAAACACCTTTCAATGAAAATATGCTTTAAACCTTATTAAGGTTTTGTTTGCTCTCCTGATTCTGTAATCAGTTTTTATCAACTATTTTATCGTCTTTTAGGCTGATTATGGACTCAGAATAAAGTTATTTTTATTTTTATTATATATCTATTATATTTAATGGAGTTAACGAAAAATAGAGCAACGAACTTGTTGAAATCAGCCAGGCACTTTCGCACTTTTATTGGACTTGCGCGGCACCTTCACACTCATAATTTCTTTAGAGTGAACACTTGTGTGTATCATGCATGATTATTACATGCACAAAAAGTAAAAATTGATCAAGATAGTAAAAATCAGTTTAGGTTGATGAATATGAATCCAGTAATATTTAATAAAGTATTTTGATAAAAAAAAGCTACAAGAAATTTATATTCGTCCCCAAAATGAAGAAAAGGTTACAATATTACCTAAATATTCTTATATATAAACCAGTCCAGGTCACATTTGGGAACATTAAGGCAGTTTAAATTAGTTTATTTGCATTACTGTGGTTCATGCAGGTATCCATAGCAGAAAAGCGGATGCCTTGACATAAAGTCATATATGACCATACATGACTGTTATAGATGATCAATTCTAAACCGTCTAACAATGACAAGATAATTACCAGTTTATTGCGATGGTGCACCTAATATTATTATAATTTGATATAGACTTGGAAAATGTTTTGATAAATATAATGGCACATTTCACATTGCTTAAATGACCTCTCATCATCATTTTTAATAATAAAAAACAATCAATATGTTTGAATTCAGTTCAAGCTAACACTTCAACGCCAAACTAAAATGACACTTACCTGTAATACCCATTGTAGTCGAACTTACAGCTCTGAAGATGGCATTTTCAATTGTTGGAAGTTCAGCAATTAATCCCCAATCTTGTAGCTTATGGAGACTGCCAGGATCTTGCAAATTGAGTCTAGTTATAGCTTCATCACTATTGATGAGAGTGTCATTTATTTTCAGGGTGTAATTGAAGAATGGGTCTCGAGTGTTTTTATCTCTTGTTTCTATAATCTGTGGATACAATTATGTTATGGATGAACCAATTTCCCCAAGCCATCATAAAAATAAGATAGGGTTTCAATATTTATCACAATAGTGATGGAAGGCAACAGTACAGTATAGAAGTTAAGTATAAGTTCAGCAAGTTACCATTCAAATCCGAAAATTTTATTGTTCAAGTATGAACCAACTTACTACACTTTAGTACACTTTAGGGATAATTTAGTTTTGCTAGTATTAGGTTCGTTTTTATGTATATCAAGTCTCAAGTCTCTGAAATTTCTCATTGAGGTTGTGCTTCAGCAAAAGGATTGAAAACAGGTATTGGAGATATTGAGTTGAACCAAAGCTTAATAAAATTTTAACCAATTCCTAGGAAATTAATAATATGCTAAAGCAAAATTCAAATTTTTATCTGTATTTATTAACAATTCTACACTATATTATCATGTAATCTCAGTAGATGGCACTTCAGTGGTCATCCTCAACTTTGTTTGAATATCAATGTTCCTTATTTCTGAGCAAGTCTGTGCGACACTTTTTGCAATTTTATCAACAACAAAAAACATGAACCAAAATTAATTTTTAATATTATATCGAATAGACTTACTGAAACATTGAAATCTCCTATAACACTGGATACAATAGCTCTTTTCTTCCTATTCATTGAAGAGGGTAAAAAGTATGTTTCATTGTAATATAAGGCAAGCATATTTGCAGTGTTTTTTTCCAGTTCAGTACTATCAAACAGTGATTCTTGAAGCTTTAAATCTGAAAAGAGGTAATACATTAGAGCAGTTCATCTTTAGTAGAAAATATGCATAAGATTTTCCATCTTTATCCTGAGAAAATTCAATAAAACAGATCAATCATAATTTTGGTGAATCATTGCACTCTCTCGTCTGGTTACCAGACGAGTATGAAATAGTTGATCTGTTATTTTTTTTTCGGATGCATGGACTTTATGATGAAATCAACTGTAACTGATCAGATATCATGAAAACCACTCTATGACATCCAGAAGTCAAGCGATTGACCCGCACATAATTTTCCATAACAAGTGGTAATGAACAATGAACATGTCAACAGGTGATAAATGCCTACTCATACAAACGACCCAAATTTAGGCATTACAAAATTACAAAAATTTGACTCACTCAATTCAACTAAGTATGGAGTTAAATCAGTTGTAACTGTAACATTGCTTTCATCCATTTGGGTGTTGGTAGTTATAGTATCAGTTGTAGGGATAGATGAACTAGTGACGCTTTCCATTGTGATACTACTATTAGTTTCCAGAGTTGTTGTATTTTGAGATACAATGGTAACAGTATCTTTTGTTACAGTACCAGACATAGTACTTAATTGATCTATTGCATTCGTAAATAGTTGTGTTGTAGTTGTTTCTGAAATGAAAAAGACATATAACTGTCTAAACTTAAAAATAAATAACAAACACTGAAGTCCTCAAAACTGAAATTCAGCAACATGAACTGCTAATAAAAAATGTGAACCAGATACATAATACCATTAGAATATGCTGACACATGAAATAGAAATATTTTACATATTTGTTATGGAGGATATGATTTTCTTATTTATCTTGAGGATAAGAAAGCTGGCAAGGTGTTTTAATCATATGGTGACCCACCGCCTCTCTTCTGTTTACCATTCCATGTCAAGTATGGAAATAACCAGTCTCAACTACGTCATAACTATGTTACAGGAACTGAATGATAAAACAAATAAAATCTTTATAAAATATTGGTAGTTACCTAAGGGTACAACTGCTGGTTCTGAAGTGACATTCTGAACTGCAATATTTTCAGCTTGTAGATTTGTTACAATAATATCAGAAGAGTCAGCCAGAAGAGCAGAAGCTTCGGTTCCAGATAAGTCGATTCCATTACGTTTTACAGTGTAATCAGCTGTAACTTCATTGCTTGGGTCAATTGATGTGTCAAGAACCTGATTTATACAATGCAATTTTCAAGATAAAATGTTTCTCATAAACATAGAAATCATAATGAACCATGGGCTGCAATAAAATTACTTGTCTGGGTTATTTATGGTATGATAATATGTGAAAGTAAGTCGAACCCGATGGCTGGACTAAGCTGACAGAAGTTGTAATTAGTCTATCTATGCCACATACAATAAAATGAAATGATAAGAAATGAAACATTTCAAGCTGAAGACAATCAAAGAAATCTAATCGCAGAGATAAATACAAGTAATTAGAAACTTTCAATGTATGCCTGTGTGATGAAAAATTAGGAAATAGTATTCATATGACAAAAAATAAACTTACTGTAACATTATATTCTCCATTTGAGCTAACAGCTGAAGCAGCTCTTTTTCTTCTTGTTGTAGCAGTTACATTACTATAGCTTTGAGCTAAACTTCTGGCCAATTTAAGCTGGAAACCAGTTGATGTGACATTTTCAGTGTGGTTGTTCAAGAGTGCAAACTCTGTAAAAATAAATGTGTTTCACAGAATGAATTATATGTTGCAAATTTATATTGTTTTTAAAAAGATACGATATGCTCGCACTTTGGATTACCCTGCGTCGGTTTGCTGCATGGGGGACGATTATGTGCGAAAAGATTGTTGGACTAATCATCGCCGTATGGCGGTTCACTTAACCATTGGTCAGTTACGGCTTCTTTCACCACCAAGTCCATGCACGTGAAAAACAACTGGTTAAGTATCCCATACTCAATATAGATTAATACCCAAACCGAATGAAAGGGTGTGGTTCGCCATATGTATAATTCAGCTTACTGGCTTTTCTTTCCCTCTCGGAATAGGAAATTCCCACCCTGTCCCATGATCCATAATTGCAGAAATGATTGAAATAGATGGTTACTTACTTATTTGCACAGTAGGATTGAAGATACTAGCAGCTGTTGTAGTGTTGTTATCTGTTGCTGAATAGAAATGTACTTTGACACAAAAATAAATGAAAAAAATCTGAAATCAATTTGCAATATATTGTAATTTTAAATTTAATTCTAGTGATTCTATTTTTGCCAATCCTGATAAAAACAGGCATTATGCATTCATAGTGCCAAGACAAAACAAACGCCATGCAAAAAGATTCAGAAGTCGGATGTTAACAAAATTGAGGTTTGTTGAAACAGTGCTGGTGCGCATAGATAGAAACAAAAATATTAAAAAAAATTGAAACAAACTGACAAAATCAAGCTTGAAAACGAAATTCTATAATAACATTCAAATTCAAACAAATGCAACCCAAACTTACAGCCTACTTCCAATTTCAGAGAATACAATCTAAAAATGCCACACATTTTAAGTTAATAAGATATATATTATAAACTATGCCAAAATAATATGCTCTATTATAACTAACAAAATATTATATGAAATGACAAGTAGATTATTATTGTGATGAACTAAATGGGAAGATACTAAAATGTTATTGAAATGTGTTGGCGTGATCGGAAAATATGACAAACAATAAAATAGTTTATTGTTGGAGATGCCTGTATTACCAATTAGGAATATAGAATCGAATGTATACATTACTATAAAAGATCTTTGCTTAAATATTCAATACCTGTTACTGATGACAGTTCAGTTGATGGTAGATCAGTTGTATATGGAGATTGAACAGTGTTGTTGATGGTACTAGTAACATTGGTTTTACCAGTAGTGCTGCTCAGAATATCTACGGTATTAGAGACGACAGTACCAGGGATCGTAGAATTACCAATATTCGTTGTGGAATCTGTACCACTAATTGCACTGCTAGATGCGACTGTTACATCACGAATGGTGGAAATGTACGAATCTGTTGTGCTTCCCGTATTTTCGGTAATATTTCCAGGTAAAAATGTGGTATCTACAATGCTGCTGGTCGTGACATCTATGTTATTTGTAACATTTTCATAGGTAAATGTAGTATCAGACTTTGAAACAAAATTGCTTGTGGTATCTGTACTGGATACAGTTGAGGAAGTTTCAGTGCCAGGTGGTGTGGTATCTACAATACCACCAGAACTGGTTGTGACATTAATATTATTTGTCATATTTTCGGTTGTGAAAGTAGTATCAGACGATGCTGGAACAAAATTGCTTGTGATATCTGTACTGGATACAGTGGAGGAAGCTTCAGTGCCAGATGGTGTGGTATCTACAATACCATCAGAACTGGTTGTGACATTAATTTTATTTGTCATATTTTCAGATGTAAAGGTAGTATCAGACGATGCTGAAACAAAATTGCTTGTGATATCTGTACTGGATACAGTTGAGGAAGCTTCAGTGCCAGGTGGTGTGGTATCTACAATACCACCAGATCTGGTTGTGACATTAATATTATTTGTCATATTTTCGGTTGTGAAAGTAGTATCAGACGATGCTGAAACAAAATTGCTTGTAATATCTGTACTGGATACAGTAGAGGAAGCTTCAGTGCCAGATGGTGTGGTATCTACAATACCATCAGAACTGGTTGTGACATTAATGTTATTTGTCATATTTTCAGATGTAAGGGTAATATCAGACGATGCTGAAACAAAATTGCTTGTGATATCTGTACTGGATACAGTTGAGGAAGCTTCAGTGCCAGAAGCTGTGGTATCAACTATGCCACTGGAACTGGTTGTGACATTAATATTATTTGTCATATTTTCGAAAGTAAAAGTTGTGTCAGACGATGCTGAAATGAAGTTGCTTGTGATATCTTTACTGGATACGGTCGAGAAAGCTTCAGTGCCAGATGTTGTGGTATCTACAATACCACCAGAACTGGTTGTGACATTAGTATTATTGGTCATATTTTCGGATGTGGAAGTAGTATTAGACGATAATGAATCAAAATTGCTTGTGATATCTGCACTGGATAGAGTTGAGAAATTTTCGGTGCCAGATGATGTAGTATCAACCATACCATCAGAACTTGTTGTGACATTCCTACTGTTTGTCATATTTTCAGATGTGAAAGTAGTATCAGACGAAGCTAAAACAAAATTGCTAGTGATATCTGTACTGGATATGGCCGAGAAAGCTTCAGTGCCAGATGATGTAGTATCTACAATGCCACCAGAACTGGTTGAGACATTAATGTTATTTGTCATATTTTCAGATGTAAGGGTAGTATCGAACATTGCTGAAGCAAAATTGCTTGTATTTTCTGTACTGCTTACAGTTGAGAAAGCTTCTGTGCCCGAATCTGAACTTGATATGATGGTAGTATCCAAAATAGTATTGGTTATGGTGAAGGCATCTGGAGTATTTGTGGCATCTTGTATCGTAGTATTCGACACTAGTGTTCCTCCAGATACCGTAAAACTAGGTGTAGAAGGGTTAACAGAGGAGTCTGGTATGTAGGTACCAATTACAGACGTATCAGCTACTGTGAAATCTTGAGTGGTGGTCGAAGCAATAGTGGTACTGTTTGATGAACCAGTAATTGGTCCATTGCTAATTTGATCAGTTGTGACATCCATAGCTGATATAGTTGATCCATTCACAGTGGTTGAAATATCCATATTAGTAGTATTCGATGCTACTGTTCCTTCAGAAATTGTTGAATTCAGAGTACTCAAAATGGTTGAAGCGTTGATAAGATTATCTGTAGTACCCATGGTAGTTACGTTAGCTGCGATAGTGAAAGTGGAGCTTGGTACAGTCGTACCTTCAGAGGTAAATGTAGCATCTTGAGTTGCTAAGGTTGTTCCGTTGATAGTGGAGTCTATTGAGGTGGAGGAAATGATATTTGTTGAGGATGAAATATTGCTTGTGTCCATAGTAGTTGATTCCTGCCGCATTTTGGTAGTATTAGAAACAGAGGTCATCTTTGATGTTGTATTTGACCCTTGTGATGTTTGAGTTATAGCTGGGAAACTGGAGGTAACAGTAACAGTTGTGATATTGGATATAGCTGTTGAGAAATTTGTAATATCTTGTGTAGTTGTATTCAGTACAGTTGGTCCAAAGTCAGTAGTAATAATCATGTTGGATGTAGTTGGTGCTTCAGAATTCGTTGTTGATCCAGTATTGGTAATAGTTCCTGAAATTGTGAAATTACCAATATCTTGAGTGGCAACATTTGGCATTGTTATTTCATTGGTTACAGTGTTATCAGGTGATGTGGTATTACCAGTAGTTAGTGATACATCGGAAGAAATTGTAAAATTGAAACCAAGATTTGTTGTAGCATCGGTGACTGCTGTGGGGTCAAGGGATGGCTGGTTGGTAGTGTTCAGTACTACTGTAGTATCAGTTACAGTGATAGGTGTAGCATTACTGGGAATTGTTGACATTGAAAAGCCAGTATTTGTGATGGTGTTTTCAGTGGTAAAAATATCAGAAGATGTACCGCTAGATAGATCTACACTGGTAGCATTTGAATTTGACGTTGTCTCAGTTGCCTGCCCATCAGTTGAGAAATTTATAACATTAGTTGCATTACCTGTACCAACCTCAACAATTGAAGTTGAAATTTCTAATACAGACTGAGTAGTAGCATCAATGATACCATTCGATGTTGTATTCAACAGATCTGAACTCATAGTATCGTTCATCACATAACTGGTTTCCGGAATGGTTGGAGTTATTGAAGATGATGACAAATTTGCAGTTGTTGCCATAATGTTTGTTATATTATTAGAGCTCAAAGTACTAATAGTATCAGAACTAGTTTCCACAAAATTTGGAAAAGTTTGGGTGGTCGAAGGCAGAGAATTATTTTCAGATGCTATGTCACCATCATTTGTTACTGTATTGATTGTGTTAGGCGCACCGGTACTGTTTTGTGAGATTGTAGTATCTGATAATGATGTATTGTTGGAAGTTGTCACATTATCTATTATGGTAGTGACTAACATTGTGTTGGTTATTGGTGAAGATATGTCTGAAGTTGTATTGCCTTCAAATACAGTTGGAATTGTTAAAGGTCGATCAGTTAAATTAGTATAGGAAGTTGAACTGATTATTTCATAATAAGTATTAGTGTTCACTGTAGAACTTGCTTCTTGAGAAATGGTTGAAATATCCAAAGTTGTTACATTGATATCAGCTAATGTGGTGACATTGATTGATGGTTCAAATGTTGTTGGTGCAATGCTACCAATCTCACTTGGTAGTGTAGTGAAATCAGTAGTTATATTATATTCCATTTGATCGACAGTCGTTGCATTGGCTTCATATGTAATTGTTGCTGAAACTTCAATAGGAGGAAAAATAGTTGCATTGGGTGCAGAGGTAGTAGTTAGAATTGTATCATTAAATCTAAAGTTTGTTGTTGAATCAGGAATTGTAGTAAAATTGTCTTTTTGAACTAGTGAAGTTGTTCCTATAGTTGTTGCTTCTGTTAATGCCTCACTTTCGGTTGCATTTGTAATTAACATAGTTGCATTGTCGTCAAATACAGTAGCAGCTTTAGTTTGCAATATATTTGTTGAGTTTGCATTGGTAGGAGGACCCGTTGAAGAAAGCTCAGTATTTGTACTAATCATAGCTGTGCTTTCCTCAATTGTCATAGTAGAATTACTCCCTTCAGCTTCAGTGAATGGAATTGGAATTGTAGTGGTTTCTGACATAGTTGGAGTAGTTGTGGTAAATTCAGCATTAGTTGTGTAATCAGTTGTAATACCAGACACTGCAGTACTATCAGTGGTTACAACATCATACTCAGTAACATTATGGGACAATGATGACATAATAGGTACTTCAGAAGTAGATTCTTGTCCAGAAGTGGTCGAATTAAAATTGCTTTGTGTCATAGTAGAGAAGTCTGTAGTACTTTCAATGACTGAAGTCTGGTTGGATTGGATAGTAGTATTTATAGATGGAAATGGACTCGTCTCATCAATAAAATTTGTCCAAAGACTTGAATTTGTAGTATTTAAACTTACTGTCATCACTGTACTATTATTACTTGTTGTTACAATATCACTTGTCACGTAGTCTGTTACACCTAAAGTTTGATTGTTAACATCATTTTGATATGTGGAACTTTCTGTGCTTGTACTATTCAGGAAGTCTGCATTACTTGCTGCTGTGACCGACCCTGGCAATTCTGTTGTAGAATTTACAATTATATTATTCTCTGTTGTTGAAACTAACAGAGAAGTATTTGAAGTTATGAGCGTTCCATTTGCTAATGTTAAGTTTTCTGATGTCGAATTGTATAAAACAGTGTTAGATGTTATAGTATCATCAGTTGTATTGATTCCATTTAAGACGCTGGTAGTTGGTAAAGTAGCTGCAGCAGTTCCATATGTAAGGCTATCTGTAGATGATCCATTTGACCAAACTGAACTATTTTTAGAATTCACAGAAAAAGTCGTAGTTGAGACATTCAAGCTTTCATTGGTAGTCAGAGTAGTTGCACTTGATGTGTTAGATTCATTTAAACCAGCCATTGTAGTAATTGCAGATGCTATATTGTTAGTAGAAGTAGATGAAGTTGTGACATTCTGTGCCAAGGTGACTTCACCTGCCACATAATGGATTAGTTGGGTTAGTCATGCCAAAATAATACAGAATTATTATTGAAACACATTATATTATTCACACTAATTTGAGTTCTCTCAAACCGAGTGGTGATGCAAACAAAAATCCTCTCAAAAAAATTTTACACTAAATTATTTCTAACTTTATAAGATTTCTGATGCAGACATTTTCAAATCTTGGTAATATAATATGGAAGTCAATTTTATGCTGTCTGAGTGGTTGATATTCTGTGATGGAATGTTTATCTTTAGAACTGATTCAAGTTCAAGTACCAAATATCATGTCTACACTAAAATGGCTTAATCTAAAGAGTGATAAAACTTAGTTTTGTTACAAACTTAATTCTTTGATACTTAAACTTTGATCTTCGCCCAATAATACTGCAGTTTCCAAATGAACTATACGCTAATTACATAATTACATGTCCCTAGCAATAAAACACCAATTAGAAATCCATGAAGTTTCTGTACATTTTAGTAGACTATGTAGTGATAATATCAGGCTTAACATAAATTAGTTCAAAAATTAGTATGAGATAAAATGGTCACACAGCAAAATAAATCTTCATGAAAAAAAAAACTACATTGCTATGTTACTCATTTATTGAAGAACTGACTTGAAACATTTGATTGAGAAGTATCATTATAATTGACCAATGAAACCGGAGAAGCAGAAATAACTTCTGTGGTGGTAGTTCCGTTTCCCAGTGTAGATGTCAAAGCAGTTAATGATTCAACTGTGGTGCTTGGAGCTGCGGAATAAATAGAAAAGTAGAATTTTAAATATTTAGTCTACAATACAGAGTATATAAATCCTCACAATAGGAGTGCTTTTCATATTATAAATAAGTCTTCAGCAAAGCAACCAGTATAAGTAATCACTGGTATAATAATACCGATACTAGTATGTTTTTTAGCATGACAGTAATCTCTCCAATTGCTTATAGCATACTCAATATTATTTTTAAGAAAATTTGCTCAAAGCGAGGTCGACATACTCGGGGGAGCATAATTATGGGAAACCACTGACGTAGCAATAGCTACTGAGGATATAAAAAATTATGGTCAATTTATTTAATACAATTTGGGCGAAATAGTTGGAATGAGAATTAATCTATGATACCAAGATAGTTAGGTTTGATATGTTACACACTGGATGATCACATCCACAAGTCATGATATACCAAGAAATTACAAATAATTTGATAAATTGCGCACCATCTATTATTTATTTACCTGTTGGAGCAGTCGAGTTGAAATTAGGAATTGTGAGTCCACTTGTCACAGATGTATTTGATGCAGAAAATGTAGAAGTACTTTGTCCTGATGCATATAATAGATGGATTAATGATGCAGATATATTTGATACATTACTGCACAGCTAATCAGAATATAGATCCTAATAACTAAAGTAGTGCAAAAGCCATGGCCATAAAGAATTAGAAAGTACTAATAGTAATTTTTAACACTATGTTAGGCTACATTAATGCTTTTCCATTTTGTAGAATGAACAATATTATAGATAGCAGAGGCATGACCAAATTAGCTTCAACTTCATGAATGATGCTGACGTAATACAGCTTGGTATTAAAAAGTTAATCAAAATTTAATAGAGGTTTATACTCCTTAAATGAGCATTTCAGAAAGAAATTAAGCATCTGTAAAATCTTCAGTAAACATTTGCTATTAATATTCTAGGAATACATATAATTAGATATACTCACCATAGCTTAGACATACACTCAATACCAAACTGAGTATAATCACATCAAAAAATAGTCCATAAGCCCTCATTTTTCTATCTTCTCATATAATACACTTCCAATTTATCATCACATAACGAGTATGTCCCATCCCATTACAGATATCAAACTTCAAGTCATGTTGATTCGTTTGTATTATGCATATTCACATGAATTGAATTATTACATAAAGTCAAACAGCAGTGAATATGCTTCTTAAGTACAAAAGTAACAAATACGCTTAGTCACTATTGGAATAGACAGAAAAAAACAATCAACTAGAAACTAACTGAAAATATTATACAAATATTTCTCTTTTATCTAACATATTAAATTTAGGTAAATCAGTAAATCTAGACATTCTGTTGACTATAATCCTATCTACATAATGCAACCATTTATATTTGAGTATTATTCATAAAAAACCACTAGTGTGACAATGCTGCCACGAACAGCCCTGTATAAAAACGCCAAACTGTATTTATGTGAATAAATCTGAATAAAATGGTATTCAGATACTTATTTCAACAATATGGTGTCGGGACTATTAGTGATTTGCGTCTTATAAATGTAGAAATACATAATAAATTATCCTATCTATCTGGCCATGGATCAAGAAATGTGAATGGACAAAACCTCAGTAGGAATAAACTCGTATTTGAATTCTAACTAGCATTCGTGTTTGCCTAAATACCGAAAACAGTCGATAGTTTAAAACACCAAATACATATTCCAATTTCCTAACCTCGACGCTGCTCTCGGCAATCTTAAATTCTACCTGAAAAGTCAAACCTGCAACACACCCTGTCATTAAAATTCCCCGCCTGAGGTGTTTTGGTTTTATTTGTCACCAAGGTGATGTTTGGTCAACCGAAATCGGTTGCTCAATCGTGCCATCTCGCGAACGGCCATATTCTTGAATACAAACTTGAGTGCATTTTAATGTACATTCATTTAGTAACTTAAAATGCACTGGATTCTATGTAGTTAGATCATATTACGAGTGTTAAAATTAAATTTATCTCTGGTGTACTTTCATTTTTATTGTCTTTATAACGCCTGGGATCCGCTAATATTGCTTCTACTCGTTACGTAATCTCTCATCTAATTCAATCTATCATCTTATCATAATTATATACATTTTGAATCAACCAACATCTACAGATCAAAACATACACACATATACGTCGCTGATTATACTCAGATGAGGTAGCTTTTTTTGGTACGCATATTGGAAACTTTTCTTAAGCTTTGTTTGTCAACTTGATTCAGTAATCTGACTTTCTTTGTTTGTCCGTTGTTATTATCAAACATTCACTAGACTGCTATGGCGAAGATAAAGTCAAAATTATCATATTATATTCATGTCCGAATTGAACAACATAATCTGGGTATGGACAACTATTCGTTACCGCAGTGGGTTACAATACTAGTCGCTTCCTGTTGCGATTAATAGACGATGAATTTATAACAAGTAATTACGCGGATTTACGATTCAGGATTGTAACGAAATCCGGATTTTCGACAACGCCCCATGGTGATAAGTTAACCATCTGGATTTTCCCGAATTATAACAATGAAGCAAAAGAGTGAAATGAGGTAATCGTATGTAAATTACTCGTGTTGATTTACAATACTTCTCAAAACATTTGAAGTGAAAAGGGTACGAATAGAAGGGTCGCAACTTGCAAGCGATAACTGAAGCGCTAGAAACTGTCCGATGATATACGATATTCGGAACAATCAAATTCAACCCAATGCCAATATAGCATAATATAACAGCCTTAAATCTTTTGTAGGAGATGTGCGCTTTACACTGCATATTACAGTGTCTTATAGTACATATATATATATATAAATCAAAACCATGATAAGCTGAATATTATTAGGCGACTACGAATGAAAGCTGAATTACCGTGTACAAATTGGGAACGATGCACGCGATGTTTTGATTCGTTGTCCGCGTTCTATGGATACTGCCTATCGTCTTACCCACCGTATCACAAAGGTGATCGAAGTCACATTGTAACTATTCAAAGAACATTGTTTTGACTGGTGCCAACGGTGTAGCGAATACTGCGACTCCTACATTTTCATTTCCCCAGTAGTCAACTGACCAGCACAGTTTATAACCAGAGCGATTTTCATCCTTCAAGAATAGAATTAGATTCTATTTTGCTGGTGAATTAAAGGCGTGAAAAATCAAGAGAATATTTGGTGAGTATTATGGGCATTAGATGTCACAGTATGGTATATATAAACATATTCTTGCGCAGAATGAGAATATGGAACGGGGCGGAAAGTTCAAACGTTTTATGTTAATGTGAACTGTTAATTAGTATATAGAATAAGTAAATAATATCGAGAATAAAGGTTTTCAAAAACCATACTCGAAAATGTAACTGACTTATTCCCGTACTATGTACTTCTATCTTACTATAAAACTCGAAATATTGATAGTTTATGTCATAAACTATAGCCCGTATGTGTCATGCTTCGAACCACATCTGGAAGTTTAAGACAACTTTTCTAAAATTTCTTCTTGCGTTTTTGTCATGTGTGTACTAATTTTGTTGTACCATTGCGTAGTTAGAAATATTTCGCTCACTTTTGCTAAGCATTTCGATTTGGTTTGATTCATGCACACTCGAAGATTGGATATTGATGGAACGCCCCGTATTGAAGTATTTCGTATATCAGACAGTCAAGAAAGAACAAAATCTAGCTATGTAATACGATTCCAAATTACACCGAAGTCTCATTATTAATTCGGACGAGACGTGATATCTGATATTTTTTTTAAATAATGACCACACACGCAGTGATTTCCTTTCGTCTTAGATTTCGGGTTCGTTCCAACGGAGCACAAATGAACTGGGGTGTCCACAAAAAGGCTCTTTGCAATTTAAAATGTTTAACATTTTACTTGGATGCCTATTTTTTTAAATTCCAATCTAACATTACGAATACCCTGCAAATTTAGCCATCCTGAATCAGCATAAATGATGTGTACTTTAAAATCGTTTTGGTATATGTTGAGGACTGCATTTACTTTTCACCATTATCCAAATAATAGTAATATGTTGGCAATTTTTCGACTTTTTTTTAAATTTTAGGTCATATTTACATAACTACTTTCAACGAAGCACAATCAACAAAAATGGCGGCGAGATGTGGATGGCTTTGGACAATATTTTGGCTCTTTGCCCTTCTGATCGTCGGCATACCCATCGGTCTCATATTCGCAATATTCTGGGTCATCTGCTCCCCTTTTGGGGTCTGTATATCAGGCTGTGCGAGTTTTGTGAACTTCCTAACAAAAGGACTAAACCTACCACAAACTTGTACCAGGAAAATGATAAATCAGGATTCTATTTGTTAATCATATTGCCCCTTTTCCTTGTTTTTCTCTACGAGAATCAATGGTGCTTTCTAATATATACTAGTGTAGATCCTGCCGACATATATGTATTGGTAACATCTGCCACTATCATATATATATATACCAAACTTATATATTGATATTAGGCATACAATAAATTAAAGAAAATACTTTATTCAAAAAGTTGTGATTTATTGTTTATTAATTCAGACAAAATAAAGCTAAGTTGCAAGAAATTTAGGTAGTGGTTTTAATATTACGGGCGTAATCTGTATTAATTCGGATTCCATAAAATAGTATATAAGAGGTGTACCATTTGTTCCCCTTTTAGTACACTTGTCACACTGTTTCGAGTTAGGATATATATTTTTTGTAAGATAGTTAAAGTAAGAATAAGAAAAATAAATCATGCTATGTTCGTGTTCAGGGTAGATGTAATAATACTTTGGCAAACGGTTAGAGTATTCATATGAAAGGTGTAAGACACATATTGGACAAGTGTGGTATAAAATGGGACAATTTCTGAGGCACCCTTATATATAATATGAATTTGGTTATGGACTAAGCCTTAGCCAGGAAAGTTGATCGATTTTCAATAATTCTCGGAACGGAGCGAAAAAAGGTTTGCAACTAGTTTGAAACTGTATGTCGATGAAAGATAACTTTACGAAACCTTTAGCTGTGTTTCGGCGACCGCTGCATACCTCAGTCTCGTCATGATATGTAAATATACTGCGGCAATGCGTAAGTTTGCAGAGTGAAAGAGCGCGTCGAAATCCGTTAGGCTCACATAATGTACAATTTTGCCAGTATTCAGAAATAGTCAACAAAAGATAAGCTAGTCAGTAAAATAGCGTGCGATATGCTCATACTAGGTGATTGAATAGTCACATACCGTAGGTATAAGAAAATAAATGTGAAAGACAAAATCATGCTCTCTGCATTGTGCGTTGACGATTAAATAAAGCGATTCGGTATTATATATTTATATATCTACACTACTTTAGTTGGCATTTTATGCTTGTGTTAACTATTTGATTTAGGCTCGGCACCAGACTGAAAACTGAAAAAATAAAATAATAGATTGTTAAAGTAACGCTGCACAGTTGTTAATAATTATTGATCTCTCTAGCCAACCAAGGTAGTCGTATTAAGACTCAAATTTTAGCCGTCTATAAAGTGGAAATAAGACAAATAGAATGACTAAACGCAACGCAACACAGGCAGCTGATTCTGCGGAAGAAAAAAAATCGAAACAGGCAGCCCTAGTACAGACGGAAAGTCAAACCCAGATATCAAAACCAGAATTGTATACTTCTATTCCAAAACAACCGATAAAAAAGAAACCCGGCCAACTAACAAAGAAGCAACTGGAAGAATTCTTTGATCGGGTATCTATTCTCTGTATTAATTAAGACATTGGGAAAGACAGACAGACAGACTTGTCTTTGAAAAATGTGTTTATTAAGTATTTTTATTTCAGGGTTTTCTCGTTTTGGAAGATTTCATAGATCACAAAATATTGGATAATATAAGAAATGATATAGAAAAACAAGTTGATGATCTTGCTGAGAAATTATTCAATGCTGGAAGGATCAAAAGTAAAAATAATTTCCTTTTATTTAAGTTACTTCGAACTGAATAGAAGGCTTGTGATTTAGATTAAAAACCAAAAATAAATCTTGAGCGATTTGTGTCTTATGTAATTGTGCTACAGACCTACACTGATTGGTATTCGGCTAACTGAAGGTTCTTTTTGTAACCAGAAAATCAATTCAACTATACTGTACTGACAAATTGTTCGGACAATAAACTCTTAGATAAAGACTTACACTAGGTGGCATTTGCAATGAATACATCAATATAAAGTCAATTGGTGTTGGTTTGTTTAATTCATTTGACTTTATTGCATTTATTATTTAACTTTTCTTTGCTGGCTTTTTTTATCAATAAATTGATAGAAGCCATGTTAAGGTATTTTTGTGCAACTATGTGACATTGGACTTTTTGAAGACGCAAAGGGGAAATATAGCCAAATGCATCTTTTCCATAAACATAACTATGAAAACTTGTATATCCCACTCTACATACTACAGACTCCATTTTCACGCAGACAAACATGAAGACAAAGGCCTACTAAACAGGTTGACACATCTGGAGAAGGAATACCCAGGAATTGCGGTCTTGCTACACAAATCAGATTACGTATCACCTGATTTTCAAAAATTATGGTCTTATGATAAATTGTTGAATGTAGTGGAACAAATTATTGGTCCAGAAATATCAGGCCACCCTGTATGGAACTTGAGACCAAAGGTATAAGTTAAAATTAGCATAAGAATTCCATGCATATGCACATCCATGCATATGCAATAATCAACTGGGTAACTATTCCCATATTTCCCCCCCTGGAATAAATATGAAAATCCTAATCTTGAAATTAGCATTATACACATTACAGGGGTTTTGTCCATATAGTATTTAACTGGTCATTTCCTACATCTTGAAGGTATTTTCAAATTATATGGATTTTTATTTTGTCTTGATCGATAACCTATAATTGTTTTATTTTGAAAGGGTAGCTCAAAAAAAAAAAAAAAAATTCACTTTTACGAAAAGTTCAATAAAAAACATAATATTATATGTTTCGAATCTAATTCTTTAAGCTACGATGAAAGAGTATCATAAAATAAATCTAATAATGATTTTCTACTGTACAGCCATCACTTTATCAAGTGCCATAAATCAGGAGTATCATTCTTTTTATAGCTATCATGTTAATTATTTTCAGTTTATGCCATATTAACCAAAATATACATTATATCTTTTAGGTTCCTAACAATGAACAACTAACAGTACCATGGCATCAGGGTGAGTGTCTGGGTCGCATATTTAGCGTTCTATATTGTTTGTCCACGGACTCTGCAGTAATCTGTTTGTCATTATTCAAATATTTGCGGAATTAGTTCAACCCATGTCGTGTGTTTTACATTGCTGATACATTACTTTTTCAAGACCATTTTGAATGTTGAAAAAGAGCATCTGTTAAGAGAAACAAAACATAATATGATTAGGTAGCAAATAAACTTCACTTTCGATTGCAATTGGGTTTGTGAATTCAGGATTTGTTTCATGTATGACCGTGTTTTATTGTGAAATACTGCAAATATTTATCCTAAATACAGCAAAAATATCAGATTTACATGATGCCAAAACTTATTTCATTTCACAACCTACATTCTGTACTGAATAGAATTCTTATGTAATGATCAATAAAGTGAAATCCATCTTTATGCTGTTGAAATATTATTTACCTGATGTGACCATTTTTGCATGATATTGAGAAGAAAGCCTTTTTTTGTTTCTAACAAACTTCTGAACAAACGGTCACACTAGTTATATAATAATATGGTCAGACTAAAATCTTCCAGGTTTAGGATAGAATACGAAGCACAGACATATCCTACTCTCATATGTAGTTGTGCCAGGACTCTACTTGTGTCATTTTGATAGTAAAAATACAAAACAAAATTCATCATGAAGTATTAACAACGTGTTTGTTCATTGCTCATTAGTGTAATTTTTTCTACAGATAATGCCTATTTTGAACCAAGTGCAATTGGTACATTTCTTGCAACAGCTTGGATTCCATTCGTTGATGCAAAGAAAGAAAATGGATGTCTACAGGTTTATATAAACTTTTAATAGTACTTTTTAATGGTATAATTAAAGTACCACATTGGTTTTCAGCACATAAGCTATTTAAATTTATAGACCTGACTCTCGTATTGAAGAAGTATAAGTTATCGTAGTTTCATGGAATGCCTATCATGATATATACGAGATAGTTGATAGTTACTGAAAAGGATAAACATAGGTAGCTACAACCTTTACATTGGCCACTGTAATAATAAAAAAGATATTGCCTTAGTTTTTGAAATTTATGCGTACGAAACTGTTAACTTTTATTATTAAGAGATATGTATGTAGTTTTTGTATTATTTTCAGTGTTATTGACTTTCTTCACCGTAGCAATGAAAATCCAAATCATACCCAACTTTAATAAAATAAACTTTAATAAAATTTACTTCTAGCCAGAATGATGACTTTTTTGTTTTGCTAACACTTACTAATAACCATTTAGATGATACCGAAAGGACATCACAAAGGAATGACTGCCACTCACACATGCTGTGCAGGCGGTACATGGTATGTTGATTTGTCGCCAGAGGACATGAAAAGAGAACTTAACCTTGATGCAAAAGATGCTGTTACATGTGAAATTCCTTATGGCGGAGTTTTGCTTTTTAGCAATTGTATTCCTCATAGAAGGTCAGTGAAAGAGGGATGGATCCTTTTGTTGCATTTCCTTAGATTTTAAACTTCTCCTAAAATTGCAAAATTGTATGTAATTCAATAGTATGTATAAGAGTATGGATAGATGCAATAAAAGTTGGTTTAAAATGACGAAAAACATTCTTGTTTGCTCTAATTAACAAGGCTCTGTACAAGCAGCTATTTTCATGGGAAAAGATACTATTTTTTGGGGGTCTAAATTTTTTATGGCTCTACGATGACTATCCAATTTATTACATCTTCCACGGAGATTTAGTCCAAGATCCTTGATCTGTGAATGTGATGTCAACATACTTAGGGGGTTAGTGGTCTGCATGGGAATGTAGAACATTTTGTTTTTATTTCTCTACTCGAAGCCGAATCTGTAATATGGGAAGAGATAGTGTAGGTCACTTTATGAACCTGATTGATTGCTGAAACTCAACGACTGATATTTAGTTTTATATTATTTTAATCCTAATTTCAGCTTGGAGAATCTAACTAACAGTATACGGTGGAGTGTTGACCTGAGATGGCAACGAACTGGTGATCCTGTCTCTTCTTTTGGCAACTGCGTAGTGATGCGAACAGCTGATAACCCAGATCTCAAAATTGATTGGTCGCCACTGACTGATGTAAAGGAAGGACGAAATAAAAAGCAGGATTTGGCTTTGGTAAGTAATGCAAAGTTTGATAAGTTAATGATTTTGAAATCCTCTTTACAATCAGTATTTAATTAAAGTCATTAACACCACAAATGGGGGTATTGCACAATGGGATGGAATGCTTAGCAAATAAAGTCAAATGTCAGGCTGATAAATCATTAGGAAATGAAGTGACATCAAAGTCAATATTGTCGGTTGAATCGTCTTTCATGCACCTAAAATATGATATGGACTGCCCTAATTTTTCACACATTGGGTCTAAATTCAGCGATTATTGGCCAAGGTAACAGAATAGTGTTGATTCCCAGGTTGATTACTGGGGGGAATAGTTATGTGCGTTAGTTGCAGCTTGCAGGGTGGTTCATTTAGGTCTTATTTCAGATTTCACTTCAGTGATAACATCTTCATCTTAAAAATATCTTTACTCGTACCCATATAGTTAGAACATTGAGTTTAGTATTCCTGTAGTGTGTGTACCAAGTTAGGCTTAGGCCATAATTTTATTCCGATTTTCCTCATTTTCGTTGTATTACGAGTTCGGGGACTGTTTGTGTTACCCAAGTGAATATAGCTCCTTCCCATAGGGTCAGTCTCTTTACACAACTTGATCTAAAGTAGGCGAACAAAATTAGTTGCTTCCATATTGGGAGCTTCCGGAGCGCCGGCAATATTCTGACAACAAGCTATTTACTACTGTGAATTATTACAGGGAAATGACTATGATGAATTTGAACCAGTGATCAGTGGTCCATGGATGACCAGATGGAAGATTGTTCATCATAACAAACATACTGCTCAACATCAATCGTCTGAAGTTAACGACCCGGAGCATAAACCATAGAAGTTCATATAAAAAGATGCAATTATTGTAATTTTGCTTTGAAAATCAACGTGGCAATCATTGCTATACAAAACGTTTAATTGATATTTTTGTGTTGATGAAGTTATTATCAAAATCTTTTACTTATTAATGTTGTCTCGTAAACTTCTACATTATATTAATGCTAATTCATTAAAAATTGGAAATTTTGATTTAGTTTTTGGTGCAATTATGTAAATTTAAAGTTCTTTTCAAAAAGTTCAAACTAATTTTGTAAATGCAACTTTTTGTTATGTATATATTAATGTTGCTTGCAGAACTGTATAATACAATAATTACAATTGTCTATCTTCCAAGTCTGTCTTGAAAGTTGATATGGAAATAGAAGCAGCATAACTTCTTTGAGTTTTTGGTGTTGGGTGTTGGTAAATAATTTCTTGTAATTCTATATATACTTAGTACAGCATGACTTCGCATATTCCCAAACTTTTCGCAGGTAATAAACAAGAAAGGTTCGCCAGGTTCCGAATAAAATTCAACCCAATCTACCCAGAGGGGGAAAAGCATGAATATTTGTCTTCGTCTTAAAGAGTCGTCTGTCTATTCGATGTCGCTGGGTAGGTTCATATACATGGGCTTGAAAGCCCTGTATTCCTTGACTAGAAAACTCGGAAAACTTGTGGTAAGGTACTAAAACGCACATGAGAGTGTTTTATTACGAATTAGATGTAAAAAAGAGAGTAGCTGCAAAACAATTAGTGAATAAAAGTTAGCATCTGCTTACCCAGTGCCTTGTTCAGGGTGGAAGTATGATACCCAGCCTAAACATAGCAGCACTTCAATATGCTTTGCAATAAGAATATTGCATATAATTTTAATTAATTAAAATAATTTTATCAATAAATGTAATTCACTATGTACATGGAGAGATGTAAAGGGGAAAAAAATGAAATTCCACTCATGCCTGATAGCAGTTTCTTCTCGATATTTTTGTTTGAACCCGTTTTTGGACAAAAAAAGAAAAATACTTTTAAATTGTACATTTAAGCAAGAGATCATATTCAGTAAACTATATTTCAGGGCAGCCCAAAAAGGATCGTTGCTGTGTCAGAACAAATCTTTTATTGGTAGATAGAATAACAAATAATCGATTCGGTAGACGACGCTCCAGAGCAGCTTTATTGTAACCGTGGATACGAATTACCTCCATCTGGTTTCGTCATTTATAATTCATTCAGACAAAACGCAGACTCCTGTTGTCAGACTGCCTGCGGATATTACTTTATATTAATTGACGAATGTGCGCTTTTAATGGTGGTATATTTAGATAACACTAGACAATATTCCGTGGAATGAAAGATGAATATATCTTATTCAAGACTTTTTAAAGCTTTCTATCATGAGAAAATCTAAAAGTAGTCTATAATTAAGAAAATACCGGTACTTCTGAATTTAACGGAAGACGGGCAGTGATTTGATTGGACTTTGATTGAAATCTCGTTCAAAAAGCAGAATTACAGTTTTAGGCATATGTGTTTACTTATGTTTACGTACGACACATGTAAGTGTAATAAAATCACATTATAAAAAGGATAATTAGATGATGTGATAGTGGAATGACAACTACGTAACTTAGTGACTTATCTATTCAGGATTACCTCTGACTGACTAACAAGCAACAGCGATTTGAGGACAGATTTTCAATTTTGCATAGAAAAAACTCATTTTGAAAAAACATTCCATGGTCAGGAAAGGGTTTATAGCTTGTTTATATGAATTTTGGTAGTTCATTGGCTAATTATGAGACATACTTGGCAGAGTGATAGATTTCGACATTTGAATATATAATAACAAGATTGAATGTGAAACTAACAAAAATATCACACAATGGTTGCAGGATATTTCTAATTACTTTGATCTACGCCAGGACAAGTTTAAATCAAGCTTTAAAACATCAATGTCTACAATAACAAACAGAGCGTAATTTTTCATCATTTGATGACATTTATAGGATGTTAAATCAGATTGTGTATATTTGAATAGTGTGGAACTAATATTGATTTAGTCATGTAATCTATGTAAGCAAATAATGAGAATTTTATGTTTTATTGTCAACTGACAGCTGTAAAATCTGAAGAGATTGTAGAAATAAATACTCAGTTGAATTCATATTACAACGCGGTATTTTAAAGTAATTTTTAATAATTTGAACCAAAAAAGAAAGATATATTTGATTGGTAGATTTTTTTTTATTGTAAGCATGAATATATATTTTTGCGACCAACTACATCTTACTGATTTATTTCATAGTTTTTTATTAAATTAATCTTGGAATGGAAATAAAATTTTTAGTTTTTTGAAAGAAAAATACTTCAATGTCTGATTGACCAAATTAGAATGGGACAATTGATACATAGTGTTTGACTAAGCAATCTAACATAGAGTCAATTCTATCCTAGATTTCAGTATTAATTACATGTAATTGGTGGGTTGCTGTTCATTGCAGTCCAATTATACACCGTTTTATATTCAAAAATCAATCTCAAATATGTCTATCTTGTTATTCTGCATCTTACAAACGGCTTAGCTAAAGCTTATAATCAATACTCTTCTGTTTAGTGGCTTAAATGCGTAGATTATACATGTTTCCAATGGCTATATTGATTTTTTGTCAAATTCATAAAGGAATAAAGGTAGAAAATTCAAAATATGTTAATAGTTTTGAAAAAACACCAATTTATGTTTTAAATAGTATTTTAGGAAATATTTCACTAATATATAGGATGGAATCAAAAGGTGGACAAAACATCTGCTGAACAGATGCCACTAACTGATAACAAGTTTGAGATTCTCTCAACTTCATTTCTATATAGACGGTACTAAAATACTGCAGCTATTGTCGCACTGTATTGTTTTGAATGCTAAGACCATTATAAAAGGAGATATTTATCGCACTTTTGTAATTCTGAATTTCTTAAAAAGAAATAACAAATTTGTATTTTGCCAACAGAAACTTCATTAAGCCAAAGTGTAAAAATGGTGCTGCTAATTCAATATGATATATAAATTACCTAACTCGGCTAACAGTGTTGTTGAAACAGTGTTAAAATGTTTTGAAAAAAGTCGAAAAACAGTTTTATAAAATTACCATTGGAATGTCAGGAACAAGCTGCTGGATTATAAAGCATGAAAATTCTCCATCACAGCAAAACTACTTTTTTGTTTTTGTTATTATATTCCACAAGCGAATGTTTGAGCCAGACATCTATACCAAGTAAGAAGCTTTCATATTCATGTATCAGTAATACGAAACTTGAGTGCTGAACTTTAAATTAGATAATAGTATCACTTTGGTTTCTTGTAGTTTTCCATCGGCAATAGAACTGCTTGCTTATGCTTTTTTCATAATTTTTATATGATTAATTTTACTCTTTGGACAAATAAAACTAAACTAGGACATAAAGGATGATGTAAAAAGCGTTGATGGAATACATCATAGAATAGTTAAGGGATTGTCCTAAGATCAACTACTGTCTATGTGAAAATAAGAATTGAATTTTAAAATAAAGCCGTTTCCACTTTATTGTATCTGTTAATATTGTACCCAGTGGCCGGGCATCAGAAACTCACCCCAGACTGCAGAAAAAATTTGACACACCCCTGGTTGTAGCTCCTTGGTCAAGAGCCTTTTTGTTATGCAATATATTTATGTACTATGTACATGTATAATTTTACAATCGGATATTATTTGTATTCTTATCATAGTATGAGAAAAATTGACAAAAAGGCTTTGACACTGGCCACTCGTCTAGTACCTGATTGTAGTTCATAAGGGAAGTCTTCATTTTGACTAATTGAAGAGGATTTTTTTTGCAGATGGAGAACTCAATACAGTAAACACAATAACTCCAATTACAACCACTCCGATCTTAAGTTTGCTATTTGCTGATGACACTGAATCTACTGCTGAAAGAAAAGATGTCAGAACTGCTGCTATTCTTGGTAAGTATGGGTTTTTTTATATTCCCATTTTGTCTTTCTTTTCTAATAGTGAATCACTGTTGGAATAGGATTTTAGCAACTTTGAAACAATACTTCTTGATGGCTAGCATATAAAAAGATAAGATAGTGTAATGGATTGTTTTCATCATTTCATTTTCATGTGAAAATTTGAGTGGGATTCAGTTATCTTGTTGCTTGCTCACATGATTATACTTGTGTGAAATTTTTCTCTGATTAAGCCTAATTTTTATGACAAGAAAAGCATGCAGATAAATAATGGTTATCACAAAGGGTATTCCATTCAAATGGATTTTGAATGGAAATGAATTTTAAACAAAAAAGTATCATTAGTTTGCAGAGTGAAATAAGCACAATATGAGTCAAAAAATGATTAATGGAATTTCAAAGTCCAGGAACAAGTATATGAATGCTAAGCTGGTTTGAGTACATATAAGCAGGCTTGTCATATATTGAATTAACTTATCACTGATCAATTTATCTTATGTCAACTTGGATGAAAACATATGCATACAATGCGATAGTGAATAATAAGCTATCTTGTTAACTCTGGTTGCCAATGACTGACACATTCAAGGTCAAATTGAATCAATTATGCATTCCCCAAAATGGATTTTTCATCACATATAAGCCAATATTGTTTGGATTGGTTATGGAAATGTTTTTTTTGGAACAACTCCCAAGTTAATATTTGAACAAATAAAATATATTTGAGAAAAGATTTGTAATATCATAACAGTTCAAAACTGTATGTTATCCCCTCATGTCTGTATTTCTCAGTATATTTATGTTTGTAGTTTTGTCAATGACATTATCGTGAGTTTTTGATTTCAGTTTATTTCAGTTTTTGATGAGAAATAGGTTTGAGATGAGAGATTTGATAGAAATATTACAATATGATGCTTGATTTTTTTAGTTTCTGCTGAAGGATCTGGAGGCACAACAACAACAATATTGTCAGAAACAACTACTGGTTTCATTGCTGGATCTGGGTCAGGTATGTTTTGTACGGATATCTTAAAAATGTTGTGTCCCACTTGTCTCATATATCCCACTTGTCTCACATGTCCCACTTGTCGTACGTGTCCCACTCATGCCATGTCTCTCACTTGTCCTATGTGTCCCACTTGTTCAACTCATCCCGCTTGTCTCATGTGTGACAAGAGGGCCAGGACAATTTTGAGACATAAATGAAAACAATTGGTAGTCGTTTTCCACGTGTCCCACACATGACAAAATGGTCAGGGCATTATTGAGACATTAATGAAAACAATTGGTAATACCTATTCATGTCTAGAATTCTTTCATTATTAAGTCCATTTGTTTCAATATTTATCTGTGCTCCCGAGAAGCATCATGCATCAAAAACTAATTAGTACATGTTGTGTCCAAATAAACAATTTGGACATTTCTGGGTAAAATACTGAGCTATCTTGTATGTGTACACATGTACGTATATGTGTGTGTTTGAGTCAATTAGTGTGGGTAAGTATGTGTTTGTATGTAGACGCTTGTCTAAATCTTTGTTTGGAGCAAAAATGATACAAGAGCTTATGTTAATAAATTCTCAAAATAGTTCTTTTTATTTTTAAGGTGCTATAGATTCCACTACACAACCAGTATCCACAGTTACTAATTCTGAAATCACATCCGTAGAGGCAGGCTCGGGCATTGGAGAAAATGCCACAACCATTATTGCCTCAACAATTTCAAGTGATGCCACATCCAGCAGCTTTGAAGGAAGTGGTTCTGGTGCCACAGTTGTTCCTTCTGATGATACCACGACAGCATCATCTGAATTCACAACCAGCAGCTCAGAAGAAAGTGGTTCTGGTGCCACAGCTGTACCTACTGATGATGCCACGACAGCACTAGCTGAAGTCACCACCAGCAGTCCCGAGGGAAGTGGTTCTGGTGCCACGATTGTACCTTCTGTTGATACCACAACCAGCAGCTTAGATGTAAGTTCTACTTCGGATGCAACAACCAGTGTAGAAGATACCACAGTTACTACCATACTGGACTTTACTGCGAACGAGACAATCACCACTAACTTCACCGACATTACAACTATTGCTGCTGTTGGCTCATCTTGTAAGAATTATTTTATAATATTGACTTTACAATACATTGATTTTCAAGTTTTGACTGTATTACATGTTTAAAATTTGATAAAATTAATAGAAAAAGTGACTTGATTTACAATGTTGATGGCAACTCAGATAGATAGGTAAAAATTAAAAAAAATACAGTAATGTAAGTGAATTTTTTTGTTCAAACTATTAAATTAATTGAAGGCAATATTGAAAATTGCCACCTCCATAATCTATTGTTGTCGCTTTATATCTCACTTATTCTTATTGCAAGCGGTGAACCAAGCAGAAGAATCAGCCACCAGATGGGCATGAAATGCTAAAACTCCCAAAATCTTTCAGTGAACTTGTGCATTGTGAGTCTAACGTTTGCTCTCACACACACATTTATATACTTTTTATTTCAATCTTTTAAATATTCAATCTTTCCAAAAGACTCAGCTTAAATCTTCCCTTGCGTCTTACTATTTTTTTCAATTCTTTTCTTGGCAGTGTTACCCTGGTATATCATTGTGATCATATGTCTTGGGATATTGTTATTCATATTGCTGATTGTTTTTATCGTTGTCTGCTGTTTATACAAAAAAGTTTCACCTGCTCCTACAAAAACCAAAGAATCTACTGAGACTACTGGACCTGATAAAACAGTAAGTTCACCTTACAGATATAAATTTTCAGCATAAAGATTCAGCACAAAAATATTTTCTGAGATATATAAAACTTTTTTTGAAATACATCAATTTTGTCAAAGAATAAAAAAAAACGTCTATTACCTCCTATGTTTTTAACTCAGGTACAAGATATTAAAATGCAATCATTACCAGCCTATGTACCACAAGCAAAAACAATAAGACCAGAGCCAAAGGAAGAAACCAAACAAATAACGAGTTTCATATCTGACACTCCAATGGTTCCTCCAAAGATTTTTGACGACCCTGTTTATGCTGCTGTGGTCAGAGGGTAAGGAAACATCAACGCACTTGTTTGTCACACACATTTGCATTGGTGTCTCTAAAATGTTGTATCCCATTTACCCCCAAGTTACCCCACTCGGCCCAATGGGACTTCAAGTCAAATAAAAGACTGAAAATATTAGATAATATGTTTCATAATGCTCATTTTAAAGTTAGCTTCAATAATCTAGGTCAGGGGTCGGGAACCTTTTTGGTCAAGAGAGCCATAAAATATACATATTTTCAATTGCATTTCCGTGCGAGCCATATAACATTTCTTCACTTAATCAGGCCTGAAATGTTCACTCAAAAGTCAACACATACAATGTCAATATACATTTAATGTGATTTCTGATGCTGCATGTAGTCGCTGCGGGCCTTGAACGGTTGCTCACATGCAGCCCAAGTTGAAATCTACGATACTCATCGCCCTTTTTCGTTTAGGCATCTCCGTAGTGTTGTTAAAACTCTATCACTCTGTGATGTCACAACATATGTTTCGGAATCCCATTGTTCGTCACAATGCATGTCTGGTAATTATCTTACATAACATAGACATGTGCTGGACGCGCGTTCTCAAACGTATTGGGAATTTCCTGCCAAATTTGGCTATAAAAGAGTTTGAAATCTCGTAACAATAGTAAGCTTAGTCTTGGAATATTAGATTTTTCTGAGAGCCATATGCCGTCACCAAAAGAGCCATATATGGCTCGCGAGCCATGGGTTCCCGACCCCTGATCTAGGTGATTTAAAAGTCTTGCTGCACTCTGACAAAAATGTAGGAAGTTCGTAAAGGTAAGGAAGGATAGGTAGTCTAAGCTGATAGTTATTTATTGATTGTGGTAATTGCAGAGAAAAACCAAAGAAAAGAATTAAATCGAAACATTCTACGCCTGATGAAGATGAAGGTTATGATGAACCTTTGCTAAGAAGAGAAAAAATACATGAACCAGGTATGTTTGATTTAATTGTTCAGAATGAAAATTTGCTTGTCCAATGTCTTGTTTGGTAAAAAAGGTATAGAACATATCATGCAAGTTCATATTAAAAAACTTGAAATTGTTTTTCCATAAACACATTGAGCAAAGGATAAATTAGGTGACCCTTAATATCACCGAAATTATTTATGTTGGTGTTTTACTATGTTATATTTGATTGTAGTAGTATTTATCCACCCAGAGTCATTATTGTGTTAGGTAATTGAATTTTTTTTGTAATTCAAAGGTTTTAATAGGCCTGAGTTTTCAGTAATAAATTTAAAGGTTGTATGTCATAATATTATGTATTTCAACAGGAAGCATGATGTATAGATGTTCAATCAGTCAATATATTCAGAATTAAGTATTTGGCCTGGCTGGGTAAAACATGTAAATAATATGACGCTAAATTTATCGAATACTTTTTAATGGAATGTGAATTTGATATAGTGAAGACGCATATTTAAACTTTGGTTTGAAATTATCTAATTTTGTAAATCCCTTATCTTACAGCACACCAAAGATCTGTCATAGCAGCACAAAAGAGGCCTCATACAAGGTGGGAAGGTGAGAGTGAGTTAGTGGAGAGAGCACCTACTCATTATCAACCGTATTATCTGCCTACACCAGTACAAACAGCTCTTACATCTAAAGCACTTGGGAATACTCTGTCAGATGAAGCCTTGGTAAGTGTTACATCACCTAATGATGTTTTGTTTGACTCATGTTTTGTAAGAAAAGATACAGAAAGATGTTGTTATGAGTGTTAATACGATTTTTGAATAATAGATGGATTAAATAGGTTCACGACCAATAATAATTTAAAAGAATTATTTAAATTTTATTAAATATTCAATTTAAATAATTGTTTAAAACAAATACAGCTTTTGAGGCTTCGTGAAAATAATGGCTTTCATGTCACTTTCACACAAAATTACAATGAATGTGTTTTTATCAGCTACATCAATTAAAAAATACTTTCGTAATAATACTTTTCAATTTCCAGGCTCAAAGACACGCATTACAACGCTCAGACATTGAAAGACATAGAAACAAACAAAGGATGCGTTCAAGACATAGAAAAGGTAAGTCACTCTCTTTACGATTACACTTGATTACTTGGATTTGCTAAAACAAACATGTTTTCATAAAAGTATTTATGATTAATTTGACTCATACATATCTAAAATTTTTCATAGAATAACATTGCTTCTAAATAGCAACCAACAAATTCAATCAAATGAAAAAGCAAGAATTTGAATGAGGATTTTTTACAAATTTTCATAGCGGTTGTAAACTTTCCTACATTTAAATTTTTTTATGGGATTAGATAAAAAGATAAATATTATGAAACGTTGTGTACCAACAACTTCACAAATACTCCTTTAATTGTTTTTCCTAAAACATGAAAGGCATTTTTTATATTAGCATTAAAATGAATAATACATCATTTGCTCAAACCATCAACAATTCGTCTGTGGGTAAAAATGCTTGCTCCTTATTTAATCGAAAAATTATCTTCTTTCATGATAAAATTCTTGAATTATAGATAAGCTCATTATTGCAAAAACCCACTTATCCACTTTGTGTCTGTCATAAATGGGTAATAAATTATTCAAAGAAAGTAGAGATGAAATATGAAAGCAATTTAGTTCAATTCGCAAAACCTACAACAATTTTAATAATTGATTTCATAACCATTATTGAAAAACTAATGCTTAGAAACTGATGTCTGATATTCAGTCTTAAACATAATTAGGTACATGAGATAGAAAGCTTATCAATAAGGCTAAGCGGTGGGGTGCATCGTGCTAAGTGATAGCGATATGCTCGGCCCCGCCCCCTAATTACCCTGCCGTGGGTTCGCAGGTTCGATTTAGAGGATTGCTGGACTCGTAGCCGCTGGTCGGCTTCCTCCACCATCAAATCCATGCATATGAAACAAATAACTGGACTGGACAAGAGGCCGTGGTTTGCCATATGATTAAGCTATATCGGCTTCCCTCTCCCCCGGGATGAATATGTAAATCCTGAATGGGTAGATGGCCTCCATTAGCCTCTATATATCCTAGAAAACAGAAAATTTTAAATTAGTTTCCTTTTTGCTTATACCCAGATCCTCACCAGAGAGACATTGATGCTGTGTTGGTGCCACCACCCCCAACTATACTTCAACCATCTGCACAAATAAGGTAAACTTCTTCAATTATGGTTGTTATTGAATAATAGAATTCATTAACTTTTAACCTCAATCTGGACATACTTGGTAGCTACGAAATGTGCGGTTATTCATTTATTGAAGAAGTGTGCTCAAAACAAGGTGATGCAAACCGCTTAAAAATAATGCAAAATTATTAGTGAGCGCCCAAAGTACTAAGAGCTACTGAGACTATAAACAATTATAGTGTAGAATTACTTGTCATTAAATACTTCATGGCGTGAGACTTGAAACAGATCAGGTGAATACTATCGTAAAAACAGCTATGAACAGGTAGTGAATTCAGAATAACTGAAGTTCGTGGATAAAAACGGCAGAGAAAATTCGGATAATGCACGGCCTTTGAGGCAGAATTAATATTATTTGTATTAAAAAATTGGTTTTCTTTTCTACTGATCAATTTCCTTCTTGTATTATACAGAAAACGACTACGTAAAAAGCATGGTAGAATGGATATTGCTGATCAAAATCGAATAAGGCATTCTGATATACAATCACTCGTTAATGAAAGGCCAGGAAAATACAGAAGGAAGAGAAGTGATACAGACACTTCCACAGCTTCTGAAGAAAGTATGTTTTCCCCAAATAAAATGTGCAATACACCTATTCATAACTGGCTGTCTTTTAAATTGACAACAAAATTACTTTAGAAGTTCCATCCCATGAAGCAACAATTTCAAAGATGGCAAAGTTGTTAGAAGAAGCTTATGCCTTATTGGCACCTGCAGTACAGAGAAATTTAATAGGACCTGCTGCTATGCCTGTTACACCCATGCAAGTAAGTGTTTATTTTTAACAACAATCATAAGGTATATTATATAATTGTTCAACACAACTGAATAACATTTAATTAGAATAAAATAGTTTTGAAATGGTTCGATTTCTTGGTATATTTGATATTCTGCTTCTGATCTAGGATAAAAAGCATTGGCAAAGTTTTTAAATAAAATTACCCATTTTTTATTGCTTAAAATAACTTGTGATGTCATATTACATCATATCATAATATTAAATTTCATTACCATTTTTAATAATAACTATGAAACCACAATTACAAACAATTATTTCTGATATTTTTGCAGCAACCTGCTTTCACTGTTCAACCAATGCCAAGAAATGTAATTCCAGTTGTTCCACCACCTCCAAATCATTTCCAACCAGAGCAGAATATGCCACCTCTATCTATTCCACGAACAGTAACGCTACCTATTCAAGTACAAGCATCACCTCCAGTTATCACAGAGTCACCTCCCAAGCCGGACTTGAATAGCAAACTATTTGCACCGAGGACTTCAACACCACCCGCACTTCTTCCTTCATCAAGTAAGTGCAATTATATTTTATAGTCAATGAATAAAAGTAACGTTCACTCTTGTATTCATTCCGAATATGACCTTAGACAAACAATGTAATACCATAAATTTAAAAAAAGAGTATTTAGGAAAAAGCTTAAGAAAATTTCTTTTGCTCTACTACTAGGTGTGTTTGAATGTAGAGTTTTGAATTTTTTTATTAATTTATGAAATATTTGTTCCAAGCACTTTCTAAAAAGTAAACCTAAAAATATAAAATGCTAAATGAAATCTAGAAGTTCTGTCAAAAATGTTTTAAATTTATATTTTAGTTAGAACAACTCACACATGTCTGATTGCTACATTTAATGAATTACAAATTCAACAAAATTTCAAAATACTTTTGCGTATGTATGTAGACAGCTTTTTCTGAAATTGTGAATTTATTGTCAGATCATACCTATTGTTACATAACAAAACACATTCCATTGACTGTGGTTGGGACGCTGATCACATAATGATTACTATTGTTACTACTTGTTTGTTATTAAACAAATAAAATCTGTGTGTGCTCTGTTAAATTCAGTGGGATTTAAATAACTATTTATTGTTGTAAGTGGTACTACTGTGAGAATACAGTGGACAGCATATTTACAATTTATATTCAAGTATAACATCTTCATGAAAATTATGGATATTATGGCTTATCAAATGAAATTTAACCATAATATACTTGAGCTGAAGTCCTATATAATTTTAAGGCCATATTTATTTTTGAATGTTGAATCTATATTAAGTTTCATTGCAATGACTTGCAACCATTACAGTTTGAGTATACATTGAACATACAAACATTATACTGAATGATTATAGTTTGCCAACTAAGCGTTTGGTTTCTTATACCAAAATCTTTATGATGACAGATTTACTGTGAATGTGATCGAGATAATATCAACATTGTGGAAACAAAACACATAAGGCTGACTTATATCTTCCTAAATATTAGAAATAAACCATATGCTTGAGTCCTTGAGATTAAGCAGATCTCTTTATGTTATAAGATTTAGATTGGATCAATTGTACATCTGTATAAGATAAAACAATAGTTTGAGTTTTTCTGGTTACACTTAAGAGACTTGAACAAGATATATTCATACAATTTGTACTATTATTATACATTCTTATACAAGTTTCTCATATTCAAAAAATTTAAAATAAGAAGATCTTTCTGCCTCTCATTAAAATATTTTGATATAACGGTATTAAGGAATATGTAATATGATATGTGAAGTATCAAAAATTGTTTCAAATTTTTCAATATAATTCAACCAAGAAGGCAAATAAAAGATGTAAATGTAAAATATGATGTGAATTAAAATCTTTATCTGTGGATGTGAATACATAATATATTATATATAATATTCACTAACTCAGTAAAGAGTCAATAATAACTCCATTTTTGGAAACTCGAGTACCTATTGTCTATCACTCCAATGTAAATAGCAAAACACTTGAATTCACAAATGGGGACGCTTTGTATCGTGTACCAGGATTTGAAATACTTTTGAAACTATCTTTTTTCAATCATGAGTTGAATAGAATAGCCAAACATGATAATACCTTGTCACTAGGATAAGTATATGAAATTAAATATGCAAGAACTGATTCAATTTGAAAAGGTTATATCGAATATATGAAATGACCTACACTTGAGTTATATTCATATGATCATGCATCATTAAAAGACGCAACAATCCTGTTTATTTTCCAGATATTTCTCCAAGTCAAGCAAAACCATCTTATGCACCATATAAACCAGACAGGGCAAATGGTAAGATATTTATCATAATTTCAGAAATATTGTCAAATTAACTTGTATTTTATAGAAAATTTGACCTAAAAAGGAAGTTTGTTGTATATCCAGATGTGTATTTTATGGTGCGTCAAAAAGACAAAATATTAACTACAAAAGACCTTTCATTCATATATAATCTCCTTATTGTCCTTTAAATTTTCATTAATATGGATCTAATGTTTTAATCAGCTTGCTCTCTGTCGCCAACTTATGAATAAATCATTTGCTAATTTCAGACATTGGGTAAATACTGGTTGTTTCCTCAGCAATATGTCTGGATATATTCACTCTCAACTGCATGAAGTGTGAAATATGTTTGTCAGATACACCACTAATCCATCTTCATCTCCTATTTATTAAGATGCCAATTCAATAATTTGGACACCATATCGAACATTCGATCAACTAGCCCAACTACAAGCTGAAGATCCAAATTTTTCAAAATCGTCATTAACACCATATGACATGCCTACTAGTTCAATCTCCCACCCTGGACTTGTTACAGACACCTTAGAATATACACCAATGTTCATCCCGAATCAGTTATTTGATTCACAGCCACAAACTTCAATCGGAATGGAGGCTTCCACTCCTGTAGAAGATAACACCGAGCCTACTTCTTCTATAGTTCAATCTATTAAAGAAACACTGGCTAAGTTAGCAGGAAGCTCTACACCTGTTCAAGAATTCTCAGACCCTGAGTCACATAGGTGATGAGAATTGTGTACTATTTTGCACTTGATATGAGCTAGCTTATTGTACAGCCAAATCACATAACAATAATGTTCCATTATATACTTGTGATGTGAGCACTTCGAAGCAGATCTTGCGACATTCAAATGCCAAAAAATAGTTTCCCATACTAAACTAAATATGTGTTTCATATTCTTTTTTACTTGTTTGAAGCTGACCAACTTTCTCTCTGAATGCCAAAATTGCTTGAAAACAAAATTTATGAAAGTATGACTCTAGCTAGGATGCAACTGTTTTCTAATTACAGAGTGTACCAAGTCTGCACTGTGAATTGCCCTCCTGTTTACTGACATACCCATAGGGCCCCTGTACTTTTACCCTGTACTTATAACATCACATTTTTGTATTACAAGGTCATGTTTTTGTAAATTATATTCTAATGCCCACTAAAGTCTTAAACGTGATATTGTACATTATATATGTCTCTAATATTAAACTATTATATTGAAGATATATGAATTTCTTTGGTTACATGTAAAGTGTTTTGTTATTTTGTTTTATACTTTTATTTTTGCACTTCTCTGAGTGGCAGGTTGGGATGGCTACAATTATCATTTTATAAATACTATAAAATTAAACAATTGAGTGTTGAAAATTCGTTACAATTTTTTAATTTTACACTTGCTATCATGTTGCTCGTTTTGTACTTATATGCAGTATTATATTATTTTTATAGGAAAAACTTTATTTACTTTCTTGTGAGGTATTGCTAAAGTGGTATCATTTAACATCATTCATTTCGATATGATAACTCTGCAGAACTCCATGACATTTCAGTTCAAACGTTTTTCATATGCTGTGACTATTTTGATTTCAATTTCGTTCATATTACACCTATAATATATGTGCACCAAAATATGTAAAAATTTTATATATGGTACCCAACTTAATTTTGCCAAAAGTACTGTTCATTTCCACTGTGAAGTTTCAAACATGCTTAAACTTGCGTCAAAGTCAAGCAAGAAAAAGTATTTCAATTTAAACTACCTTGAATGGAAAACCACAATAAAAAGTGACTGTTAGTTTTGAAATTTACCTACATATTAAAAAAGAAAAAATTGCACGAACATTTTATAAAAGTGAATTATATAATCGTCTCATTTATATTGCTCAAATTACAGTGTTTTTATTTTAATAAATATCATTTTGTTCCAAACAGGTATTAACCACCAAAGTTGTTTACCATGTTGTGTAATGATATTTATGAAATAAAATGATCATATCAGTTGATGGTTGAGCTCATTTTATAGACGTATAGCAGCGTTGGCCAAACAGTCGGTCACCAAATCCTATCTTGCCATATGTGGTTCTGTAGTTTAATTAGACAATATTTATAAAAGGCGAAGCGTTTCGAACTGCGTCTCGAGTAATTTCCAAATCAAAGTGTAATTGACGCATTGAAAAAAAAAAGGTTTCAAAATGTTTGTATTAATATACTAGAGGCAACATATTTTATTTTACTTCATTAAATAGCATTTCAGTTACTTACATTCAATTTTCAAAAAGGAATTTTACAAAGCGCTCGATCGGGCATAAAAATATGATAGAATTTTTTCTGATCTATCTCTTGCAAAAGGCGTTTCTGAACGCTACGATGAGAGTTTTAAAATACCAAAGGGTCAGAATACTATTCCGAGGGAAGACGAAAAAAAGTCTTTAATGAAACTATCAAAAACATCACTCATTTTGAGGTAACTAGGACGTAAATACTAAAATGTTGATGGAAAGCGTATGTTCAATTTAAACCGAATTGAAAAGGAAGTGTCAAATTTAAGACTCCGTACACATCCATTTGATATTGACTGACATGCTGCCTCGTCTGTCGAATATCCCGCTACTAGGCTACGGCGTTGTGGTAAGCTTGCTTGAAGTGTGGTTGATTTTTGCTGAATGTGTGGAGTATAATTTTTGAACACTATGTCTGCTTTCAAAAAAGCACAAAAGGCGAAGCAAAGGCCTCACAGGGAAAGGGCACAACCTGAAAGTCGACGGCATTTGGGAATTCTAGAGAAAAAGAAGGATTACAAAGAACGAGCTGATAATTTTCATAGCAAAGAGAAACGAATCAAGATCTTACGTAAGAAAGCATTAGAAAAAAATCCGGATGAATTTTATCATAAAATGATCCATAAAAGGCTGACAGAGGGTGAATTATGGCTGGATAATAAAAGACCAGAAGACACAATGACAGAAGCACAAAAAAAGTTGATGGCATCGCAAGATTTAAACTATGTTTCAATGCGGCTTCAAATGGAAAAAAAGAAGATAGTAAAATTATCAGAATTCATAGATTTAGCAGATAAACCTCAAAATACGCGGACAATTTTTGTAGATTCGAAGGAGGAAGCCAAACGATTTGAACCTGATGAAAGTTTTGTTCCATTGTCGCTACAATCAGACCACCCAGAAGTAGTGAAACATAAAGAAGAGAAAGAAAAATTGAAAAGAGAATTAGAAAAAAGAAAAGAGAGAGCGATGGAGCTTCAAATTATCGTAGACAAAATGGAATTGCAAAAACATTTGGCAGATTCTTCAGTTAAAAGACAGAAAATTGAAAAAGAAACTAAAACATCAGCTGCAATTTATAAATGGCAAAGTGTAAGAAAGAGATAAAATTGTGTTTGATTCCCTTCTCGATTTCAATTCTCAACTCGGGGAATGAATGCATTGTCGGTTTCCTTATTTCCTACGAGGTGCAAGCATACGAGGGTGTCCAAACGTAAAACCAAAATTGGGAATCGTAATGGCTGTTGTACTGAGAGAAATACAAATGTATGAATCCTACTTTAAAATTGACCTGAAACTTTTTTGAAAGGTCAGGTAGATGCTTGCTTGCATGTATCGTCTTTTGAGGTGGAAAATTTATATCAAGATTTTATCTTCTGGGTAGTTGTAGTCTTTGGTACAGGCATTTGCAGGAAAAACGCTCAAAACATTCTTTCCTTTAAAACGCTATACTTATCAAAATATTTTGTGTTGGTTGATACTGATGCGTGTGGAATTATAAATTTTGAATGGTGGAATATTTTGTCAAACTTATCAGTGTGGGTTGGGAATGAGATGGAACCAAAATAACTCAGATGACTTGTAGGTTTTTAATGGCAATTTGGAATTGCACCAATAAGTGAGTAAGTGACCATGCATTGAATTAGGATTGTAAACTTAGTCTGCAGAATAAAATTCAGTTTAGATACTTAGAAAAATTGGGGTCTCTTGTAGTTTCGTACCTAACATACTTCTAGTAGGCGTATCATAACAATAATAACATGTGTCAATCCTTTCCCCCACCTGACTAGCCATCCAAAAATTACATCACAGTGACGTAATAGAGCAGACGAGCACCCGAAATCGAACAGCTAATTTTATCGTCGCAACGATCCCAGTGTGTGAGAGATCGATGATGTCAGTCCGTTTGTTATGGTCGGCGCCGATGCCATATCGGACGATCGTACGTATATTTGGCAAAAATTGTTATGCTACGCCCACTAGAAGTATGTTAGGTACGAAACTACATGAGACCCAAAAATTGTTGCTACTTTGTTCTGCAATCTCAGCGATTTTAGTTAGGAACGAAGTGGTATTGCATAACATGTACCAAAGTGGCACCCAAGATCATTCTATTTCTGAAATGTTGTCACGGACCTAGTAGTTGAAGTAATGTGAGGTTTCGACAGTATCCATATCTTTGCAAAATCCTTTCAACCACCCATTAAAGATAAATAATCCTTCCTAGAGTCCTTTACACTAGACCTGACCCATTAGTAGAGAATCTGCTAATGACGGACACCCACTGTACTAAAACTTCACAAAATTGTTGCTTCGTCCTCTGGAACACAACCCCAGGCGAACAATAATTTATTCCAAATATAACATGAATGACGAGGACGTGAGGACTTATTTTTGAAGCTCTATTCTAGACCAATCATAACATATGCGTAGAGTGAAACTGTCATAGGTAGATAATCAAGACAGACTCTGACACGCAAGTTTTTAGTTATATGCTGCGAGAACGTTTAATCAACTAGTTGCTTTTTGACTTTCTGTCAGGAATTGGTGAATTCTCTGCTCCAATTTCAATATAAACATGCCAGACTCACGAATCCCTAACCCCGTTTCTTGTACATGAAAATGAGTCTGTACTGCTACCCCACCATACCCACTAAATAACATCAACTACTTTGTACAATTTTCTGTGGTTATTGCACTAAGACAAACAAAAAAGAACAAGACCTACCACACATATATATATAAGTTGCTCAGAAGATTTTACACCGAATGGTGAAAGGAGAAGAATTACTAAGCAAGCGGTAATGCAGAGAGTATTGAACGCCTAGACAACCAGGAAAACATTTTCATTGCCTAATTATTCTTAAGAACTTTACAGACTTGCTGGAGATTCCATAACAAGCATATACGGGATATGGCACCTCATATAGTTTAGAGCAGGGCTTCCTAAACTTTTTTGAACTGCGAACCCCTATTCATGAATCTTACCCCATCTTATGCTGTATCGTTTTCTATGCGTAACTAATGAGAAAGGTTAATGTTTCATCAACACAAACGACATTAATGTGATGAATGAGGTTTCTTTTCACTGCACAATTTATTACTTCTCTGAGAAATTTGTGACAAGCGAACTCGTAGGTCCGCAAGTACCGCATGAATTTTTTCATCATATCTGCAAGAGCTGAAAATGCTGCGTCAAACATGTAGGTTGTTTCAAGGGGCATTAAATTTTAATTGCCTTTTCTGTAAGCAATGGATATTTGATTGAAATTAATCATTAAAGGTCGATAGACTCTTTTCATATGATTGAGACCTCGTGAAGTCATCACAAAACCCCGGTTTGGGAAACCCTGCCATAGAGATGCTTTTTGCAGAATGTGAACTACTTTCGATTTCATAATAACTAGTTAGAGGTGTTATTAAATTCCAGGTTGCTGGTGAATCACGATGTGCAACAGGCTTTCATGATATGGGTGTCATAACACAGTTTGGCTATCATATATCACAGCAAAATCTATTTCGATTCCTCATAAGACTAAAATCGAGAACAGAGATTATTTTAGTGCTAGCTTTTAATATAATTGCTCTTGCTAAGAGATGAAGAGAGTCTGGTGAGTGACAAGATTTTTTTAGCTCTAATTTTTTTTTAAATTAAAAAAATTGAAGCTATGCAATGTTAGTACAACACTGTAGCTGAAGACGGAAAAACATATAAGCAATTTATAAGTAAAATGACAGTGAAATATTTATATTTGTGGATTCATCTGGATAAATATAAGCAGATATGATTATCAGGCGCTTTGTAATACCTTTTTCAATCGGCATGTTAGTTCCAGAATGCTATTCAACATTATTATTATGAAGAAAAAAAAAATTTACCTTTATTAATTGGTTTCGAAGGTGGAAAAAGCTCAAAGGTATTCAAAAAATGTTGACAAATTTTTAAGATTCTAGTTTTGGGTTAACAAAACTGGGTACTCCCGTGTCCTGTAGTATTTGAACCTAGATGGCGGACACCGGAACGTAGTATGTGTACCAGGTTTGGATTAGGCCATCATTTCAGGAACAAATACTACGGGAGTCACTTGGCTAGTCCCCGAACTCGTAATAGAACTAAAATAAGGGAAATTTGAATAAAAATTATGGCCGAACCCTAACCTGGTACACACACTATGTTCCAGTGTCTTGGTTTACATACTACAGGACTCAGGAGTACCAAAAATTGTCCCTGAATATAATTGTAGCATATAACGGAAATACATGGCTTGCATGAACCTTCAGGGTAATGTGTATTATACCTACTGTGAGAATAGGATGATTTGTCTTTAAAGCATCAAGCTTTTTTGAATAGAAAATAGCAATATCTTGAGGAATTAAACCACTGTATGTGCAACAGCTGTGAGATATAAAAACGACCTAGAGTTACAAAAAAAGCTCTTGTGGCAATGAATTTTTACAACTTTTGCTAAATTTTTATACTTTAAAACAAACATTAATTAGAATAATTTCTGGCTTATCATAATAATGCAAAATAATAAGGTAAAAATACAAGTTTATACATTGAAAGATTTAGGATTTTAAAAAAAATGGGCGCGAAAAAAAAAAATTCATGTTAGTTGGAAATTGGGGCATCAACTCTAACTTGTGCCTTGATAATAAGAGTATCGTTTTTAATAAATCCCTCACTTTCGATCATTTTGAGTGGAAAAAAGTCAATATATCCATATCCTTTTTGGTTTCGTTCACTGACAGGACGTTGGAACGCCATTAAGTTGGTCTTTGCTTGTAATGTTTCTGATATATGAGAACGGTCTTGCGGTCGATCCATCTGCAAAAATAACCAATTCAGTTCAAAGGTTGCGGAAAAGATAGAAAATAGAGGGAAAAACTGGGCATTGAGAAGGTCACTCCATATGAATTTGAAGTGCATGTTACTGTCATTCACCAAATGGCACATCCACTATGTTTCGTTGTTGGCCATGACCCACTATCTGTGAATAATTAAGCTTAACCTAGTGGCATTACCGATATCTAAAATTTGGGACTGTACCATAGTCTAAAACAGTGGTTCCCAGGGTTGATTGCCCGCGGGCCAAAATTGGAAGCTGAAATATAATCGTGGGCCAGGAGGGGGAGTGTCCGCAATGGGTCGATATCGATACTGACACGTATAATTAAGACTCAAATTTATAAGATACCGAACTAAATTCCTATGAATATACATGTGATTAAACTGGTATCAACAACACAAAACAAAAAGTGTTAAACTATGTCACTTATTAAGGTTGGCCATATTAGATTTATATGTGAGCTGTAATTAGAAACCACTGGTCTAAAACAAGCTACCTAAATTTTGAAAAAATAGCATAATTTTGAATTTTTGTTTCATTACAAATTATATTTGAGATAGCCCTATTAGTAATATAACAGGTTAAGTTACAACTCGAATCTTTTTCGCTGCATCTCTTACTCAAGCTTTTGAAAAATATCATGCGTTTAATATATATCCTTCATATGATATTACCCCTTCTCGATTATCTGTCACGTACCACCGCATAATATATATTGTCTACTGCGATATCGTAAAATTATCAAACAGTACCTGATTCATAACAGTCAAAGTTATCACCCCTGAAAATGGCCATGATAAAAGATCATCATTATCTCCTTTCATTAAATGAACAAATAAAGATAGATGAGTTCCTTGTGCTGTCTCTACACCATCAAGATTAACTCGAACACAGATACGATATCCGTGAGGACTTGTGTAAAAACCAGGACTGTGGAAAAGATATCAATAAGTTAAAATTGAACAGTAATCTTATGTATATTGTAAGCGACTTTACTCTTCCAGATACATTTTGAAGCTATACTTTCCAATTTAAAATGAAGAATTTTTCAATTGAGCAGTGGTTAAAAAATCGCACAAATCAATACATTCTTATAAGGACTGATTCATGTTTGTTGTTCAGTTCAGTTCAGTAAAATTGATTTCCAAAAATTTGCAAACAATATGGAATAAAACTATTTGTAATTCACAGTAGTAGAAAATACAAGTACATGAATTAAAAAAATATTTTTTGCGAAGCAATTAGAATAGTAAATGAGTCTGTGTATAATATGATATCAATTTTCTATCACAAAAAAGAGATTGAAAAACGCCGTATTACAATCTACATCACTGTCAATAATACTGTTTGGAAAATACAAATTGTATGTCCAAAATTAATTTAATAAGATGCTTTTCAGGGATATTTACCTGTGTAATACAGTGACTTCTCCAGCTGCAGCTGCTGCTCTGAGTCTACTATAATCCTTAATTTTCCAATAATATAATCCATTGCATAATCTGAACAAATAAAATAATTCAAAATGACCAATGTACATATATATATAAATGTTCCCATTGAATAATATTAAACATTACAAGTTAAAGCAGACATAGGCAAACTACACCCACGGGTCAAATCTGCCCCGCTGGGTAATTCAATCTGATTCTGCCACAACCAAAGTAAAACCAAATTTTGATGTTTAAGCTAAAAACTAGCACGGGGAATTTGTTGAGATTGCGATTGAATTTAGTTTTGGCACGGGGCTTATTGTTTTCCACGTTTGCTCATGTTACACTGTAAATATTGTTCATAAAATGTATATTTTACGCCACACTTACATGACCGCCAGTCTAAATGGGCAAAATTTTTGGCCCGCGGTCCAAAAACCTTGCCCACCTCTGCCCATGTCAGGTCTAGCCTATAGCCACAATTCATATATATGTAGGAGAAAAAGAGCAATGACAGAAGGAAACAGGGCGCTCGCGAAGTATGTGCACCAAGATGGCACATAACCTGAACCCAAACCAGGTACACTTACTATGTTCAGGTTGTGCGCCTACTTCTAGACTCTGGAGGTCCGGAAACAGAACAATACAGTCGTCTACTCGTTACTGTATTGGACATATCGCCATGTAAAAACAAGCTGTGTCGAATTGGAAAGGAAAAAAAATATGGAAGCTCCCTACATATCTGTACCAACTTGTTCATAGTCTTGTTCAGAGAGGAATTGTTAGAGATATCATAGAGACATCCTCTTACCTCAATTCTTGCTGCTGTAATCTTTGCTCCATGTAAGTCATTTTTGAAGTTAGTTCTTTAACACTTGTTATTTGTGTGTCCATTTTTGCTTTTAATTCTCGGACATGATGGTCAAGACTATAGAATGATTGAAAAATTGAAGTCAAACTTGCTTGAAAATTTTAGCTGGAAGTATTTCTTGTTGCTATTTATTAATTTAGTTGGTTCGGTATACTATGGATATTTCCAAATAGGCATACGTTAGCAATGCAATATTTATAGAGATAGTCAGAGATGTAACAGTCTAAGTAAAAAATGTTTATTTAATACAGTGGTTCGTGGCCCACTTTTGTAGCACAAAAATTTTTGTGGCCCATTCACTTTCGCATACTAACTACAAGAAAAACAAAAAATTCTTTCCGCAAAGATAGGCACTTCACTTCCACTTTGATAATTAAAATGAGAATTGCCACTCACTAGCAAAAACAGCAACACCGTTCATTGCTCCAAGTTTACCTAATTTATGAATAACTCTAGCAATTATCAATAGGTTTGTGGCCAACTTGAATATGTTTCTGTGTCCCAGAAATGTGATTTTTAGTACCGATAACTTCTAATTATAGTATTGAACAATTTTGTCATTTTATATTAAAATCCCACCAACCTTATTATTTTTTTTTCTGCGTCTTTTCCAATCATTGATTCTTCTCGTAATAATGATTCGCTTCGAAGTGGCACATGAGAAGGCCCTGCTTCTGACACTTGAGAATATATGAATGAGAAATTAGAGAATATTAGAAAAGTTGCTTATGTTGAGGGTACGTCATATTTTGAGCATATGAAGAAACTTACTTTTGTATAATAGCATTATATAGGGATTTGCAAACATAGAAATAATAAAGTCAAAACATTGTCCACGTAATTTTCAAATTATCATTACTATTAACTATATTGCGCTTCAACAAAAAATATGAAAGATTACCTAGCGGGAAAAAGTACAAGACGAATATACACGAAATAACTAGGACAATTCTTTTGGATCTCGACTCTTATATGGGTGAATAAATAAATGTTCACGAGTTCTCATTTATTATGATGAGGCAGTAAAAACAAATTTTTATTTTATTCACATCATTCGAAAAAACCTAAATCTGTATCCAAGCAAAAACAATCTTCCAATTTTGAAATACTGACATAAAAACCTACCTGCAGAATGGTTATTCTCCATCATATGGTTGAATTCTTTTATTAAAGCTATTTCATCAACTTCATCTGCATCTCGGGGTGAACTCTGGTGAGGAACTCGAGATCCTGTGTGTAAAATATCACTTCACTTACAAATCCCACTTTTGTTTTATTTTGAAGGTGACGTAAAACTCGTCCAAAGGAAAACTCTTTCTCTCGCATATCAATCACGTGTTGACCACAGCGTTAAAAGTGAGAAACTTTTTCTCGAAATTTTTTGAAATTTCTCTCTTCTTACCGGCATATGGTCCGACCCATTTTCGCTACGTAATATGGGCGCGTTTTAGTGGAAAGCGACGAAAATAAGCTTTTTAGGGACACATTAATGATGTCTTTGGCATTTTTGGTTGGTGAAATATTAAAAAAATTATAGAGGGGTATCAAAATGACCCAGGAACACCAGGGGTCATTAGGTTAAGTAGATTGTCCGTGACAATAAGAGTATCTTACTCATAACTTGATAGTCAATCCACAGATAAAATGTAATATCAAGCAACGCTTTATCAAAGACTCCCATAATGAATTGGTTAGGACCCCATATATATAGCCATGCCTTGACACATATGGCCCGAACTTAAAAATTAGAAGTGATTGTTTTGGTTATAATATTTTGCAATCCAAAAATAAGATGGTATATATACCAGTGGTTTTAAACAAGCATTTGAATATTTCAGAATCCACATCCCACACTATTTATATACAATAGTTCTTACTTACGTAGGCCAGGCATATTGCCAGGTCCATTAGATACACCATCATCATCTCTTCCGTATATCTCAATATGGCTGTCATTTGTATCATATGGGTAATCCTAAAACATAAAAGATGCAACTATTAGCAGGTACCGGTAAGTAAAATTATCAAATAGAAGTGTATTTGAGAGAGAATTTGTTCAAAGCAAGGCCATAGACTTAGAAACAAAGGAGATGCGATGGCTGAAATGCCAAGATGCTAATTAATGCTCATCTATTACTGTGGTTTGCCATATTGGCCTATTTGATCAACTTGACTAACAAATCGCTAAGTATGTTAAGAGAAGGTTACCGGTACTGAACAAAGACAGCCGCATCTAACTGTTGACTTTTGCAAATTTATAAGAATGAATGCATCAGTACACAAGAATACAAATATTTTTGTAGAATTTCTTGTAGAATTGAGAACGATAAAGTAAAATTGAATCAGTACAGTTAGCTGTTGTAGAATTTTTCTCTGTCATTTAGTTTTGAATAATTTAAATTATTCCAAGGAATTGGACTCATTATTTTTTGCACTAGAGTCAAATTCGATCTTCAAAAAATGGTATTATATCTAATAAGCAGACTTTAAAAAAATATCGGTTTTATTCATTCGTTTATTTCTAAATATATCTTAAATTAACCATAAACAAAATACGAAAAACAATCAATTTTACATCTTTTTCCAGTCTTGTAATTCTTGAAGTTAATGATTTTAACATTGCTGACAATTCCGCACCATCCTTAGTTATGCTGGAAATATTGTTGAGTAAATATTGAAGATGAATTTGAGTCGATTTCTCCATGTGTTGCTGAATATCGTGACGAGGAAGCTGAAAAAATATAAAACAATGAGCGTAAGAATTAGAGTAGTTTTACAAAACAAAATTTCACACGACGTATTTATTGCCTTTCACTTCAAATCTGTTCAAACAGCTGCTGTTGGGTCAAGAGCTACTATAATTTGGGAAGACCGGGATCTTTTTAGTTCAACATGGCCAACCCAAGTTCTATTACGAGTTCAGGGACTGTCTGCGTTAGCTAAGTGAATATACCATAGTCCATAGGCTTCAGTCCCTTTACACAACTTGATGTAAAGTAGGCGATCAAAATTAGTTACCGCCATATTGGTACACACACTTCTGGAGCGGCCAATTTATTACACCCTATGTGAAGTAGGCATGGGATTTGAACCAGAGATTTTGAACATGCATTGCCCAGATAGTTGATATCAATCATTTAACCACTGTGCCATCTTCAACACAGCATTTATCAAAAATGAAATCAAATGGAAAATTGATGAATTTAACAGAAATAAAAGTAATTTTAATGTTTTTGGCTATTAAAATCGATTGGATTATGTCAATTTTCATTACAATTCTCTACTTGAATCAAGATTGTCCAATATAAATTGAATACACACACATTAGAAATCGGGTACGATGTATTAGGTATAAGGAGATATTGAGTATGGCCAGTGAAGGAGTTCACAAATAACATTAACATATGATTTTCACAGTGGGAGAACAACAGAGGGTAGGCCTATTAATTGTTAACTAGAGTGCTCGCTAGGTTAGGAGAATGGCAAATATTTGAAGTGATAAAATATTCAAATTGAGATACAAATTCATCTCTCTTGACATAACATCTTCTACATTGATAAAAGATTTGATTTCATCGCATCAAAACACCTACCTCTCTTTCGCAGCCAACTTTTGAAAAAACACATTTTATCGGTGCCTTCATACATTCTGTTGTGATATGATATTGTAACTGAAAAAGAAAACAGATATTCAGATAGATAGTGCCTTCAATAGGGTTTACTTGTATCAATTTTCATAACCACATATTTTCCATCAATAAACACAGTACAAAAATTAATTCGAAGAAATAGAATTATTGCTTCATTTCTATCACCAAAATAGCCTGTTGCTATGTCAAATTGATTAATACCTAGTTTTCTATGAAACCGGAAAACTAAGCATATCAAGTTGGTGCAAATGTGAGAAGTATTTTTAAACGAATACGAAGTAAACACTAAAAATATTTATACTAAATATGCTAAAACCTTCATATTGGTACACAAACTTCTGGAGCGCCAATAATGTGTTCAATCAATTTCTAAAAAGTTGAAAAAATGATATCTAGAAAATTAAAATATTATTCCATATTTGAAAATATAATTTTACAATGTTTTTAGAGTATTCATAATAGTAAATTTTGTTTTCACTTTTGATCACCCCCAAATTCGATATATTTGGAAACTGGAAAGAGACGATGTGCAGCAAATGTTCAGGTTTAGTGTATATCACCATAGGCACCATTTAAACACAGCCCAATCAAAAATTTCTTAAGAATGGGCAACAAAACGTTACATGAATAGCAGGATGTAGTGATAGACCAATAAGGCACAGGAAGTAAATTTCCTACAATTAACATGACACATCATAGGTTGCCTGATCTTGCATGAACTCATCAAGCTGATTACATTTAGTGTTGTCTTGGTTGATAGATTTAAAACATGTCTTTTAAGAATGTGGAATATATACGGTAAGTGTAAGAACTAATAGCAATAATAATTTCAAAACATAGTTTATGGTAGGCTGGCTGTGATGCCGATTAGTTAACAACTGACATCAAAGTAATATATGTTAGCGTTACAGGTTACATATCAAAAAGTTCATGTCCTGTTCCAGAAGCCAGTCTTTGCCTTCCTTTCATTCGAACTATAAAGAATATGGAAGACAAAACAGTCCTCCTAAACCGAGTATCTTTATACACATATGTCATTGCTTGCACGAAGTCTAGTTCAAAATAAAACCAAGATACCCTCCAAACTTTTTTTCATATTAATTTTGCAAAATATGAATAAAAAACGTATATTAGGTATATAGCACCACATGTAAAATACTTTGTAATTGATAATATCTTGTAATTCTTAATTCTGTTTTATAGAATCTCAAAAAAAAAAAAAAATTGCTAAATTTTCTTCGATGATAAAAACCTTAAAATAGTTACTCACACACCTTAGTATAATGTACAAGTATATAAAAATCAATACACCTCATAGTAACAAAAAATGAAAAATAAAATTACTGGTACGGTACTCCAATCAGAGCAAATCAGGCAAACAAGAACCTTAGTATAATATCAAGTTTAATTATTCAACACTTTTTAGCGATATTGACATTATCACAAGGTATAAGCTTTGGCAGAATGGCAGATATGGATTTTTGGATGAAACCAATAAGCCAGTCTGTGAACTAGCGAGAAACTGTTTAACTGAATAATATATGCTGCAAGCACAAGCTGAATCAATAAATTTTCAAAATGAGCCTGTCATTTTAGATACTAAGTTCTACATAAAATCAAATTGGCTTGCCCATGGCCACCACACTTCAAATCGTCGTAGAACATTCATGTACTAATCAAGAAGTTGAAATATGTGCGAAAACATACAAATAAATTGTAGAAAAACTACCATACATATTATGATGACTCCCAAAAAAGACACTTTCTACCCATCAAAAAACTATTATTAGTATGCATTTTTAAACAATATATATACATAAAAAGCTTGTTCACCTTTGACAGAGTACTGATAAAGTTTATTGGGAGGTCATGACTGTTTATATACCCATCTTAAAAAAAAATATTTTGTACTATGTATAAAATATGTATATAAAAATAAAAAAAGATTTCGATTTCCAATATTATCAAGAGTTACAAAAAGCTTGAATAATCTGCTTGACCTAAATGGAAATTTTGAATTTAGAAACTTCCTAAATAATTAGTACAGGAGTTGAGGTAAAAAAAACAAAGATGACTAGCAAGATAACATAACATTCCATAAGCCGAAGAATCAAGCAATGTGTCACCATCAATTATATGCATATAAATACAGATAAAGTATTTATATAATTTTCATTTCATAAACATGTTATGGCGTTATTATTGTTAACAAAAATAGACAATTTATCACAGATTTATCCAAACCCTCAATTTTCTATTTTCAAATAGGAGAAACCTTTTGATCGTTACAATAATAATAATATGGTTCTAAAAAGAAAAGCGTGCCTAGAATCATAACACGAATATTTTCAAAGTCAAAAACATAAAAATATTGATCAAGGTTTTGTCACTTAATTTGCATATGCGAGGATATAATCAAAACAGATACGGATAATCCCATGGATTGAAGGGCCAATTTGAAAATGGTAATATGTAAATGAGAAGACTACAGAAAAAATATTAATATCATATTATTAATATAATATATAATATTAATAATTTAATATTTTGTAGCATGATACAGACTTCCGTTTAAAACTTTTCTCCATCAGAATAAAACTTGTTACGCCCGTAAACTTGACTGAAAATGTTATATAAAACATGGGTGGCATAATGTATTAAAGATATTCAAATTCATTAATAAAGAATTTCTATAATAAAATGCAAATTTGGCCACCAGAGCGGGATTTGCAGGTATAGCCTGCTTAATTATGAATACAAATGTATAAATATATTTTTTCCACATTTTTTTGAGGACCGTAACATAATATCATATAAGCTATTTCAGCAACTTTAAACAATTGACGTACATAATTTAAAAAATTATTTCCACTACTAAGTTGATTTAATTTGTCAAATTTACAAAATGAAATTTGAAGTAGATCATGAACAATTCAAAGTGCAAAATGTTTAATTTCACAAAAATAGAGATAGACGTTTTATAAAAAAAAAAAAAAATTTAATTGAATTAGAGGAGCCTTGAGCCTTGATTTAAGATTTCATTTCTTGCAAAACCCCATAAGGAACCAAAGATCTCGGGAACATATAGAATATATATTCAAAAGTGGTTGTAAATAATATTAAAATTTTTTTTATTTGGGGAATAATTTAGAATATTTTCATTTAAAATTTCTCACTTTCAGTGTTTGACATCTAATAATGATGAGGCAGAGAATATATAAATAAACTTTATTTTACTTATGAATTAAATAATTTGAAATGCTTTTTGCTCAGCTATTCTACATCACACAATTATATTTTACTGTTTAACTGAGTTACATAAATTTTCATGTTGAATATTCCCTAATTAAGAACACATTTTAGAATATTGAATAATTAGATTTTGACCATCCCTACTTGGAACTGGGATTGTGATTTAAATTTATCTAAATAACTTAGGTAATCAACTCTGTGCTCAGAATGAGTGGGCAACAAATAATATGGAGAAAATGACGCAAGATCTAATATTCAAAAGCATGTGAATGTTATGACTAGGTGGTACTCAACAATGACTAATTATTGGCTTAATTTCATGACGCTCAATATAGAAGCTATTAATATGGCGGATGGCGGCATAACGTGGGGGCCAAATATAATCTGTATAGACAAACTATTAGGACACAAAACCATGATTTGCTATGCTTATATCATTATAGGATAATACATACCAGGGATGTTCAAAAGTGATCAAATATATTCAAGAATATAATTTTTTTTTTTGGTCACATATCACACTTTTATTCTGTAACGTTTCTCAGACAAGCAATTCACAACAGTAGGTGGAATAGTTGGGGATTATCATTTTGAGCAATTGAATGCTACTTATTACAAAAAGACATTTGATAATTTCTATATAAATAATAAATATATAATATATATAAAGGGTCAAACTATTGTTTATTTTGATACTTCTGTACTACCAAATTCAACTTCATTTAATAGAGTATATCTTCAATATTTTATACTTGAAAATATTATTTTATGGCATGTTTGGAATGCAGCTAGGTAAAGATACTGAAAATTGTAAGAGTCGATACAAGAACGTACACTGGCTCATCTCCCATACCTAAACATAACGAATAACAAGACAAAAGGCTATTGTTTACAATATGAGAAAATCATCATATCAGCTTTCCTCTCCCCCATACAAATATATAAAATCTTATCTTATTTATATTCAATACAAAATTTATGATCATTGGAAACAGAATTTCACATTTCTAAAAAAAGGGAAAAGATCTTTTTTTTTCAAAATGCAAATATTTTAGTGAACATCCATAAATGCAATAGGTCTCTACAATTTATAATTCCATAAGTGAGATTGTGTCTCATTAATTTACTTATGTAATTTTTGCAGTGTTTATATTGCAAGATTAAATTACTGCTGCAATGAATATGGTATATGTTGATGTATTACTATATGCAAATTACTCACACAATATGAATATGCAAATTAGCGGTATGCAGTGACTGTAAACAGTTCAATGTTTCGTGTATCAATAGGCTGTCTATATCAAATATTGTTGAATGTGACATTGTGTATGAAAGGAAAAAAAAAAACATAAAAGGATGCAAAGCACACATTAATATAAATATAAAAAACAATCTATAATTCTTTGGCAAATTGTTGATGATTTTGAATCTGTTATATTAACGAGGAAAAACATGGCTCAAAAGTCGTAGGTGTACCATACATATGGTGCTTAATTTTAATGTATGTGACAAAAATTTTACGTTCAAATCTTCGTTGATGCGTAGCATTTCGATTAATAAAATGTCATATTTGTATTCATTCACTTTATGAATATCGTTTTGCGTTCCTGTGAGATGAAGCCAGGGTAACTGGCAAATGTACCAACATTATTTTCTAATAGAATTACATAAAAACGAAAATTTCAAGAACCCCTTAAAACTTGTTTGACCGAAACAATACGGTGATTATTGTTCAAATATTTTCTTCAAAAAAACTTATCAACCACAATTCAATTAACTTAGGAGAGTGTCTGATTTATCTCCACAAACCAGTCATGCAGAGCAAAGACTGGCAAGAAAATCAAGCCGAAGAAATGATTCAAACTTGGGAAAGTGAAGTGAAATATTGACTTATGCATTATGCAAGCTATGGACAAAAATATAGGTTTCATATTTTTGAAAGAAAATACCCCGAAATATTCTTAGAATCAAAAATAAATTTTCACATTGAATATATAATACCTAACTTCAAACAAATAATGGACATTAAAACAATTTATAATTAAGACTAATACATTGATAATATGTTGCAGACGTCCCAACCTGAATTCAATCTTCTTGGGAAATAACTACGAAACTACTTTAATGTATAAAGATTTTTTTACCTTGTATTGTTTGAGCTCGTGTGAACAGTGAGGACAATTAACAGGCAGATGTTGTTTACAGTCTTCTCTGTGAGCCTGGTAAATGAAGTAAAGAATAGCTTTACAAATAAAATAAAAATTTACACTAAAAAGGCAAGGGTCACAGCTATTCAAAAAAGCGATAATGCTACTGTTTTTTTGTAGTATTTGGCATTGTAGCTAAGAGCAAATGAATTCCTTGCAAACTTGTTGGCATATGTAATAACTTCGTTACAAATATTTATTTTTATTAATAATATTCATAAACAAATTATCCACAAGGCCTAAGCGTTAAGCGTTGTTAGAACACTCATAAATATAGACAATATAATCATGATATCGAATGTTAATCCTATTCTGTATTAAGTTACAGAAACTTAAGTACCAGTTTATGAAGGATAAGTATATAACTCATTAGTATAGATTTTATAAAATTCACTAGTCATGAACACATTCAAGTCATAAACACCGTTAGTAAAATCATTGTAACATAAATCACAGGTAACCTCAACATTTATGGCAGCTCATATATTTATATCTTTAAAAATCAGACTGGAAATTCCATTTTGAAGTATGACAAAAATAATATGAATCACATACACCAATATATATAATCAATCAAATATGCCGTACATTAATATATTACCTATTGATTTCCAATCACTGTATTCTCAGTTCGACAATACCATCAATATTTTCTAGGTGATTGCTTGGAATTTTTTTTAGCAGCATTGCATATTATTTCATAATTTCAGCCACATTTGAATATTAAATATTTCATTCAAGATTTTTTAGCCAAAATATTTTAAAAATTTATGGCCAATTTAATTAATAACGCCACTTGTCGGCTCCAATTAACTTTTATTCATATTTTAACTTCTATAACTTTAGATTTTGGAATGTACTGAATATATCTCACCTCTTCAGTGGCCAATGGGTAAGTCTGTCCGCAAACATCACAAGTAACTGGCCTTCTTGGACACTGGTTCTCTTCATGATAAATCGCATCTTGCTTTAATAAACTTAACCCGCAATTATTTTTGCATGGATATTTTCGCATCACACAAATTTCTTTATGTTGAGTCTAAAAGTGAATTTTTATTTATTAACTTGAAAAAATATTCAGTAAGTTTTCAAACCTTTTAAAATTCTTACCTCCATTAAACGAAGTTCGCAAACATGGTCACATCCCTTATTGTTACATTTTGCCCTCAAATCTAAAACTTCTCTCAGTGCACATTTGTCTTGGAATAATTGACTTGGCAGCAGAGGGACATTGTCAACTGGGCACTTTTTAAAACGCCTGAAAAAGTAATTTTTGAAAATAAAAAACTGTAAAATGAAACATAGAGAGAGAGAGAAAGATTTATTATCACAGAAACATTATTACAAACATAATCCAATAAAGAGAATATTTCAACAGTAATTGATTATTGTTTTGGGGTCGGTGAGCTGGAATGATAAAGGTCATCTAGGCCACGGGTGCACAACACGGGGCACGCGTGCCAAATTTGGCACACCAAACGCTCAAACGTGGCACGCGAACGGTTTTGTAAAAATAAAAAATATTTATGATATACATTAAAATATCACGTTTATATCAAAATCAGCAGTTTTTCAGGACATTAAATTGTTTCAATAAATAGATATCCGTTATTATGTATTATTATTGAAATTTGTTGTTTGTTTTTTGTTTTGCATGAGTTAATTTACAATACCACAACTGTGCGTGGCACGCCGCAAGATTATTTTGAAAAATTTGGCACGTATCCTCATTTGAGTTGTGCACCCCTGATCTAGACTACCGAACCTTGTGTACATGCTGTATTAAGATCATCATAGCATAATCCAATGATAAGCACAGCATGCCAAAGTTACAGAATTTGATACAATTGGGAGATCTAAAATTTGATACAGTTCGAGTCCTCAACATTTTTTGACTACATGACTAATGAAATATGTGCTAAATTAGGTTACCAATTTCAACTAACCAAAACTATCTATAAAGTGACTTGTCTACATACTACGACAGTAGAAATCACCCTATAAAATCTGGCGCTCCAGAAGTATGTGTACCCATATGGAGGTAAATAATTTTGTTCGCCTACTTTACATCAAGTTGTGTAGAGGGACGAGAGCTTATGGGCAGGGGGTTTATTCAGTTGGCTAATACAAACAGTCCCAAAACTCGTAATAGAACCAAAATAAGGAAAATCAGAATAAAATTATGGCCTAACCATAACCTGGTTCACAAACTACAAGAGTACCCAAAATCTAACATTTAAAGCAATTTATCAACCAACTTGCTATCAAATCAAAATATACTGGAGTAATAATTGGCTTGTCAATATAATGCACAGATGAGCAAGGCACACATTAACACTCAGAGTTTGCAAAGAAAAATATGGAGACATTTGTACGTTGTGAGCAATGTTGCAATAATGCCTCTGATTAATGTTATCAAAGAAAGTTCAGCAGATAATATTTCAAATTTAAAAATGTTAATTGTTTAAAATGATTATACAAGTTAACTTAGATGAAATTTTAAAATAATATTTCAGATTCAAGCAGCGTTAATAATTTAAATACAAAATGAATGACTGCTAGTCAAAAAAAAAATTTGTGTGGATATCATGAGATAGTGGTTTCACTGTTTCTATTATATCACATTACAGATTTGATAACATATTGACTGAAGTGACTCATAAAACCTAGTTTCAATGTTGCATTGTAAACATGAAGATATACAAGCAGCTTCAAATCATCACAATTGACCATGCATTTAAATGACACTGATAATAATGCAACAAGGCAGTTTCTATACTACTTCAAAATTTGCAAATTTTACATATTTGCATATATATAGGGTTTACACCCATAATTAAAAAATTTCCAGTCATGAAAACAAGCCTATTAGTTCGATAACGGTTTTATAGTTGGCTCTATACAAAATATTGGGTGTATACACCAAGGTCACTAACTCACCCAGAGTGCAATAAATTGGGTAGATCCTCATTTTGCAGGGTATGGTCGCACAAAGCCTTGTTCAGAGACGATAGAGCATAGAAACGTTTGAAGATTATTGTTCTATTTTATTTACTCCATTCTTAGGTCTAAATTTCCTCAAAAATTATTATATCCTTATTTATATATAGTATACAACAAATAAGTACACAAATGACATGAACAAGATGAAAACTCACGCTACTGATCGTAGTATACAAGTATGACAGAATCTGTGTCCACACTCTGTTTGTACAGGCTCTCGTAGAGCATTGAAACAAATTGGACACATGTGTTTGTTGTCGAGACTTGGAACAAATTCATAGTCATAACCTGAAAATAAAATGGAGAGTTCAAATAGTATAACGGTTGTATAGGACTTGATGGCGAAGCTATAAAAACTAATCAATCCTATTTAAAAAAAATTAAATATAAAATACAAATAGCACAAAAAATCATGATCCAAGACTGTCTTGTGAAGAAGCGGCTTGCACTCACTGTTATTGAGTGATGTCTTTCAAAGGGAGGGCTATACTTGGAAGTAGAGAACTGTGTCGGACTGTCGTATGATATATGAAACTGAGGGATAGAAAACATTAGATAGTAGTGGAAAACAACATGCCTTTTATACAAAATCCAGGTAACAAAAGAGAAAACACTCATTCATCACCCTTGGATCGTTTCAACATGACGAATGGATTTCCTAAAATTTACGGATGATGTAGCTTAAAAAAGTATATCAAAACTTCAAAATATTTAGTAAAAATTACCTCCAAGTTCCAATAATTCCGAATTGTCATTCATGGTTGAAACTGAACCTTTTACACTGTGATCAACAGCACCATTTGTACTTGACAACATGTTTACCAATTCTATATTTTTTAAGAGATAAAGTGAATTTGAATAAAAAAAATAGAGTAAAATTACTTTAAATTTTTAGCAGTTAGCCTATTATTGTATTCGTAAATACACTATTGATAAGAGAGAGAGATAGTAGTACAAGTAAATAAGTAAGATTTATTCATCATCATGTGAAAATTAAGAACACATTACTGCATTAACAAACAGAAAAAAAAAAATTATTCACAGGTCAGCAGGTGAAAGGAACCACAGAAAACCTCAAGATGTTATCTAGCTGTGGCACGCTATGAAGTATTACTGTTCCGCTGTTATTAATAGATGAACAATAAACAGTATGAACATTAAAAAACTACATTAGGCAATTAAGATTTGGGCGAAATATATATTTTTTTCCTTCACTAGATCTAAATTATTGTCAACCCAAACCCAGACCTAATTGTCAACCAAAATTCAAACAGACATCAATACAGCAATACGAAAAAAATATAACAGAAATAAAATTCACTCCTTGCCTGTCATACTTTAAAATGCGTTAAGCTATAGACTACAGCTACAACTTAATCATAGACTAAAATCTGGAAATTTCGAAAAAAATCTGATTCTACTACGTATACCGGTATACATCTACTACAAAACGAGAGAAAAATTTTATTTCACAAAACAACATTAGGATAGGATAGGATAGGATTTGCATATTTATCCCGGGGGGAGAGGAAAGCCGATAAGACGGCTTATCCATATGGCGAACCACGGCCTCTCGTCCGGTTACCATTCCAAGTCGGGTACCGGTATGGGATTAGTTATATTGTTTGTTTTCGGAAGCATGGACTTGGTGGTGGAGGAAGCCGTAACCGACCAGCGGTTACGTGAACCACCCAACGACGGCGAGGAGTCCAGCAATCCTCTCGCACATAACCATCCCTGCATGGGATTCGAACCTGCGAACCCACGCAGCGTAATTAGAGGTGCGGTGGCGAGCGTATTCCTAACGCTTAGCCCGTTGAGCCACACCGCCGCGCCAACAACAAATAAATAAAACAAACGCCACATTAACAAATAAATACCGGTATATACTTATACAGCATTATCCACGCCAAATGGCTTTTATCAATCAAAATAGGGAAATTTATGAGAAAATTTATACACGTGAATCATGCTTACGAAAATCGTCTCCCAAAATACCCCAAGAAAATGATTATTTATGCTTCAATTCTGCGAAAACGATTAGCGGCGACCTCGGTTGCGCTGATGACGAAACAGCACGAAAGGCACGCACAAACAGTGCTACATGGCGACCAAATAATCGGTTATACACAATATTTAATTTATAATGTTATTTTTATGATATGAGTATCATTTGAAATGTGTAAAAATCATTAAATTTGCGTAGGAAACAAAAACTTCTCAACGTCGTCATGAGCTGTGTAATACCCTTTGACCTTGACAGAAATAACCCTTGCCACATTTTTGAATATAGGAAGCGAAGTTATTTTAAAATTTATTTTCTATAATTTAACTTTATTCAAGAACTATTTATTTCAATCTTATTTACTGCGCAAAAATGTATATTTCTGTGTTGTGAATTTATATTGAGTAAAAAAGATATATGTTTTCTCCTGACAGGTCTAAATAAAATTTGGCATGACTTGCTCGATTTTTGGGAACTTTTGTAGTTGCCATAACGTTGCCTGCGTTTTCTGAAGATTCTTCTAGAATTTCTTGTTGGTTTTGAGGAAAATTGGTAGGCATTGTAGGGAACTACTGTTCAATTTAATGGCGGAAGCAGCAGTGGATCCAGCTCGTTTTTTCTGCCATGGATGTAGCAGGCATTTTCGTCAAAGTTCTACAGTAAGTTTCATTTTGTTTGACCATATTTCATTATTTTTGACAATGGCTGTATTAGAACTAAAGTCTGAAAAGTACTTTGTTCACACACTGAGTTTTGATTATCCTTTGGTTAACAGCAGGCCTTGCCTTCTATCAATTTTATAACCATCTCGATTAGTACCGGTATGGCAGCACATTCTACATTACATTATTGAGCTGTCCATGGGCTTTCCTTTTTCCCAAGCAGTACGACACAGTTCTCCGATCCCAAGAATAGCCCACGCATTAGAAGACATCAAATATAACAGTGGGGGTAAACGCGCCTTCAAAAGACAGCTTGGGCCCCCCCCCCCCCAGGATAAATATGTAAATCCTATCCTAAAGCGAAAAACGTCACCATTGGATTCTTCGGGGGAAAATAGTTCGATTTGCTGAAGTAAATCAAATTTGGAATCTGAGAATCTGTGCCCTACTGCCAAGACTGCAAGATAGCAATATGAATATGAGGATTTTATGCTATAGAGTTTATCTGTGTTCAAAGTCGATTATGTTTTATTTTTGCTAGGATTTAATCTGTCCTCACTGCAGTTCTGGATTTGTTGAAGAAATTGAGCATGATACAAGGTTCGAATCAATTGTGTAATCTTGTTAGAATAAGTCTTTTTGCGATTAAAATGGTTTATCTCAGAGTGGTTTGACCACTTTGCGATAACAACGATTCTGCGGGCATTAACTTAACAATAGATTTTTGTAAGTTTGATAACACATTCCAACACTCAATGTCTACTTCTCTATGTAAAATTGACAAAATTTGCTAAAAAAAATTACGAAGTTATAGCATAAAAGTTGACGGCAGAAAATGACAAATAAGAAATACCTTTAAAAAATTAATGAATATCTCTATTGATAATGCAGTAATGAGCTGAAACTTGGCATGTAGTTGCATATCTTTAAACTATTTTTCTAAGATTTGTCTCTCTGCTTTCAATTGTGGGATTGTTTTGAATAATCACAATTTTATCATTGGTCAGATGTTTCTTATAGAAAATTTTGCGCCCACTATAATTATACCCCAAAAATCACGATTTTGAAATGCTTAGTTATGTCATTATGCCAATTTAAGTTATGATGAATCTAGTCATAATATATCAACCACGATAAAGGATAAAATTAGGTGTGTGAAATTTTAATAAATGTTTTAATTTTCTTGATTCAGCCTTGATACATCTTCTCAATCGGATGTAGATGTCGAAGAATATCACAATGGTGCAGCTTCAGCACTGGAAGTTAGCTAATTTTGATTATATTTGATTACGATACTATGAGATGCACAAGACCAACTATTGAATCAATTCAATACACGCGATTAACAACAAATGATAGATAGTCACAATTGAATGCTTGGCGCATATGAGAAGTTAAAATATTTGCATTATCATGATTTAATGACTCATTAAAACGAGAGGCGGATAACTTGCTTACACAGACGACTCGTCATGATAGATAGGCAGATAATTGTCTCAGTGTTGTTTTATTACCTCATTTCCAGTGTATAGATGTATAATTACCATCTTATTATTGTTTCAATAGCAAGGGAAACAATCGCCCAGTCCAAGTTTTGATTGATTGGTAATATATTATAATGTTATTTAATCTTTGAAGAACTTGAATAAAAATGAGGAACTTTTACTTTCCCACTTGCGTATATTCAATTTGTTACATCCTCTTGTTAGTTGGTGGGTGTAGTCCTAAGAAAAAATATTAGTTTATTGCTTTTTTTAGTTGTTATAATTTCATTACTGTAATTGTTCCAGCTATTGGGTGGAAGTTTCATGAACTATGTACCAGGAATTGCAAACCCGAATGGAGAATTCTCTGGCAACGACGGTCCCTTTGGTACGTTTTTTCTTAATTTTGGGAACATTTCTAATAGATTTGAACCATAATATCAAAGAGGAATATTGATTGGAATTTTTGCTCTTATTGTCAATGGCTTTTACATTTATTATCATGTTTAAAAAGTCTTACAGTTAAGCTAAAAGATATTAAAACAACTGATTGGCAAAATTGTTTTGTTATCATCATTGGTTTTTGTATACCTTAATTAATCATTGTATTTCCAGATCCGATATCTTTTTTCTCGTTTAGTATGCGACCGTCTATGGATTCAAATACAGGTCAGTTTAATTAAATGCTTTTCAGTAGAGAATCAACAATCTTATTCTTTCAGAAATAGTATTGTCGAGTGTGTGTATGTATGTGTGAACCTATAGAAATTGTTTGTTTTGGGACAGGGATTTTGTCATATGAAAATGTGTATGTGCTCAACAACCTTCTTCTTTCAGAAATAGTATTGTCGAGTGTATGTGCGTGTGTGTGTGAACTTTCTTATAGGAATTGTCTGTTTTCGAACAGGGATTTTGTCATGAAAATGTGTATGTGCTATCTTGAGTTCGTAAGTTAAAGGAACAACAATCTTCTTCATTTCAAAGTACTCTTGTCGACTGAGAGTGCATGACTTCGTGCTGAGCAAATTTATTACGAGAAAAATAAAGAAATGTTGATTGTAAAGAGAGATTTTGTTGTATGAAAATATACTTGTGAGTGGAAGTGAGAATACATATGCTATCTTGGAAGTCGAAATATCATGTTTAAAAAAAAAGTGATTGGTAACAATTGCCTAAAGATATGATGAAATTTATTATCAGTCTATATACTACATTACTATATGGGTTAAACTTTCATCAATTAGTAATTAATGTTGTTCTGTTATGTTGGCAGCTTCAGGTTCTTCACAGCAAAGAACTAATGAATCAAACACATCTGGATCGGAACAACCTGATAGAGGTAGACCAACAGTGGCCGGATATAATCTGAGGATAAGGTGAGATGGCAGTCAACAAAAATTTTAAATAACCCAGAACACCTCAGAATGGTTAAAGCATGGACTTCATGGTGGAGGAAGTCGTAACTGGCCAGAGGTTTACGGGAACCATCCTACAGCGGCGAAGAGTCCAGCAATCCTCTCGCACATAACCATCCCGCATGAGATTCGAGTCTGCGGACCCACGCAGGGTAATTAGAGATGCGACGGCGAGCGTATTCCTATCGCTTAGCACGATGCGCCACATCGCCGAATATACAGTGCCTATTGCCTAGAATGCCCATCATATTTTCTTGTGAAACTGTAGGTAACATGTAAATTCTGAATCAGGCATTCGTGTAATGACAAATTATTTCATGTAATTTTATTTTTCCCTTAGAGCTGTAAATCCTCAAAATAATCAAGGAGGACCACCAGACCCAATGTCACAAACTGCTTTGGTGGAAGGGTAAGTGACTAATATAGTTCTCTGAAATTTTGATTTGCAACCGTGAATTCATCCTCCTATATGTGAGCTAATGATGATTGTTTCAACTTATAAATTAGTTAGTTTCAAAACCTTACTTAAAGTTTATAGAGCTCCATTTCAGGTTTTTTTTTCATATCCATTTGTTGATTTACTGTCGACTATCGTTGAAATCTTGTTATAAACTTTCTAAACAAAATTTCGTTACTTTGCGTATTTGACTTTCAACAAACTATGCAACAAATTTTGGTGTGAATTTATCTTTCAATGAAACTTTTCAGACTTCTCCAACAACTCATCAGCGGTGCAGATCCCAGTGCTATGTTCGGAGGAGGAGGAGGCACTGCAATATTTAACACAGGTGGAACAGGAGGCCCTCTGTAAGTTGGATAATAATAAATCAAGATTTATTAATAATACTGGCACTAGGGGTAAATAAAAATTTGAATGGAAATTGGAAATCGTAATATTTCTTACACATGCAACTATTTGACTCGGTGGCTACTTTGACTATATATACATCTGAAACAAATAACTTGCTAACTAATACCATACCCGACATGGACTGATAAAACGTACAAGATGCTGTTGTTTGTCATGTGATTAAGCCATCTTATCGGTTTTACTCTCCCGCAAGATAAATATGTAAATCCTATTCTTTCAGTTATTATGTTTGTATTTTTCGAAAGTAAAATAGAAAATAGACACTTTCAATTTTACTTGAAAGGTGTCTTGTGGTAATAAGATAGTACTGTTATACAAAGTGATATAGGCGAACTTCTACCGTGTATGAAGGTTTCAGTTTTTATTTGGCATCCAGGTTTTTTTTTCAAGTTGTTAATTTTCACAATAATAATTTGTATATCAAAATGCTGTGGAATGAAATAAATACACTGTGTAACGTTTGAGTGTCTGACAGTGACAACCCAATTTGTCTTTTCCAGGGGCATGTTTTCACTGCATGGCAACCCAGCAGATTATGCTTGGGGATCGAATGGACTGGATGATGTTATAACACGAGTAAGAACTTATTTTCCCCTATGTTGTAGAGTAATGGTGTAGCCTTGGAAGGCCGACCTTATCACAAATTCCCTGTATCTTTGTGGATATTGTATAGATTGATAAGCGTCCTGACCCACTAGGTTCAAGTCTATGATTTCCTAGTACTAGTCCTATAATATGTTTTCTCAAAATCAATTATATGTCCTAATAGATGAAATAGGATATCTATTTATCCAATGATAAGTTTCACTTTAACCCACTAGGTTCAAGTTTATGATTCCCTAGTACTAGTCCTATAATATGTTTTCTCAAAATCAATTGTATGTCCTAATAGATGAAATAGGATATCTATTAATCCTATTTCAAGTTTCATAATAGCTTAAAAAGCAGAAGTATAATGAAATCCTCAAGGTGTCAGCAACGAGTCAGTATTTTTGTTCATGTTTACCACATTCCTGCAGTTGTAACCAAGGAGTGGCGTGATCAGCACAATGTAATCCTTATCTTGAATAGAAGGTCTTTCAAAAGGTTAATTGGAATGCTAAATAGCATGACTAGTTGCAAGCTTGTTGTTGGAAAGCGTGAGTCGTACAAATGAAGTCGAAATATATGTACAGTGAAGAAACGAGTTTTTATTTCTGAGTCAACAGAATTTTATGCTATTACATTAATTAGGACACAAATAGCAAAAATCAACAATTATAGTTTATTTTTCATCACATATATTTATTTTGTATAGTTCGTCCATCATAAGATGTTACTTAATTTATTGATCTCAGTGGAGCGGATATTGTACTTATGAGGAGTGTTCGATACAAGTCAATCAATTTTTTTGAAATTTTTCGCCACAGAGCGAAACAATATAGAAACAATATAACAGCGACAAAATGACAGACAGAATGCAGAGTTACCTGGAAGGCAAGCGTAACACAAGATAAAGTTAATAACGTGCAAATACATGTCCATCCGCCAAAATAGTGAACACTCACTGTAAAGTGAACACACACTATACGATATCAGGCAATGACTTTTAGATCAATTTGAGATGATAAAACTGAACAAAATAACAACAGGAAACAAGAGTATTTTGATAATGAATGGACATTTATATTATGGTAAAATGGCAAATCGCTATAGATCATGTGATGTCGCATTGTCAACCTCCTTTAGTACTGCAGCCTTGCTGCTATGGTGGAATTAAAGGTTACACTAATGCAGAGTTCGGTAAACTGCGGCCCGAGTAATGTTTTTTCTTTTCTGCCTATCAACGACCTCACTTTTAATGCATATAGCAAAAAATGTTAAAAAAAAGAATAGTTTGGTTGATTTTGATTTTTAAAATTTGGCAGCAAAATATCTGGGAAACAATAATAAGTTTGCGACAAGAGTCGTACATTCCAAAGTACCTAGATCGAACAAAATATTTCTTTCATGACTCGTGAGCATTTCGAAACCTGTTTGTTGGATATACCAAGTCAGTATAAGAGTTACTACGTGGTTTAATGTTAAACGTCATTACAAAACGTGTCATTGCAAATACGAAATTCACCTCCAGACCCTGGGCTGCGCCAACTGCTCATCTGTATGACAATGTAAAACGTGTAATTTGCGTGTTCGGAAGCACATATTGCTGTGAGCAGCTTTTTTAAAACGAATTACTTACTTCGTACTCGCTCTTTTGTGACGTACTGCATGACAACTAAGTTGTTGCTAGTTGATTTTAACGCTTTGACCAACACACAGAAACAACATCATCGACGATGAGTATATAAAAACAATGAATTGTGTTTGGTAATAATTAAGAAACAGCCACATTCAAGTCTCATTGTGGCAGGCTCTTACCACAGGAATACGAGTCGAGAGTTAGCCATAATTTAGTGTTGATGTTGCGATTGTTCGTAGGCGGAAATCAATGCAGCCGTTCGCGCTACCGGAAATGTGTATTCTTGCCCGCCAACACATAAAGTTTGCAGACCACGGCACTAATATACCAAATGTTGAATTAAACAACAGTAATTAGGGATTAAAAGGCAATAAATAATCATTGCACAACATGGCAAAAATGATGATAGGAATGAACGAAGGTTAGTCTTTTTTAATCAGCAGTCAATGCACATATCGCAACGTTGATGTTCGCGCTCCATTTTTATGTATTTTAGAAGTTTCATCACTCTAGCAACTTGTCGTAGACTTGATTCGAGATCAATTATTTCATTGTGTGCTCCATTTTTATAAGAAATTGTCATAAATGAATTCAGTATAAAAGCTTTTTCTTGTATTATTGATATTTTATGTGAGTCGCATGTTTCCGGGCGACATTACTTATAGATATAAGACTGATTAAAGCGTCTAGTCTAGAACATTTAACCATAGTGTTAGTGTTACATCATGGTCATATGTATACAAATAGCTGAAGCTATTAATGTGGTTTCCTAACGAACTTTTGTTTTGTTAATAACTTCTCAGTGTTGGCAAAATATGGCAGATATCAGAAAGTATTACAAGCCAGCAAAATTTACACTTCTTGATGATCTAATTTACGTTTTTTGTAGAGAATTGAAAATTGGTCGTTGTGAACGAAGTTATCATCTTTGAGATTTTCTCAGGGTTAATATATTATCCTCCGGTAAAATGTGTTGTAAAACGGTAAAATGTGTTGGGGAACAACGTTTCCTCTAGGCTGGCCGACAATCCCCGCGCAGTACTTTGGTTCTGCCACGCACTGCATAAGTATTAAAATGTCGTGTTCTTTTCTATTTTTTCTAATTTTCCGCGCAGATCTTTTTTTGGAGCTTACATGGCCTTCTATTCCGCGCAACTAAGCAAGCTCTTAGAGGGAACGTTGTTGGGGAATAATAACCGTTTCGCGTCTTTAAGTAGATTTCTCCTGTGCGGGGGAAATGCGGTAAGAAAGTTTAGTTTTTGGTCTCGTTACAGCTAATACGGGTTTTATCACTAAAATTATAAACTACTTTTGTGGTGACATTCGCTTATTTTCGTTGCCAGCGTTCTCGAGGGCAAACTTTTTTGGGTGACTTCAAATGATATCGAGTTATGCAACATGTCTATCTACGCACGTTATCTCGGTTATGAACCCACAGTAACATAGGCGACCTAGGTCAAATGAGATCTAAGTTCAGATCTGATGTTTGTGTGTGACTGGAAAGCGTCATCGTCGTCGATTTTAGAGTTCGCCTAGTCTAGTTTTTAATATTCATTTCCGCGGAATACCTATCGTAACGTTCTATATCACCGTTCGTTCGAGATTAAATTGAGAAAAATATTGTATAAGGTTATAAAACAATTAATTAGGCGAAAAAATGTTTCAAAGCCCCACGAAATAGGCTGTATTGTGTATAAATGTAAATATGTATATAATTTTATAATTTATTTTCATTGTTTGACATTATCGGAAGACGATCTCAGCGGCTTTATGAAGATCTATATATTGTTGCGTCATATGGCGATAAATTTTTCGGTACAAAATTTTTCACGCCAATCTGACATTCAGAAAATCTTGCGGCTCGATACTGCAAGTTCAAAGACAGGGCAGTGCTCAATTATCGGAATGACAACCGTCTGATTTTAGAATTTTCATGCGCACCAGCAAGCTTAATAAAATCAGTCCGTGGAATGGATATTGATTTATTCTTCTTTGTGTGTAAATTTTCTTTTATTTTTGTAATTTATCGACGTTGGCTATTATCCAGCTGTATGTATTATTGGACCGATGCGTTCTTGTGCGCAAAGTTGTGAAAATTTCTTGCAAAAGCTACATGCAGAATTGAGATTTGATATAAACTTTATTTATTTAATATTTAAATTATGAATTGTTATTAAACCAGTATCAATTTTTTTTTCATATGTGGTTCAACGATGTCAGTCCCCATTAAAATTCGACGCTGTCTTAGCGAATGGGACTATGTAGTATTTCTCAAGGCGCCCCCTGCAAAAATAACTTTTATAACATAACTGACATTCTTGCTTATATATCCATTATTGTCGTTTAAAGTTGAATTAGGTCAAGATTCACAGAGCCACAAGTTTAATCTAGTATTCAAATTCTGTATTATTTTCTGTTTTAATAATATTAATTAATAATATTTGCGCTGTGAACAAATAGCAAGTTGTTATTGTATATGAAGGATATTATGTTTCATAAAAAGACCGCAAATGTCATTTACCGTTCTTACTGAACCTTTCAAACTGAAAAGAATTTAATATGTGGTTTTAGTTTATCCTCACAAAATCGCACTAAAATCGTAAAAACGAATTTCGCCGAAATCGACACCATCTTTCTCGGCGGCCACGCGGGCAAAGTAAACACAAGCGAGGTCGTGGCCCCTCGAAATCTCTCTCTCTTCTACCTCGAATTACGAGTGAACTATTCACCTTCGAAAACGACCGATAACTGAGAGAATTTTCCTCGCGATCTGTTTTGATAACGTATTTCGACAAAAAGTATACGATTCTTGATCGCATTCTAACCTATATTAGACGGTCGTGAAATTTAAGCCAAAACCACTTCGACGGATTCAACGTGTCATCGTCTAGTGTGGTTTTGCATTGAGATTTATTTTAGATAAAACCGACCAAATCACAACTTTAATATGTAAAATAAATTTAAAAGAAAAATAATGAACTTGAAAAACAGTCGAACAGAAATAATGTCTTAAACTTAAGAAAGTGAACTGTTTATTGAAAGTGAACATGTTTATTGTAAAATTCAGATAGTTTATGGTTGCAACAATCAATTGTCTAATCTGTGGTGTAATCTACGACCAGGGCGCCAATTTGATTCGATATTCACGTAAACTTCAATACAAAACAAATATATGTTATTGCATAGTATTGTTTATATGACAAAGCTACATTTCAACGGCTGCGGGTTGGTGATGTCACTTTTTTTTTATCAGATATAACAAAAAATGTGACCTTGCAACGTCGTCTTCCGTAGTTAAAGCTCTCGCAATCTTTAGCTCAAGTAGCTGAACTTCAAAACAGCACATCTCATTTTT